AATCATCCCAACAAATTTCTTGTCCCAGTTAAAGACCTGATCTGGGATGGCATGATCTTTCCCGACTAGATAAGTCCAGGGATGATGCACCAAGAAGCGTGTTTGTAGTTGGCCGTGCTCAAGCGCATACTTGCGTATCGTTTCAGACACGCTCCAGATCCCGTCGAGCTGTTTGAAAAGATCTGCTTCGCGCGTTGTGCTCGAATGCCCAGGCAAGCCACCGGCGAAGGGACCGAAAGGGAGTTGCTCGGCTGTGTGCACGACTGCGATGCGAGACATGGTTAGATGAGCCAGCTCTGGGGCGAGACTAGCTTTCATGGAGAGGCCGTCGTTGGAGATGATGTGTGTTGGAGAAAAACGTCTGATCTCTTCTTGGAGGAAAGAGATGAAATCCATAAGCGGTCCTGGCGAAGTTCCATTCTACAGAGGAGTAGTCAGCAATGTGAGTTTCAAACCTGAGCGAGAGGAATCTTTACCTCGATATATGCAGCCGACATTTTAGCCAGTTGATTCGATGAGTCGAACTTACCCCCAAATGCAGAGTCAAAAGCCTCGCTGTCAAGCGCCAGCGTCTCAACACCATCTTCCATACACAGCTCATGAACCTTCACATCTTGTCCGGGCTTATCGCTCTCCGACCTCATGTGCAAGAATCTGGTTTGCGGTCTCGAATCAATATCGCCGCTACTATCCATGTAGCTTTCCGCCTCGCCACGATAGGAGTAGCATAACTGGCGGACACAGTGGCCTCTAGACGAGAGATAGCGCAGTAGCGCGTGATTAGCCTTGTAACCGCCTGAGGAGGAAAAAAGGCCCTTTGCTGTCTGGATGAGAAAGACGCGCATGTTGTTTCACTTGGGTAGGTTCGAGAGACCGGGAGATAGCTGCGATGTGGTGTGAAGGGATTTGGAATGAGATTAGTAAACGTAAATATCCAATGACATCAATGAGGATTATATAAAACTGGGAAAACATTTTAGAAGAATAAAAAAGGATTACTCAGTGAATTAATAGGGCAAAGTGTCCGCAGTCGGGAAGTTTAAACATAAATACGTAGAGTCGCGTTAATTCGCCTTAGAGTTCTCATCACAGAGCCTTATATGAAACCTTCACAGTGACGCAATTGCGGTATCGCTTGTTCACAACATCTGTTGTCCCTACCATTCAAGGCTTTCACCACGATAAATGGTATGAATGTCATCTCTGACGAGTGAGTAAGTTGTACAGCATGACAGATATCATGAGGCGCCTCAAGATTATTGTTAGCATTGGGATGTTGAGCGTGTCGCCGACATGAACTCTGCGCAAGGCGTCTTGGAAGGATAGAGTTAAGTTGCAGTTTGCTGACATATAAGATTCAAAACTGACTTTGCTCTCAAGAAATAAGTTTGTCGCACAGATCATATGGTGGATTGCTTCATTCAACAATAAGCGTGAAGCATCTCGCGGGGATTGTGTTGATTGAACCTTTCCTCTTGACCCAATCAATGCGGCGATACTGGGGTATAAACCTCAGTATATATTAAACTATGCAAATTGCACCATCGACCATAGGAAAGACTAGGTATTAAACTTCGAGTGAGTCTCGTGCTGAAGGATCAGGTGCCAGGTACATGAACTTAAAATAAGTAATCAATCTCCGTGAGACCTGTGGATGGAAACTCTATTAAAACTACATTGAACTGTGTCGCTTCCTTTGAGTTAGAGTACAGAAAATACAACCAGCTTTTGGCTTTGGTTAATTGTTAGAATAGAACCGGGGAAATCATGAAGAGAGAATTTCCATGTCGGACGGATGCATCGTGAACAAAGCATGTATGTTGTTTGAATGACGCGCGTAGCTGTTACTAATGATGGACACGTAGTGATGGGATTAGTCTCTGTTAGAAATTTCTTTACAAAGGTAATAGAATAAAAACTGCACTCAAATCTCATCAGTCATAAGCTCTGCGGGAAACTTATTCCTCTCACATCATCAGTCCTGGTTAGCCGGCCTGCACATCACAAACTTCTCACAGCAAGCTCTGTCGAAGGCCTCACGAGATGTGCGCACAGATACTGGGCTGCACCAACCGCGGATCTGTGCGCCCAACACTAGAGTTATTCTGCTTTTAATTGAGAGGCTTATCTTTGTTGAGGCTATGCGTATATTGCCTTCCAAAAGCTAAAGTTAAATGGGATTTTTCAGTGTGGTGGCTTGATATGTCTCGCCGAGGCGTCATAACCTTTAAGTATCAATCAATCAACACTAGAGACAGTTTTGCCGACGAGGACGTTGAGAAACCCCGGACATCGGTCACTGGCAAAAAACCGGTCGGTTACAGCCATCACTGTGCTATTATTGCCAAACGACAGTATCGCCAGTGGCATCACATCAGGGAATGCTCAGACAATCCCCAAAGACTTTGGCATTTTGATTAGCTGACGACGCCACCTTTCCTCATGCATCTTTCGTACAGAGTCTTTGTTGGGTGGCCCACTGTACGAATCCTACGGCTCGCAGTGGCTGTTATGTCTTGATTTTACTCTCTGCTTCTGCCCAACAAAGCTTGGCTGCCAGGATTGGGTCGTGTTATCGTGGGGAAATCAGTTGCTGGATGATTCCATGCAGGGCTCTTTGACATCGGGTCTTGGTTGCCGGTTGATAAGTACGAGTGCGTTGGTACTATCGACATCTGGACCAGTGTATCGTATCATGGATTGGCCCGGTACTGCTTCCGCGTGTATCTGATCCCCTTGAGCTGGGGAGAAACTCGCGTTGGGTTTGATTTAGAGTTGTCTCTAGCTCCAACATCATTCCTAAGATAGTTCCTGAAGCGGGCGTTTGATGGGTTCTTGCAGGGAAGGTCAACGGAGATTGGCGCCAAGGGCAAGATTTACAAGCTACAGGGGAGACTTTGAGATCAAAGCTGATTCGGACTCTACAAGGTTGTTCGGGTCCGGCTGTGGGCCGTCAGCTTTGCCACCATATCCCTAGTCTGTTGTCCTTACTACTGTCTCATTGTTGCTGTGCAATGAATGCCCTTCAGCACATATCCTAATGTGTTTCAGGGCCTGAGACGATGGAATACCGCTTTGACGCTGGGCACAGTTCTTCGGCAGACCGTCAGTACTGTTCGTGGACCCCTTGAGGTGTCTCATAATACGAGGAGTAGCAAGACGATGGGCAAGATGATAAGGGAGACACTTCTCGAAGGCCACCTGGTTCTAGCCATGATAGGCCGCGAGGGATTCCTGACTTCCATGCCCCAGTCTTGCCGGAGCGCCGAGTATAACTCAGTGTATACTGTTACAATCTCCAAGTGAAATCGGGACTGATCGTCGACTAGCTTGCGTTGCATCGTGCCACTCGCTGTCTGCACGGTTGGCGACATGACATGCCTGACGGTGATCCAGATATCATGCTTTAGTCTACATAACTGGCACCTCTACGGACTCGACTGTTTCCACCCATTGCAGCCAATATCATCGCGCGAACGTGTTGGCAGGAAGAAAGCTCCTCTTTTTTCACAAGGCAGAGGCGTTATGCTATTGGCGCCGGCATCCCCGTTCGCGAGCTCGTTGATTTCCGGGGTAGCAGCATGTCTTGCCGCCCATGAGGCAATTCATGTTTCCGCCGTTATGGTGCCATTATTCGGACCAACAGCAAATATGTACGCTCATGCCCAAGATACAGTACGACATACTACGCGTCGGTGGGATACCGAGACCCTTTGTGCTGAGACTGAGAGGCAGGGGACGTGTCGACGTCATTCTCGCGACAAAGAATCGACATTATATCTTGGCTTGATAGCGCTAACTCCCGTTGAAACTATAATGCCTGAGCTACTGGTCCAATCCCCCTTGGGCGAACAACTCCCGCCCATCACACTCTGTGACAGGTCATAGCTTGACTTTCGGAAACATTTTGGTTTCCGCTTGAGGGACGAGGGATCTTCGCTCACACCATCTTCAGCGTCAGCTTGTGGAGTCCTCCAGAAGGTGTTTCCACTATCGGTGCTGCGTCCGTTTTCTCTTGATTGGTTTCATGCCTAATTAGGTTTGCCGAGGATGAGTCCAGATCCTTTGGAGGGTCTGGAGGGGCAGGGCGATGTGACGCTCTATTGGTGGGCGATAAACGGGGCTCATGAACCCTGAACCACGTCAAGCTTTTTAGATCCACCGTTTGCAAGACCCTCGCTTACTAGCCTCCACTCTCATCACATTTCATCAACGACGATCCCATGGGCTGAGTAATATCACAGTGCAGTGGCAGTATCCCGGATCTTTGGTAACCGAGACACCACACACTGGGTGCTGGAATGCAAGTGATGAGTGTATTGATGCGATCGATGGAAACCTTTTCTTTTTCATTCGGGACAAAAGCATGGCCTGTACAGGTCGTTGGGGGATAAATTCGCTAGCGGCCCGTTTTCACATCTCGGCCGAATGCATCAAGACTAATAGTTATCTCCTTTTTGCCTAACGATACCCTGCCGATGACTAGCGGATTTCATGATAAACGCTAGAGAACCTTGAATGTGATACGATGTTGGAGCGGGGTAGTTGAGCCAACCGAATCTGACATCCCATGACGACTAAATGACTATCGACCGTGGACATGCCTGCTCTTAGTGTTCCTTGCAGTACCAGCACTGCAACACACCATGTTTATGTGCCGGAAATATTTTCTCCTTTTGTCAACAGGTGACATTTATAACAATCCCATAAGATAATACTGTAAAAGACTGTGATGTTGTTGTGAACACCAAAAACTCGCCTGTGCGCATTTGGCTTTTAGGCTACAGTATTAAGCGGCTGCCTACCGGATCGATCAAGACTAGGTTTTTTTCCATGGATAGAGAGAGAAAAGAAATTAACTCAGAATAAAATACAACAGAACAGTCAAAGTAAGTATGAACATGCCATGAGCCTCGCAAAAGACTGTTGTCGAGAAATGAGGCTCGCGGTATCTCTCTGTCATTGCAACGCCTCTAACAGATGGATCCTCAGTCACTACTATGGAGCAATGCACCGGCGAACATACAGACCAGACGCTCGACATATCAACTATTGGGCACCTGGATGATACCTCTCATCTCTTGGGAACTCCATGGTTCTACACATCCAACGATAACCATCCCCAGTATGCCCTCAACGAAACTGCAGAGTACATACCCAGATACCTAAACGATCCGACTCTGGTCGAGTGGCCGGAGCCATTATTCTCTCAACCATATCCGACGCCTCATCAGGATCCGTCATTCACAGCCCTCACTACTCCGCCCATCAATGTCGAGTACTATCCCGAATCTTCCGTGCCTCAACTGCGATCAGAATCTACTCACCTATCGAGCTCTTCTAGCACCATCGAGTATCACCCAGAGCCATCGAAGGGACCAATTTTCTCAGAAATCACCTATGTGCCTAGCTCCCCAGAGGACATCGAGCACTACCGCCCTGTACCACCACAGCCTGAAGCAAAGAAACGCAGGGTGAGCTCCGGTGTACAGAGCACGATGAGTCTGCCCGACGAAATCCTCACCGCGAGTGTCCAGAGAGAATCAGAAGCTCCCCCGTCCACCAAAAGGCGCGACACGGCTAACAAGACGGATATCACATACCTCAAGAAGGTCAGGGAGAGGAACAAGCGGGCTGCGACAAAGGTCCGCATCAAGCAGCGCGAACAGGAGAAGAGTCTTGAGTCTGCCGAAAAGGACCTGCAGGAGAAGAACCACAGGCTGACGGAATGTGTCAAGGAGCTAACTCATCAGGTCCACGACCTGAAGATGCAGTTGCTCCAGCATGGAACCTGTGACTGTACTCTTATTCAGGAGTACATTGGTAATGAAGCGAATCGTTATGTTCAAGAAACGAGTGGATAGGCGGGGACTATACTAATGATTGTTACTCATATAAGATCTAGAATGTTATAATGGCCTCTTCATTTGAGATTCTGCCTTATAAGACTATAGCAATATCTAAATTTGCAATGAACACTGATGCCTACAAGCTTGAATCGTCACGAAAAACATGGTGTTTGTCTACTCGAGCAACTTTTCTCTCCTGTGATGGATTGCTAACGGTCTAACTGGAACTCTACAGTGTAGTGGCCTCATATGCCGTCAAGATGTCATAGCATTGACCTATCAATCAGCTTAGTAACAACGGCCAATCTTGCTGAGAGTGCTGCACCGTTACATCAGATAAGCGCCCTGACGATAGTCCCTTAAGTTTGAGCCGCATCAAGCAGGATAGTCGATCATGAGGATCATCCTGACATAACCATGTTGATGGAGGCAGATCGGCAGAACACGGCATTGTCCAATCATATTCCAACTTGACAACAGAGATGTCAAATATGTCTTACATCATATCGCAGTCAGGAATGCGGCTGCTTGACCCCCCCAGCACTTACAAGCATAACCATATCGGTCACTACAGCCAATGCAGTTAGCCGCAGCATCCATCATCGCCACATGCTAGATCCTAGATTGAGATGGGGGTGACATATATGCATTGGGTAGTACGTATGACATGCTGCATATTACAGCTTTTCCCCAGACTGGGGTTATATCACGCAGATCCGAGATCCACCAATCAAGGGACGGACTTTACTCGGGTCGGTCTGGGTCCGGATGCGAAGGATAATCAATCTCCTGCACACAGGCGTAGGTATGATGATGATGATATGTAATGAGGCGGATCATTAGATGCTGTTCAGATTACACGACGGTTGCATTGGGATTGCATTACGATGATGAGAGAATGCAGGTAATTACGCAGAATGACACATTCTCTTCATCTTAGTTGACGAGAGGTGTTTGCGGGAAGTGATACTATACAGAGGTTCTATGATAAAACACGATCCGTTGCTGAAGAAATCGATCCAACAACAATCTTCAATCACAAACATCGTCTGAATTCAACAATGGCAGAAGTAGCTAAGTGAGCTCTCCTACATCCCTCCTTCAACAGAGCAGTATGTAACATGTGCCACAAGACCAGTCTATACAACGGCCTACAAGCCTCACCCTAGCGAGAGGATGAAGGCGGCCACTTGGACAGGCACAAAGTCCATCACGCTGACCAGCGTGCCCAAGCCAACCATCTCCGCGCCCGCTGATGCCATCGTGCACATCACCCACTGCACCATCTGCGGCTCTGATCTGCACATGTACAACGGTGATATGAACAATGCCATGGAGAAGGGCCTTATCATGGGCCACGAAGCCATCGGCATCGTTGAGGACGTTGGACCTGACGTCAAGAATCTCAGTGTAGGAGATAGAGTGATTATCCTCGCTGTCATTGCTTGCGGCGACTGCTTCTACTGCAAGAAAAAGGAATATTCGCTCTGCGACAAGACTAATCCCTCCAAGCAGCTGGAGCAGATGTACGGGCATAGATTGTCGGGTATCTTTGGGTACTCCCTTATCACGGGGGGTTATCCTGGCGATCAGGCTGAGTGGTGTCGTGTGCCTAACGCTGACCTCACCTGCGTCAAGGCCCCCAAGGATATAGAAGCTGATAAGCTTGTTGGCCTCGCTGACGTGACCCCTACCGCCTGGCATGGCAATGAGCTGGCTGAGGTAGGCAAGGGAGATGTCGTTGGCGTCTGGGGCTGTGGCGCTGTTGGACTCTCGATCCAGCGTCTCGCGAAGCTGCGTGGAGCCAGCAAGGTCTATGCAATTGACAAAGACGAGCACCGTCTCGGAATCGCGAAGTCAATGGGCATAATTCCCATTAACGTCAAGGATCACTCTGATCCCGCTGACTACATCTTGTCCATTGAACCGCGCGGGCTGGACCGCGGCATTGAGGCGAGCGGCTTCAGGAGCACTAATTCAACTGCTCATGCTACCATGAGAGCTTTGGGAGTCGAGGGTGATAGCTCTGACACGGTGAGCGCCGCGATCAAGGCGACGCGTAAGGGAGGCAATGTCGCGCTGATCGGCGATTTTTTCTACAATACCAACAACTTTCCCATTGGAATGCTCATGGAAAAGGGCATTACCCTGCGAGGAGGACAGCTCTACGCTCAGAAGGTAGCATACCCAACCTACTTATTATGCAAGGGTACTAAATGTCTTGCAGTACTTCCCCCTTCTTCTGGACCTTGTCGTCGAAGGGAAATACGACCCCTCGTTCATGTTTACCCATCACGGTACAGTAGCCTCCTCGTGTCTATCAACCGGCGCGGTCTAACTTTTCTTTGCAGATAAGTTTGAGAACATCTCCAAGAACTATGATGCCTTTTTTAGTCACAAGACCCCTGGCGGATTGAAGGTCTGTCTCTCAACTGCCTTTGGACGTGAACAGAGTGGAGGTTCAGTTTGAGCATGATAAATTGACAATTGGTCATCTTGCGTCTTCCACTATGGAGAGATGCGATCGCAACTCCCTCACACTCTTTGTAGTAACAGATCATGTTCCAGTCTTTACAGAATAGTACAGGCCCTGCACAAACTATCATTCAGCTGCATTTGATTGAAAGGCACCACTGCTTCATAGACGTGATTGGTACAGGGGGACCAATATAACTCCACCTTCAGCTCTCCTCAACCGCTGATTATATACGATTACGTCTGTAAAATGATCCCGTGCAACTGATCCGTTTACCTTCAACACTGAAGCCTTTTACAAATGTGCCCATTCTACCCAGAAGATTGGTCAATGCACAAAGCTAATCAGCTCATAATCGTTGAAGAAGTACCTTATTCGGGTTTTCAGCTCTAGCAGGCCGCTGGGCTTCTGCAATATATGTCATAAGGGTTTAGCCACGACATGTATATGGTTAACAGTACACAGCTGATAAACTTATACGGCACATTGGTCGCCATGCAAGTTTGAGTTCAATATTTGCATGGGGGGGTTGAAACTGAAATGCAGTCATGGAGGAGACTGCTTGGTGATTGGCGAATTGAGTAATGCCGCTTCTGCCGCGTAGAGGTACAGATAGAGAGTCAAGACGGGATAAGAAGTGCAGTAAAGAATACTTAAACAAGCCTTGCTCTGCTGCTAGAAAGACAGAACAAACAACCCTGCCTTTTGTCTTCGATATCATACCCTTAACTATACCATTTTCTGAAAGCTATTACAATGGTGGTAAGTTTTAATGACTTGTCCTTTACATTTCGTTACTTATTCTCTATTGATCTAGAATCTTGTTGATACCGAAGGCCATGCCATCCTCTCTGGACCGGACAATTGGTACAAGATCGCCATTGCTGATGGAACGGAACTCGGTCTAACCCCATACAAGTGGACTCCGGGTTATTCCATTGATCTTAAGCACGGCCATATCTCCGCTGTGTCTCCTAGCGAAGGGCTGATATCTCGCTATCAGCGCTTTGCCAACGATGACAGGCTAGGTCAGGGTTGGCCTATTGGTGATAAGGGCTATCTTCGTTGCTTCGAGCCCATGTATGAGCATGATGGCCGTTCTCTCAACATCAACCTCACTAAAAATGTCTATTCAAATCTCTACGACATTGTGGCTACAGAATCTGCGCAAACTCCCATTCACGCTGAACAATTGGGTCACAATCGGGTTGCTCTGTACATTTACGATAAGGATGGCAAGATTCGCGAGTTCAGACTGAACAGAATCGGCGATGCTCGTGAAGACGCCCAAAGGGTGATACAGCAAAGCCGCAGTGATTTTCTGGTTCCTTTTGATTGTGAATTTGTCAAAGTAAGCACAAAGGTGTCAAATGGGCTCTTTAAGATCCTCTCTTGAACTGCCATCTTCCTACATATTTGCTGGCGAGATTTGCAAGAGCCAAGTAGAGAGTTCAAATGCTACTTAGTGCTCGTATATGGGGCTTATTCATTGTGTAATCGCGTCCATGCTATTCTTCCTTACACTACATAGTCTATCCTTTATGCTCCTAATTCCTGGTGAAGCCCTCTGAGACGATTAGTTTGAATCATATATCATTAGCCTCATATCTATTTATACTACTTTCCTAACCCGACTCTGATACCCCAGGGTTCTTCGTCTTAGCACTGTTAGCGTGAATCTCCAGCATGCACTAAGACAGAAACAGTTCTACACAGCGAGTTGTCATCACCCCAGCGGACTCCAGATTAACTCTTATTATGTCTAGCTATGATACTCTTAGGCCACTTTGCCACTTTAGAAAACTTGGTGTCACCATCCAACTGCAAGTCAATGGCCTCTATGAGTCTCCAAGACCAGCCCTGAACATACCAAAACTGATGTTCGACGAGGCTTAGAAGCACTGAGAAGTAAGAGAGCAGGACAAGAGCGCACGGGTCGTTGGCTTGGATGTCTGACATGACATTCGCAGAGATGACATATGGAAAGAACATGACCATACCGATCTCCGCCTGGGAACCAGCGTGTGCAATGAGGATCGCCGACTTTCGCAGCTGCAATGTAGCAAACTCATAGTCTTCCCTGTTACAGTCTGATAGATTAGTGCGCTAAAAGGCGAAGAGACGACGCAGTGCTTGGAATGTGTCTGGGGGAGAGCGCTGTGATCTAACGGCGGGCCGAAGCTTTATATCAACAGTCAGCGCAAATTGATCATGTGGACGGAGCAGGATCACGTACTCGTAAGAAGCCTCATCATTCTCTCCGACTATCCAGATCCCATGTGCCCATGCCGAGAACGGCGTCTGCGTAAGATTGCGCCCCGCACCCAAGAGGCTAGAGCGAATACCACGTATCAAAACAAAGATCTGCAGAATATCCGCCATGGCATCTGCTGTCCGGTCCGCCGGGGAAAATGCATATATGACGATTGTGGATGAGAAGCAGAACGCAGGGTGCCAGTTCCTTTCGCCGATGCTTGGAAATATGCTGCGGAAGCCTTCCATGCCGCGGGTCTGGTGATAGGCTGCGAGATCGAGATACCTGTCCCTTCTTGCAGGTAGCAGATGAGCTTTTTGCAGAGCTCCGACGGACAGTAGGCCGTGTGATAGAAAGGGTGTGTAATATGACATCTCAGGGAGGACCGTGCGCCAGATGTGCTGGATGTCCAGCCTCAAGGCAAGGGTGTTGGCTGTAATAGTGGAGTAATGGTGCATCAGTTCCAGGCCGTGATCTTGGAAGTCCAGAGACGCGCCCGGCAACGGAGTACTCCATATTCCAGCAACTGATAATGCATCATGACTCGGGTCAGTCTCTGTGTTATTTATGCCTGCCCGGCGGACTGGCTCTACGTTCTGAGGAGACTGTTCAGATGAGGTCAGGCTGCATGTCATACCACGACGGGCACAGTTAAAGCAAGAAGGGAGCCTCTCATCGCACTATGCCGGAAAGATTGTGAGATGTCAGCAAAGTTGGCCAAAGGAAGATCTAATAAGGAAGCTCCATAATATCGTGGCCATGACACACGTACCTTGACTTTTCTACGTTTGCACTCTCGGCATCCGCTGCGTGACTTTGTATGGGAGCGTCATGGTTTCATCTCTTGGTACCTCCGACAGAGTGGTTGATATTGGTGAAGATGTAGAGGTCAAACCGCGGCTTCGGACAAAATGGACTTGTTGGATCGTATGGCGGGAGAGAATCTAGTTATAAGCTTAAACCTAGCATAAAACGCGAATACGCGGGATTCGGAAGTGCCGGGCATGATAGGCATCCAATAGAATAATAGGGGCTTAGCTTAGATTTGAAATGGATATGCTATAGATCCACATCGTCTCTAAGGCTCAATCGTCATTTCCATAATTAAGCTATAGTTTCGAAACAAAAGCACAGAGGCTATAGAGATTTGGAGTGGTATTTTTCATGGATATAAAAAGCTCAAGATGCTCCACTGCTAAAACTGACTATTGTTCTTCCATAATAAAGTCCGCCCCTTGAACAGAAGCTCAGATCTCAGCAAAGTCATTTATCGCGGGCTCATCTTTTGCCCGAGAAGAAATAAACATTGTAGCACTTCTTAACGACCCCGAACATGGCTGCCAAATGGGACCCAAACTACCGACACGCCGACTGGTCCTTCTATCGCTACGAACCCCTCAACAGCCATTATACTATTCAACATCACAACGATTATCCATGTCTACCAGATAATCAAGACTAAGACCTGGTATATGCTGGCATTCTGCTTAGGCGGAGTTTGTGAGTCACTCTAGGAGACTTTGTACTCAAACATTCACTGACTGGCTACTGTAGCTGAAATAGCGGGATACATTGGCCGTGCGATCAACTCGACTGAGGACCATGGCTGTTGGAAGCTGGGCCCCTACGTCGTTCAAAGCGTGTTGCTTCTTATTGCACCAGTATTGATGGCGGCTTCTATATACATGATATTGAGTCGTGTCATCCTCCTCACGGAAGGGGAGGTACATGCCGTAATCAAGAGGCGATGGTTGACTAAAGTCTTCGTGATTGGGGATATCGTATCACTACAGCTCCAGTCTGCAGGTGTGTATAACCTAGACCTCAGCCTTCTACCGCGATATTGAACCTCTACTAACTGTTGGATCGAATACAGGCGGAAGTATGATGTTGGGAGCAAACGAAGGCAACAACCTCATGAAAATTGGTGAATATGTCATCATCGGCGGATTGTTCTTCCAGCTTACCATCTTCGGTATCTTTATCGTCGTCGCCAGTATCTTCCATCTTCGGATGAGCCGGTCGCCTACCAACAAGAGCCTAGAGCCCTCGATTAGGTGGCGTCATTACCTCGCTACCATCTACGTCACAAGCGGCTTCATTTGGGTTAGGAGTTTGTTCCGGGTCATTGAGTACCTCGATGGTAACGACGGATATCTCATGAGGACTGAGGCCTTCCTCAAATTGTGGGCTAGAAGTGTTATTTGCAGTTGAGATTTGTGGCTGTGAGCTTATTCCGGCAGAGAGAACCTAGAGGCCTTCCTCTTCGTCTTCGATGCTACTCTGATCTGGATTGTCATGGTTTGGATGAACTGGTATCACCCCAGCGAGATTGGACTGCTTCTCCGGAATGAGTTACCGGTGACGAACGGTTTCGAGCTACTTCCGTTTCGTCGGCGATTTGAGAAGCTCCGAGCTTGAGCCAGACTTCTTTCGTCGGCAAGAGGGTGTATCCGGCCTTTGGTGTTTAGTTAGGGGTTGAGGATATAATCTAGAGAGGGGATATAATATGATGTAATAGCGCCGGACTTAACCCTTCCTTTCTACTCGAGAAGTCACTTCTATAGAAACTTGCTGCTGGTAAACTGCCCGGATTGGCTTTTACAAGAGTGCTATTTTGAGTTGATATTCCCCACAGTTGAGGGCTCGCATCATGCGCCGAACACACGAAGCTTGGTGGCAATGCGTTGGCTTGAGTAATGACGGGGTATATCATTATGGGTAGGTAGTTATATTTTAGTGCATATGACAACATTTCCAGCGCGCTAGTCATGAAGAAAGAGCTCGTTCCACCAAGAGAAGTACTCCTTCTTGCCGAGCCCTGTCTGCCACACAGAGTGATGTATGTGACTCTGACACTATACTGTATCTTCTCGGAGGGTTACATAGAAAGCCATATTACCTTTATACTACCTAGTATAATAATTACCAAGCCTCCATCAGAGCAAGCTTCTTCTCCGCGAGCCACTTATTCACCTCAACCACTGTGTTCTCCCAGAGTCCCTTCACCTGGTGATCATCTTTGGTTACAGGATTAGGCTCCTCCAACTTTCCCAACGGGACTATAAACTTCCCCTTGAACTCCAGAGCATCCTCCGCCGTCGCTGCGAACAAAGAATTGGCAGCACCCTGCTCAGCACTCAAAAAAGACGCCCGAGCTATAGCCCGGACAACAAAGTTATTGATAGACAGGACACCCTCTGTGAGTACCTTCCCAGGATGTACAGCTACGCAAGTAATAGGCAGATTCTGTTGCTCAAGTCTTGCCTGGAGCTCTTGTGTGAACAGCACCACGGCTGTCTTGGACACAGCGTATCGAATCATGTCGAAGCCAAACATGAATCTTCCTAAGTATCGCCATTGCCAAGGGTATGACGCAACTGGTTCCTTGAAGCATGTGGGGGAGTCGAAGCTGAACTTGAAGCTAGCTGGGAGCATGCTGTTCATCGCCGTGGAGCTGAGGTTTATGACCCTGACGTCAGCATCTGGATTCTTGGCGGCGGCTTTGAGAAGGGGTAGAAGACGGTTGGTTAGGATAAAAGGTCCCATGTGGCTACGGAGGTTAGTGATCTGTTTACCCTTAAATTGGTGGTTCAGGGTTCACATACTTGGCAACCATGTGTTGTTCGTATTTACCGTCAACTAACATAGTAGAGGACGTCGATGCGGCTGCATTGTTGACTTCGACATCGTCAGTTATCATCAGGGAAGAGGACTATCCTAAACATACTCAGAATATGCAGTTTGGTCTCTTTCCGCTTCAGGTCTTCGACAGCATGAGTGATGCTGACGGGATCATACAGATCCATGACCAAATGTTGAACATTTCTAGCATTGATACCGGTGTCTTCGGTGAGTTTGTCTATTGCTTGTCGTGCTCTCGCTTCGCTTCGTGTGGTCAAGTACACTTTTGCTCCCTTGAGAGCCAGGAACCTAACTGTCTCGAGGCCAATTCCCGAGCTGGAGCTGTGTCAGTCGTCGTACAGTATCAACCGTAGAGCTTACACTCACCTGCCGCCAGTCACGACAGCGACTTTGCCGTTCAGATCTGGCATATCTGTGGAGGGATTCCATTGCCGTGTTCCCATTGTGTCTTGGCTACCAAGCTGCGGATAGAATCGAGATGGGGTAAAGGTCGAGGACTGTAAGGATGACAAACCAGTGAAAATTAACCTTCTGCAGAGTAAAGACATATTTAAACAGTCACCGGTGCTTTACGTATGTCAGATGTATAGCTTCTATATCTAACCCCAGCACGTCATTCAATGTAACACTATGCCCCCACCGTCAGTGCCCCAAGTGTCGCTCTAACGAAGCTTAACTTAGCATCTCCGATCCAGCTCCGCTAGCCTCCATCTCATCTCCACCGCACCTCCGCAACCAAAACCCGAACTAGACCATCTACTCATCTCCAGATCATTCAAGCACATCCACAATGGGTCGCAAAACCAAGCAAAAGTCATGCTTCGCTTGCGTTGAGACCAAGCGCCGCTGCGACAAGCGATATCCCTCATGCTCGCGCTGTCTCGATCGGGAGTCGGTCTGCACTTATCCGCCACTACCAAGACGACAAGCTCTCGACTTTACTAAGGGAGAAGCTGCGCCAGATATAGGCTTCGGAGATATGTGGACTTCTGCGGCTGATGCAAATAGCCTTGCGTTGGTAGGAGAAATCTCCGAGCCATGGCTTCTGGATCCCGTCTTCAGCGCCGGTCTAAATTGTCCCTCGATACCATCATGGACGCCGTCTTTATCAGATCCATCGTCATTACCAGGTTCATCCTCGAATGGGATAGCTGAGGCTTCTGGTCAGCTGGCGTATACATCCCGGGACTTGGGCTGGTTTTTGGGACCTCAGGCATGGACTATAGGATATCACTACAACGCCCCAGATGTGATACCTCCAGCTTCCGTCTTTACCAATTTCATCCGCGGCTTGCAGAACTGGTTGACCCGTTTTGTCCAGACAGGGCACAACCCATTTATCCACCGACATCTGTACTCCGACTCCGGATATCCGCAATGCATTCAAGATGCGTACTCAGCATGCGTTATCTCCAGCTCTGCCACAAGCGAGAATGAAACGATCGTCAATGCAATTTCTGCTACTCACATCACGAATCTACTGAATGCTCAACCAACTAGGGGCCCGAATATCATCTCCACTAGGGATCATCTGGCCCGCACCCAAGCTCTTCTCATCCACATCCTCCTCGCGCTGTTCTCTCCCTCAATTGAACGTCGTGGAAGAGGTGAGAATCTCATTAGCCTTCTACATTCTTGGAAGAATCAGCTATGGGAGTCTGCAACAAACGATAGCACACTAGCCTCACCATTGCCGATCATGGCGACTTCTGGTGGAACAGCTGTCGGGGAACTAGATCCTGTCCCCAGCCTGTACCGCTCTTTCATCCTCTCCGAGTCTATCCGCCGTACCGGGCTACTGTGTAACATTGCCACCGGTGTATATGGTGGCTTGAAAGGCAGCAACATACAGTCATGTGGTGGCGACATCCACATTACAGCACAAGCCAAGTTTTGGAAGGCTTCTTCATCTGCACGATGGGAAGCTGTTGCGCGACAGACCGATCCGTTGTTTATCTATTCCCTAAAAGGTCAGATGCTGCTGGATAGAGGTGTTGGTGCTGCCCAGGTTGATGAATTTGCGCGACACTTGTTCACTATTATGTGGGGTTTAGAAAAGGTAGAGACTTGGGCTGTGAGAACTGGAGACGAGGTTTCTGCTGTATACTAGAACGAGCAAATGCAGAATTGGAGTTACTCAAACTCCAATCACTATCAAATTAAAAAAAACCTCCTTGGTTGTCTATGCTCGTTTATAAACCTTTTCGGAAACTAAGTCTTCTTCAACAAAGAATGTCTTACAAAGCACCCTGAAGAATGTGGACAAGTCTGAGAGCCCTGGCTCATTTCTCGGAGTAGCTGTTAATGTCTGCTAAAAAGATCTTCACTAATGATGGAGACATTGACAGGTGGCCCCCGTCTTCACTCGGGGACCGGCTGCACTCCTCTCGGACTGGTCGGGCTGTCGCAGGTGGGACCACTCCGATTCATCTCCACTTACTCCGCGCCAACTCCACTGCAAGTCCACTGCAAGACTATCTCCAATCGGCGTCGAGTTTCAAGGCGTTGATTGCCCCTCATGGTAATGAGAAATCTGGATGTGCCTGGCGAAGTCGGCAAGGACTTCGTATCTCGTGAAACAAAGACGTGGAGTAATGTGTGGAGTCGGAGAAAGGTGAGTTTACAAAGGAGCACGGTGCCGACAGTGTCGGGATCTATAATGATAAAAGGAGCTTCTTGTCTCGACGCTACATACTCTCGAACTCACTTATCATCCATTCATCAATTCACTACTGTTTACCATATAATTACCAACAATGCCGGCTAAACAAGGCTCCCTGTTTGAGTGGATTGCCAAGCTCAATGATACCCTCTTCATTCAACCCAACGATGAAATCGCTATCAAGGCTATAGACCAACAGGTTGACCCAAGCCTTGTCACCAAGTAAGATCACTCGTTCGCAACGTTCGAGACAACCTATCTGACCTGTGACGTCCCAGGATTAATCACAATGTGTACACCTACGAGCAGTTCAAAGGAGGTCTCCTCTACGTCCGTGGTTCGACTACAGCTGTCCAAGACGAATTCAGTGAGATCCTCACATGGGAGGATCGAGAGAAGGGAGATGGTGTTGTTGCTGTTTTGAGTAAATGGAGAACCAAGCATAAAGAAACAGGCGAGGAGACGAAGAAGACGAATGTGATTCTCTGGGAAGTCAAGTTGATTGATGGGAAGCGAAGGCTTACCGGACAGACTGAGGTTGAGGCAATCTAGATTAAATTGCCTTTTTATGGGTCTTAAGCATACTGTCAATGAGGCCGGTGTAGCATGCATTCAATGGATCTCTCTCTGGGTCCTATGGAGACTCTTAGCATTTTATCGTATATGGAGTCACGCTCAATCACAACAGATCAAATAGTGAATAAGTAATTATTAAAGATATGCCGTACGTCTTGTCTGTAATACGGAGCATATCATACAGAAAGGAATTTCCAAGATGCGTCAAGTAACTTTTCCAACTTTTCCCACTATAGGCCTGCAATCCATTGATGCGGGCAGGAGCAAAACCTCTAGTAAGCACCGCACTTGTTGCGCTTGACACAAGATCCGGACTGTTAAGTTGCATTAGTTGAAGTCGTAATTGCGAGGATTCAAACTCACCTGGCTTCGAATAGTACCCTCCTTGCAGAAGCAGCCAGGAACGCACTGCTGGGTGCACGGTCGGGGCTCAGGCTCATTGCAAGTCAAGGGACAAGCCGTGCCGCATTCAATGAACTGTTCACCCTATAGATCTGTGTTAAATAAAGAAACAAAGTCGAGGAGAGAAATGCTTACAGCTTTGCATTTCGGAGTAGTAGCGGCAGGAATGGCAATGGAGCCAGCGACGAAGAGGGCGATGAGGGAGAGAGAGTACTTCATTTTGAATGCGTGATAGATAGATTGCTGGTAGTAGGTGAGATTGTGAGCGAGGTGTGAAGGTAAGGAGCAGAGAACGAGATGCTGCGGAAGCTGCGGAAGCATAGGTCTTATATAGAGTTTATTCCTGTTACATTCACATGCCATCTGATCAATCTTTCTTGGTAACGGATGTTTAAAGTTTTCATAAAAGTACACGCCGCAATATGACATTCGATGTTCAAGGATCCACCAATGCCAAGATGGTCATGAGGCCTCGTGAAGGGAGGAATAAGACAGTAGCGTCATAGGTAATTTATGACTAGCAAGGAGAGACTTTAAAATTCATCAACTTAGCTAGATAATGTCTTGTCTCGGGGATAGCTTCCGGCTTGAAATACATTATTCAAGTCTCTGAAACAACCGGATGAGAAGGCTTGGTACATTCCTCTGTAGTCCATTGAGCACAGCCATAACCAGATGCAACATTACTGCACTGCCCCACTCCACCCACTGAATAAGCCGGTAGTGGCCGCCCGGGCCGAGATATTGATCACCCCGGCATTGAGGCTCTTAGGTAAAGATGCTTAATTTTCTCCGAGACTGCAGCTCGTGTTTCTGCAAGGGGAAAATTCTGCATTTTGAATGACTTACTAATTTGACATCAAATGAACTTTTGCTCATGCATTATACTCGATCAGGGAGTTCATGATAAGACTAGGCATTTAAAGCGTAATAGCATAAAAGAGATTTTTATCAGGGTCAAGCATTTTCACAATCAGGAACATTTAGTTAAGAAGGAAAATAACTTTTAGTATTTCTCTATATCATGTTGTAACTCTAGCAATCATATGCCTTTAACATCTCTTCTTGCCGAACTCGAAACTCCAATATGCTGTAGACTCCTTGTACATTTTTCCTCGCATCTATTAACCCAATTGATCTCATTCGGAACTCCTCCAGTATCTTTGTTATTGACTTATAGGAAGCATAGTGGCTCAAAGTCGCAAAGAGCTTTGTTGATGGGCACGATGTCGGTGGCCAGCGAGATGAGATCGCCATCTTCAGACAGATCAACCAGATCTGAGGAAGGTTGGTTATCCCGAGTATATTGGTCTCTGCTTTCGAAACCTGTAACTTGTGGTTTTGGCTTTTCGTTCACGCGAGGCCATGTCTGATTCCCAGTCGCATCCCACATCGCCTCCCGCTCTAGTTCGGTTTGCTGGGGGGCCGGAGGCCCGTACAACCCATCCCAGTTCTCCTTAGGCGGCTCCTCGTAGTTCAACTTGGGCAAGTCTGAAGCGCCCACCTTGCCATTGTAGAGCAGCTTGTAGCCCATATATCTGAACCATTCCAAGTCTCGCGTGAGGAGACGTGCCTTGCCATGCAACTGCCAGTACAACGGTCACGACTCATCCGTGGACTTTGTGCCGCCAGACTCGTACAAGCCAAAGGCCGGCTCAAGGTCAGCAGCGAGCTCGACGTCAGGTGCCTTGATGATCTTGCTGTTGGGCAGGCCTGTCCCAGCGCTGTATTCGTGGAAGCGCTGGACCTGGCGGGCGAGGAGACGGACCTTTTGGTCAACAGAGAGAGACATTTTGAAGGTGGTGAAGGTGGTGGTGGGGGAGAGGGTTGGGTAGAGGAGATAAAGATTTGTTATGGTGATTTGTGAGGTGAAGAAGTATACTTATAAGAGAAATAAGAAATTTGTGTGAAGACTTGAAGAAAGTGAGTCTGGGAAATACTGAAAGGAATAATTAAAGGAAAGGAAATTCTTGGAGGATGGAGCTGGGAAGCTGGCTATTTATAGGGAGAAAAGATCACTGTGACATTTATTATCAAGATAACTTTGCTGGCGTAAGATAAGGGTTTTAAAAGAGGCTTCAGCCACCAGGGCACAAAGGACACCAATAAACACATACGGGCAAAATACTCTCTGCCCTCACTACCACCTATGGATAACTTGCTCATTGTGAAGAAGCTTGACGTCTTACCGCAGTGTCTTCGTGGCTTTATTTTCATACCGCCATGTGTCGGATCAAAGTCTTATTGGGTATGCGCCGTAAGCTTTCTGTTCACGACGGCGGATACGGTCAACCTTCAGAAACAACACTGCTAATCTGGAGTTTAAGTGCATTTGCAGAGCCGCACTCTCGATTGGTTCGGCAACACTGCATGTTTAATTTCTGGGTTTGAAGTCAAAATGACTACCAATAGAGTTCGTAAAAGACTCAAAGATAGCCAACATGCAACTTGACTCCTCGATTGGGCAGGTAATTTCACGCATGAGCAGATTCTTTTTAGATTCGGCCTCACCTTCTTTATGATTTGACAGTTACCGCGTCATGCTGATGCTGCCTAATCGCCAACCTTTCAGCTGACTTTGACTGCCTGCGATGTTTAGTGTTTCGGTTTCAAACTGTACTTCAGAGCTCACGTGGATCGTTGAAAAGTCAAAGCCCAGGTTCGCAAATCAGAATAGAGATGGAATCTAAGTAAAGAGGTAGTAGTAATACAACATAGAAAGTTAAGAAGAATAACAAGGGATCCCACCAACTCATCGCCACCGACGTATCACCCATCCCCATCCATCAGCCACTTAAAACCTAGATCTAACACATCCTTTGCCACTCATCTTCCGTCCACTTCCACAAGTACACTTCTTATCTGCCCACACAAGGTTCCCATTATCACAAACACACTTCCTCGCATACCCATCCCAACTCGCCGCATCTCCACAGTCAACAGTGCACTGGTTCTTCGACCAAACCTTGCCATCAGGACATCCACAAGTCTTATCATCTGCATCAAACACTTGCCCCTTCTTATCACAAATACACGTATCAGACCGAGAGTTATAGGACGCGTAGTCTCCACAGTCGGTGATACACTCTTTGCCACTCCAGATCTTACCGCCTGTGCATCCGCAGCTGAGGGTAGTTGGGTTAAAAGTCTGGCCCTTTTTAGCACAAACGCAGGTCTGGGACTTTTTGTGCCGTGTGGCGAGCTTCCCACAGTCGATATGGCACTGTCCGTCAGACCAGACTAGCTTATCAGGACAAGAGCATGTTTTCGTGGCACTGTCGAAATTCATACCGTCTTTGTTTCACACGCATCCTTTGGCGGAGTTGCTCCAACATGCGTCGGAGCCACAGTTCGAAGCGCACATTTTGCCGTTCCAGCGTGTATCAGTAGGACACGTGCATGTATTGTCATCATTAAACGTCTGACCTGCCTTTTTGCAAACGCAAACATCGTCCTTGTCGTAAGCGTGTGAGCCACAGTCTTTCTTGCAGCCCTTCTTGGTGGGTTTGTAGCCGTCTTTGCAGACGCACTTTTTGTCGGATAGGACGGTGTTGGGCTTGTCGCAGATACAGTTGCCTTCGGTGTCGCGGGTTGAACCGTCGGAGCATTTGGGTGTGCATTTGTCTTTGACGGGTTCGTTGCCGGGCTTGCAGGTGCAAGTGTTTTTAGAGTCTAGCTCAGCGAGGGCGTCGTCGCAGATGCAGATGTTTTTGTCGTTGCGAGTGGATCCTTTGGGACATTCTGGCTTACACTCGCCGTTGACAATTTCATGACCGGCTGCGGTGCATTTGCAGGAGCCGTCTTCCTGACGAGTGGAATCCTTGGGGCATTCAGGCTTGCATTCTCCTGCGAGAATCTCGTATCCAGCGGTATCGCACTTGCAGGTGTTGTCTTGCTGGCGGGTAGATCCTTCAGGACATACCGGTTTGCACTCATTACCAACAATTTCCTGACCGTCTGTAGTACACTTGCATGTTCCATCCTCTTGGCGAGTGCTACCTTCGGGACATGCGGGCTTACACTCTTCCTTAACCAGTTCATAGCTGTCGGTATCGCACTTACAGGTTTCATCCTGTTGACGAGTAGATCTCTCAGGACATTCAGGCTTGCACTCCCCACTGACGATCTCGTAGCCATCGGTAGTACACTTGCAAGACTGGTCTTCCTGTCGTTCCGAGTCTTTGGGGCATTCCGCCTTACATTCGCCATTGACAATCTCAAAGCCTTCGGTATCGCATTTGCAGGTATCGTCCTCTTGACGGGTTGAATCTTTCGGACACCCTGGAACACAGGTACCCTTGACAATCTCATAACCTTCGGCGTCACAATCACAGGATCCATCATCTTGACGCTTCGAGTCTCTGGGACATTCAGCTGTACATGTGTCCTTCACGATCTCAAAACCATCTTCGTCGCATTTGCAAGTGCCGTCCTCTTGGCGACTCAAGTTTTCAGGACACTCTGGTACACAAGTACCCTTGACTATCTCGTAGCCGTCTGCATTACACTTGCAGGTATCATCCTCTTGTCTCGTGGAATCCTTAGGGCAGGCAGGTGTACAGATATTTTTGACTATTTCTTGATCATCTGCGTCGCATTTGCATGTATCATCGCCTTGTCGTGTAGAATCAGCCGGGTTCGACAACTAGTGGACATATGCCTCCTACCCTGTGTTGTTGGAGTCCAGCCTCCTTGCATGTCCTTTACCCAATTCCTCCTGTTGATCACACTCACAGAGCTATTCCCTTAGCGAGAGACGGTATCCTGACCCGCCAACTCGCATAATCATCTACCGGTCTTGAACCCGTTGGCCCGCTTCCTTCTCTCCCCTGTGCCTTACACTAACTCTCGATCCAGGAACAATATAGCCTAGCTGTGATTGGTCAAGGGGATTATCACTCCATCTCGCTCTTGAGGCTACACACAGCTGAAAAGCACAGACCTTGCATTGAGCAAACATTCTTCTTCCCCTCACTTACCCAGAATAGAAACAGGTATTTTGCTAGGTCATGGCGCCGCGATACCCGAGCTTTGAGATGTCAAACTAGGAGGCGTCAAGGGCGGAGGAGGATCAAAGAAGCGCCGCTATTCAGGGAGACGCCACAACGCCACTTTGAACAGTCTTGGAATCTGGGGCGCCACTTTTCATTGACAGAAATCGAATAATGGCATGGTGGAAATTGGATCATGCAGGGAAGTCTTTGATAAAGAATTCCCCTTTGTGGTATTCTCGTATTAATTTCCACTTCTTCGTAGGGACGCATGCATGGCAGTTGGTCGCAGCCCTTGCAAACTCACGCACCGTATAAACTCAATCACGTCGATCAACAGTGCAGCAGCCTGTCAGCTTCAGCGCTCCGACCTTGAGGGAAGAGTCCATGCGTCACTCGTAGACGCAATCTGTCTGGCGAAGCTTAGTGGCTGATCGTCCTCATAACGGCCGCAACCCATCTCTGGGTAAGCTAGAGATGCAGTTTGCTGATAGTCTCAGCCCTACAACCATTCATGCTAACGTCCAATTTCCACATTCAGACAACAATCCGATCGCTAGAGCATCGACAATCTAGATCTATACATGCCAAGATCGAGGACGGGATCTGAGGGGGAGTCACGGCTAGTTGTCATTCAGCTTGTCCAGTGACCTTGAACCTGTCAGCTCTTTGATCGGCGTGTCTGGTACATCTTGCACGGACCGTGCATAGTGGAACGCTCCTGACGATCATGGTCATGAGTCTACGATACTCCGAGATGTCAGATAATGACCTCGAGTTCAGCAATCAGCCGAGAGCCGAGTTCATTGATAGGTGCTCACGCGCCAGCTGTGAGAAACGATATATGTCGTCAATTCATCATCGGTCTTAATCGCTAGAGCATAAAACTTAATCATGGCAAAATCACAAATTTTATAGCTACCCTATAAAGAATAGTCCTTCTTAAGCAGCGAAAAGGTTTTACAGTGTCATTGCATTCAATAGTCGCGTCAAAAGGAAAAATGACAGGATAAATACAGATCGCATTTTTACCATACATAATGCTTTCGACTGTGCTGCTTCTAGATATTAAATATGCTCGGAACCATTATTCGGAAGTGGATATGAGCCTCCCGTTTCCGATATTACCCCGCGTCTCTTTAGTGCACCATGAACGAAGCTTAACGAGTGACAATTAGCCTTTTCGTCCAAGATCGTCAATCTTATCTCTCTAGCCCGGGGTCGCAGGAGATAAGCATACTTTGTAAGCATCCAGATGCTACATATGTCGTCTTAAGAAGCTAACATCTCAACAGGGCCGAACAGCAATCTCTTGATATCAACTGATAAGGAGCTGATAGTAAAGAGATACGATCTAGCTTGTGTTGATTCAATTACGAGACATAAATTCTCTATCGAGTACCAAGATTGTGACTGCATAATCGCTCCTCCGGTGCTGCCGGGCTTGCTAGGTCGAAGTCGGTTAACATATTCTATAGTTCTCTCACTGCTGGGAGATCACGCGGAGATAGAATTGAACTCAATTCAGTTATGTCACTGTTTGTTTGAGTCAGTGGCGTGGATCTCTTCCGTTGTGAACTGGAGCAAGGTTGTTGCTATTACTTAATCTCCGCATCATATTGAAGCATGCTACAGTGTCATTGCTCATCTATATTTAGAGAGAGAAGGTCAAGAGCAAGTCTGCAGTTTGTCACAATCGTATGTTCTGATGTCAGTGCCGGGTACAAAGGTGCTTAGAAAGAAAGAAGCTGCGGAGCAAAACGGTTGCATTCAGGTACCCTGCTTTAACCCAGATCATTCACTGGCTGAAATAACGAGAATGCACATCGGTTAGAGAAGTGGCTTGCTCAAGTGTTCCTGTTATGATGTAACTCTATCTATGGAGTAACGCATCTAATGAAATTGTTTGATGAACGCTTCCATTCTCATCATGACTTGTTGTTCCCATCTCCCCGGTCCCGGTCTAGGGTGACATGTGGAGTCAGACCAACAGAGAGCAAATAGGAACCGACTTCAATACGGTCCAGCCAATAAGAGCAATTAGACGTGCATATTGAAGACTCCACAGTGAAGATCGGTTTGTGGGGTTCGTTTGGAAGACTCTCGGTAGCGAGAGTAACTACGGGACAATAACAAATTCCATTCAAGCTTAAGATAACAGCATATAAGCTACAGCATATTAGGGGCTCTACCAGTATCAGTATGATAAGATCTGTATTCTCAGCAAGGATTTTCTTAGAATCACCAATCTAAGCTGAAAAAACTGTAATTATCATCACCAGGCCCTCTACCAATACCCATTCCGAGTAGTTCCGGGTTCCGATCCCTCAGTACCACCCACCAAAAAGGCCCGGCCGGATCATGTACTCGCAGTACCGGTCCCACGTGGTATCGTTTATTCCAACATGCACGCTCTCCATCTCCTGAAACGCCATTGTTTCCCACTGTTAAACTCAAAAAAACTAGCCTAACGATCCGGAAGATAAGACTCCCGATGCGTGAATCATGAGTGGCCCGAATATATCGGTTATCTTTGTCTGTATCTGTTCCGGATTGCAACCTCCGCGAACCCGAAGGTACCTACTGCGCTCGCTTAACATGTGGCTTGAGGGGACTGCGATATGCACTGTAGCCTTGTCAGCATGAACCTTATCAGATATCATATAGAACGTGGGGATTAGTTCTTATAACCCTTGTCGATATTTTGGGAGCTGAAGAGGAATGAAGGGACTTCACTTAGTCGTGATAATGCCAAGGGTCTTGGAAAGAGCTTTTTGGAGGAGTCTAGTAGTCGGATCATGTGTTATCTCCACGATAAACAGCGTGGGGATATTCTCACCGACATGGTATAGGCATATCACACGAGTCAAGATATATCTCTATGGATCTGTATATCCCTATATATATCACCATGTTCGTCGTCAATATGAAAAGAATCAACCCATCCTCGTCTGTCTATTCGCACTCAGACATCCAGCTGACAAGATGCGCTTCTCAAACTTCTTTGTCTCAGCCTCTCTGGGGAATCTCGCTCTCGGCGCAGCCTTCTCTACTGGGAGGCTCGAGAGTCGAAAGAAAGGCCATGGAACTGATTGTTCTCTCAACCAGACCACCGCGAGTGCTCCTCACAAGAACTTCTGGGGTAGTCTGACTACCCAGGAAACGAAGGATGTGCTTGCTCTTCTACATAGCAATGCAACAGGCTTCAACTTGACTGCCGCAGCGGATGCTGGGAGGTATGTTGCGAATCCTAGTATCGCCGAAAATGACTAACATCGTTCACAGCCGGGATAATAAGATGTAAGTCTTGCAGGCCATAACTGACATCACGAACTAACCACGGTTGCAGCATGTCTGTTGAGCTCATGATGCCCAACAAGACCGATGTCCTCCCACTCCTCTCGGACAGCACCGGCACCCCAGAGCGTTATGCCCTGGCTTCTCTCATGTTTGGGGCAGCTGAAAGTGCCTACGTTCAAGAGTTCAAGGTTGGCCCCCTGCCTATCACCAACGCCTCGTATGTTATGCCATACACCTTTACAAACACACGAGGTGATGGCAAGATCCCAGTTGTCAACCCCGACGCTGAGGACTATGCCAACTTCAATCTTGAGATCATGAAGGGCGCAGAGGACGTCACAAAACGACTCTGGAATTTGGTAAGTCATGGTCTTGAATGCCCTGTGTGCAGTCAGCTGACAGAGCAAAGACCGTGGAGGATGGACTCCAGATGCCGCTGGCTTTCGCAGCTCCCCTCACAGTGACAGAAGACAAGGTCATCATGTGGCAGGGCTTCAACGCACCCGTAACCAGCATCTACGACACAATCTCGCTGCTTCCTCTGGGTTTGTACATGAGGTCAGATATCACAGGCCGTGATCCCAGCAAGTGGAAGGTGACAGGCTGGGTGTACAACAACACGTTCTACAAAGACCTCGATGCTTTCCGCAAGGTCATTGCCGAGCCTGACTTCAAGCCCCTGGGAGCCAACCTGGACCAGCCTTGGGCGCATACTAACAAGCATGGTGATGCTCTCCCTCTGGACGACAGCCCTCCACCTGCGTCTGTTCAGTCTGGCAAGGAGAGATTTTCTGTTGATGCTGAGGAGAGCTATGTTACTTGGAGTGAGCCTGATACTGGACTCTACCATGATACCTTGCTGACAGACTGTGTTAGTGGACTTCGCTTTCTATGTTAGTATTACGCGTGATAACGGACTACGACTTTACGACATTCGATACAAGGGCAAGAGGATCATGTATGAGGTATGTGTTCTCATCTCGAGCCTTTCGCGGCTTTGACTAATTCTGTTTAGCTTGGACTTGATGAGGCTATCGCCCACTATGCGTGAGTGGTGCTATGCGATCTCGCGTCACTTTGTTACTAACAACACTATAGCGGCATTGATCCCGTGCAGTCTGGAACTTGGTGAGTGATATCCGATCTTCTACGACTCTTGCTGTACTAACGCGCACCTCTTAGCTACTTCGACAGCATGAATGGCTTTGGTCCCACCATGATCTCTCTCGTCAAGGGTAAGACCCAGCCTGACCCTGGAACCGCTCATGACTGACATAGCCAGGCTACGACTGCCCCGCATACTCTCACTATGTCAACGTCACCCAGACCACAGGCGAGACAACATATACCCAGAAAGACGGCCTCTGTAAGTTACCACCTCCCATCATCCGCACAATCTAACAGACAAAGGCATGTTTGAGATCGACAAGGGCTTCCCCATCCAACGCCACTCCTGGGCCGGCCACACAACCGTGACAAAGAACATCGCCTTCAACATCCGCGCCATCTACACCATCGGAAACTACGACTACATGACCACCTACCAATTCCATCTCGACGGCTCCATCGAGATCGACGTCAGAGCATCGGGCTACATCTCATCTGCATTCTACGCCGAGAACGAAGACTACGGCTTCAAGATCCATGATAGTCTTTCTGGGTCTCTGCATGATCATGTTATTACCTTCAAGGCTGATTTCGATATCTTGGGTGAGAAGAATTCGCTGCAGAAGGTTGCTATTGAGCCTACAGTTGAGAAGTAAGTTTAGATATGCTTGAGTGGAGTAGGGTTACTGATTGTTGGGTTAGGTATAAGTGGTCGGAGGGCGAGACGCGTAGCACCATGAAGGCGGTTAAGAGCTTCATCAAGACTGAGGATGACGGCAAGATTAACTGGTCGCCTAATGGTGGAGCGATGTATGCTGTTGTCAACAAGGATGAGAAGAATCCTTACGGTGAAAACCCAGGATACAGAATCGTACCAGGTAAGCTCCTCTGATTGCCTCTGCAACTTGATTCGGCCACTGACATGAATAGCATCTGGCGTGGCATACCTCACCGTCCAAAACTCCAGCATCACCGGGAACGCAGCCCATCACACAACACACCATCTCTACGTCACCCGCCAAAAAGACAACGAGACATACGCCGCTGGCGCCTACAACTCTCTCACACCCGAAGACCCCCAGGTTGATTTTGACAAGTACTTCAACGGCGAGTCCCTCGACCAAGAAGACATGTAAGTTACCCTCATCCCTTACACCTTGGATCGAAGCTGATGAGACCAGTGTCGTTTGGTTCAACCTAGGAATGCATCATATGCCTCACACAGGCGATCTCCCCAACACAGTCTTCTCAACCGCTCACTCCTCTATGTTGATTGAGCCTATGAACTATCTCCTAGGTGACCCATCGCAGGCTAGTTCGCAGCAGGTTCTCATCAAGACTACGGACGGCAAGCCTGAGATTACGAGATATGGAGCTAAAGAAGCAACGTGCCCTGTTGACCTGGTATGTCCTTTACCTTCTTTCTTCTGTACAGCGCTAATTTGTCTTCTGCAGGCTCAGCTCAACCCCGATCTGTCAAACTACTCCAACAGTGTTAGCGTCCTGAAGTATCCTTTCGATAGCTCGAAGCCGGATCGTTGGTAGGGAGCGTTGAGCGTGGAGGGGTCGGCTTCTTGAACAGGAACTGGGCTGCAGTCATCCCATAGATATTCTAGCGATAAGCCTCTTATCTCTACTTACTCGCTCAATTGAAGCTAGTTCATCGCCAAGATGCAACCTTATCAAAAGTATACTCAATAAGGACAAGATCTACCATGTCAATGTTATATCGCTCCAATTTATGTAATAGAAATAAACGGTAGTATTGATCCGACATACCCGGGCAAAGTAAATACCTATCAGCATCCTAGTATAATCGGCATTTATTTGACCGACTCTCTCTTGTCCTATAAGAATTAGGCTTCCATTTCGCAACTTCACGTATTCCCTTTCACCGCATTGCGGACTTTTATACATATTTATTGCCCATTATGAAGTTGATCGCGTTACTGAGCCTGTCCGTCTCAGCAGTGGCAGGGCTACTCCGTCCCAATGGCATATCCTTGAGCCTGAACGGGACGAACTATTTCTTATCGCCATCTGTTCAAGCGACTTTACCAAAAAGCCTCATTCCAGCAAGCATCACTACAGATTCTTTGGCATTTATGCCCATTACCATCGTTGGCAACAACACCGCTCAAAAGGACTTCACCAAGGTGTTCAAAGGCTGGGCCCAAAAGGACGACGTTTGGCAACCTGCATTCTGTGAATTGGTGGTGCTTTTGAAGTCGCCTGGTTGTAAATCAACAACGACTACCTTCAGTGGTATCAAATCAGCTATTTCTTGCTGGCACAAAGCCCCCGAAGTCCCATCAGGGCCCTACTTCCTAGATCCATACAGAGGGAGCCTGCATCAAGTGTACCGGCTCTACGATGACTTCTCCGGTAGCTTTCTTGAGTCGATTCTCCAATCCCCAGACGGGACCTTTCAGACTCTGTCGGCGCACGCTCCGGGTAGCAGTTCTCTCACCATAGGAGTTCCGTCGCGCTTATATTTTACTCGCACCAAAGAAAGGCCTCTAGCTGGTGTTAGAGTTGGAGTCAAGGACCTTTATGACCTCAAAGGTGTGAAAAGCTCGCGCGGCAACCGAGCTTGGTACAACCTTTACCCCGCGGCGAATAAAACAGCACCGGCCATCCAAAACCTGATCAACGCAGGAGCCGTTATTGTCGGTACGCAGAAGCTCTCACAGTTCGCAAATGGGGAGAATCCAACTGCAGATTGGGTCTCGTACGTTGCGCCGTTCAACCCCCGCGGAGATGGTTACCAAGGTCCATCATCATCCTCATCGGGTGCGGGAGCGTCTGTAGCATCTTATCCGTGGCTTGACCTTGCTGTTGGAAGTGACACAGGAGGTTCTATCCGCGGACCTGCCGGAGTCTCAGGCATTTTCGGCAATAGACCTACTCACGGCCTTGTCAGTCTGGATAACGTGATGCCGCTTTCACCCAAGATGGACACAGCGGGTTTCCTGACTCGGGATCCCGAGATCTGGAGTGCAGCACAAGCCGCTATGTACAAGAAGAACTACACGGCATTTTCAAAGGAGAAAGTCAAGTACCCGCGGACGATTTACACGGCAGGGTTTCCGGCCAACGATACACCTGAGGGCGTAATACTGCACCAATTTGCCAACGATCTCGCTGACTTTCTCGCCACCAATGTAACTGAGTATAACATTAGCGGGCAGTGGGATTCAACAGGGCCGGAGTCTGTGCGAAATACTCCATTGGCAGACTTACTGAACGTAACCTATGCTGCTCTCATCACCAAGCAACAGATTGCTTTAGTCAAAGAGCCGTTCTTTAAAGATTACGCTGGTATGTGCAGATATATACAAGACAACTAGATTTCATGGCTAACTCGAGAATTTTGTAGCCGCTCATGATGGCCGCACGCCTTACGTAGATCCAGCACCCAGCGCGCGATGGGCATGGGGAGAAAGCCAACCAGACTCCATTCTTGATGACGCCATTCATAACAAAACCATCTTCATGGATTGGTTCAACCAAAACGTTCTTCCGAAAGACAAAGACTCACAAAGATGCTCTTCTAGTATCTTGCTGTATACCCAGGGCCCAGGGATCTTCAGCCGCCGCGATGTCTACTTAGATCCCCCGAGCGTTCCATTCGGATGGTCATTAAGTAGGATTTCCATCTTCAGCGAAGCACCTGACAGCGTGTATCCAATTGGGGAAGTATCGCAATTCAGCGATATCACCGGTAGAAATGAGAGCTTGCCCGTTAGTGTTAATATCATGGTAGCCAGAGGGTGCGATGGGCTTGTGCCCAGGCTGGCTCAGGATCTTGTTGGGCTTGGCTTATTGAAGATTCCAAAGACTGGCGGGAGCATGTCAGGTGGATCAATTCTGTTTTAGATCTCAGCCTCTTCAAGGGAAACGGATAAATGATGATGGCATTTCGTTTCATGCCAATCTTAGGCAGGTCTTCTTCATAAGCTTAAATTATGCTAATTTTGGTATGCGGCTCCACCTCCACAGTCAACATGCGTAATGGCGTCTGGTAGCATTCCATCTCAGAAACAAATACAGGGAGGCTACTCGCAACTCATCCCATTTCCGCTTCGCCTAGAATACGGAGGCCCAGTGATCACCACAAACGTCGCTCTGCAATAATGCAATGTCAGGAACCTCCCAGCACTCGATTGTCTTGGGGGTCAACTTACTCCTACTCTGTCGGGGCATATATGTGATCTCCATGTGTCATAGACGCCGTCGCTCTCAATACATCCCCAATCACAATTGCACCCAGACGGATTGCATAATGTCCCACTGATATCGTAATTACTGACGTGCATGCACCCTGCAGCGCGTGCGTCTCTTCGCGCATCGGTTCGATTGTGACAGCGGCCAATTTCTTCTTGGATGTGTAAGTATCGAGCAGAGACCGAGGCTGCAGAGCAAGCCACTGCGATAACTGTGAACTTCATCGCGATGCGAACAACGTGAAGGGAATGGAAAAAAGCTTGTATGTTGAAGGTGAGAAATGGCGTTCTTGGCGAGACGGCCATCTTTTCGAATAAGCTGGGCATGGACAGAACTTAAGGTGAGGGACTCCAAGACATGTCTAACGCCTGATGCAGCTTTTACTGACAATATGTCGCGTCATGATTGATGCCGCATTCCAAGCAAAAAGGTGGAGATTTCTCAAGGGAGGATAGGCATTCTTTAAGATGGATATGTTTAAATTCTGCATCTTGACACAAGTTACATATATCAAGTGTTGCTAATGGGATCGAAGGATATAAAAAAAGTAAATTTCCAACTGGGTAATTAAAAAATCAAGACAGTTGCAAAAACAATTCATCAGCTTTGTCAATCGACCACGCCAGGAGTCGAACCTGGAATCTCTAGAGGGATCAGTTGCTGAGGACCGAAATCTAGCGCCTTAGCCATTAGGCCACGCGGCCTGATCTTATTGGATGACATTCTGGCTTCAGACGTGAGCTTATGGATGAATTGCTTGGTAATTCACAGGCATGAGATTGACTAGCAGGTCGTTTGTTCCCACTGACTTGGAGCTATGCTCCTCATAAACTCATGGGTATACAAGCCGTACTGCACCCTTTGAGTAAGTGAAGACAACAGACTTGCGTGTCCCTGTTCCAGATTGAGTATAACCTCCCAGGATCTATAAAGTTTAAGAGTCACAACGCCTCGCTCCCTTCCTTGAATCATAGCATTTAAACTTTTGCCAAGGCTTTTACTATATACACCTGACAGTCTACAATGGGGCCGTGGAGTATTTTATAATCCTCTTCTCCGCTCAGGGTATGAGAACTGCTTATCATAACTATCTCAAGAAGTGCAAGCGAGATGCCTATATCCACCACTGCCCCGTCGAAAGACATCGGCAAAATGTAAAAGGAACAGCTGTGCCCCATACAAGAAACATATATAAGCCTGGAATGAGCGCATGTCTTTCAACCTACCGACTTCAGCCTACAGAACATCTTACTTGGCCTGTGGTTTCTTTACCAGACACTATCCTATTGCTCAGCATAGACCGACAATGCAGATCAAGTTAGCCACTATCTTCCTCTTCCTGGCTGCTGGGCTCCATGCAGTAGAAGCCAATAAATGCCTTTACTCACCTCCACGCAAGTGTTCAGAGGGTTGTGACAATGGAGGTTGTACTGGGAAAGGTTTGGACGACGACGTATGCTACTACGACTGTTAAAAGACCATTGTGAGTACATTAGTCACCTGTCGTTGACGCGTACTAAGTTTCATCTTCAACGATAGTTGTCAGGATTCGACTCGTTACGTTCGCGATTACCAGCCAATCATATGAGGTCCGACAGGGACGACTTCGTTCTAGGAAGAGAAGACAGCAAGGGTATACGCTAAGACGATGGCTTAAACCGGTGGCTCTTTATTGTATTTTAGTGCCATCACATGGGGAAATTCAGCTACAGTTCCTGCTCCATATACGCTTCACTTCATGTACAAGACGAGGTTCAAGCAATAGTGGTAATTTCATCCACAATTCAGATTTTCAATTTGTATCTAACACATCTATCTTACATCCGACCACCAGAAAGGGAGTTTATTCCAATTGAGACGCATGTCTCCAGCTTGCCCAGAATCAGAGGACCTCGGGGGTCTCCTGCTCACTCTTCTTATCATCAAGAGGCTTGTCAAGACCAAGGCGCTGACGAGTGCTGTAGGTAGCGATAGATCCATTGGCATCAGCCTCAGTGATGAGCTCCTTGCGACGAGTATCAACCAGAAGGCGGATGAGGTCAGGGCGCATGTAGTGACCGGCAAAGTCAGCGAGAACCTTGGTGAGGTGAGTCTCGTTGAGATCAATGTCAACAAAGAGAAGACCATCAAAGTCCTTCTCAGGCTTGACGACCAAGCTACCATCAGGGCGGTAGATACGAGCATGGCCGTTGTAAACAGAGGGATCGGTCTCTGGCTCAACACCCTCGGGAGTGTTGATCTTGAGACCCTCAACAGACAAGCGCTGGAAAGGAGCAAGGGTCCAGGTACCTGTCTCAATAGCGTACTCGGGAGTGACCAGGTCAGAAGCAGGATCGGCGTAGTTGGTAGCAGGATCAGGAGCGACCTGACGCTCCTTTCCAGGGTAGACAGGCCAAGCGGCGACGTGAACCTGCTCACCAGCAGAGACGTTGAGAGACTTGAGGAAGGGGTTCATGTTCTCCCAGCAGTTGAGCTGTCCAACACGTCCAATGTCAGTCTCGCTAACGGACATGAAGGTATCACCAGAGCCATCGCCGTAGACAAGCTTCTCAACGTGAGTGGGCTTGATCTTGCGACGGAGGTTGATGACGGCACCATCGGGGCCGATGAGGGCTTGAGTAAGGTACAGAGTTGCGTGGTCGATCTCAGAGAAGCCAAGGGAGACGTAGATCTGGTTATCCCGAGCTGCGCGACGGATGCGGCGAAATTCCTCAGAGTCAACGGCCATGGAGTTCTCGCGGTAGCGCTTCAGCATGGGGAGGGATTGGAGGTAGGTGACCTTCCACATCCAGTAGGGATATCCAGGGATCCCTGGTGGTTGTTAGTAGTGAGGTTGAAGTGAGGGGATGAGATGAGACTTACAAACTTCGGGGAAGGCGACGAGCTTGCAGCCAGCTTGACCGGCCTCGTTGATGAAGTCAATGGTCTTGCGAACACCGCCCTCAAGATCGAACCACTAGATGTTGTCAGTTGTGTTTGAGTATTTGGTATATTGAAACTCACTCCAGGCTCGGAGGTGACAGCAGCGGCCTTGTACTTGGTGATAGCCATGTTGAAGGTTGTCAAGATGGTTGTTGATGAGATTGGTGTTTGCGATGAAGTTCTGTGAGATGATGAGTGAGACCAAACTCGAGCGATGCACCATCATATTTATACAACAATGAGCATCAGTACATGTATACAAAGCACTGACTGTTATCTCATGAACGTTGCAGTCCGAACCACCGAGCTCTCCCGTATCTGCACGACCTTCATGATATCTGCACCATGATGTATACCGTCACATACAGCATCCATGCATACCAGACCTTTCAGCCAATAGAATCAGTACACCAAGATCTACCGCACATGGAGAATTGCCGGAGAGGCCTTACCGAAAATGTCCGTGGCGGCGTAATCGTCTGATAGTCCACTCTTTCGCCGCTGCGGCGTGGTGCGGCCCGCAGATTGATAAGTCGTGCGGCGACGCGGCGGTCGCCGTGTAATGAATCCTGGGGGAAGGCGGCGAAGAATGGATATCTTGAAAGCTCGTGAGGTCTTGTGGTTTCATGGGTGCATTGATTTACACAATGTAAATGCTGTTCCGCTGATCCCGAGCAGATTACTGCTCCGATAATGCCCGTGTTATTATTGGGGCGGATGATTGTTGGGATTGGGAATGCGTAGGAGGAAATGAATTGCATGTGTTTCATTGAACTGCAGAGGAACTTGTTGGGATACATTGGTCTGACCATAGTGTCGCATTGCTTTGGAGGTTGCTTGATAGAGACGCTGATGCTGACCATAGTGGAACTTGCCACTTCCGATTTCTGAGTAATCATGCACGGCGATCCTATGATAGCATTTAGAAAATACAGCAATCGATGTTAAAATCAATCATAGCTTTAGTATAGGTATGTCACATTCTGCCAATCCTGCTCTTCCATGCCGACTCATATTGAAGAATTGCTCATGTTTGCATGATAATCGTACTGAGCAAGATAGCAAAGACAACTGCCTGACTTGACCGTCAGCTCACCCTGTACCATGCAGCATCCAGCATCCAGCATCCAGAATGCGGAGAACGTGGTATTTCTTACTGAGCATTGCAGATATGGGTGACATGTATGCACCAAGATGCAGTTGATGAGTGACAAATGACCTCCCGAATTGTACATGATCTGTCTCTCCATCTTTCTTTGTACAAATGCATGCTGATCCGCGGCCAGTGTAGTTACGTTCGCGAGACATGGAAGTCGAATTTGGTTGTCACACTGCTCCACGATAATGAACAGTCTATGGGAGTAGAAGGTTATGGTAGTAAGAGATACATACCTCAGGCTTCCAGGCTATCAGAATAACTTTTTGAAGGAACTTTTTGAGCCGGTCTATGCCGAAGGCATGGGAGATTGGGCGAACGTCGTGGACCACCCAAGACGATGAGATACTGGAGATGGAGGAGTGGTAGGTCCCGTTTCTTCTTAAGCTGGCTCCCTACTCGTCCTTATACATCCGGTCTTTCATACTGCCATATAGCGAGTACTGGGTCAATTCAATCATTACGACTAGAAGGGTTACCGTATCGGGGGTTTGGGCGGAACTTTTGCAATTGACGAAGATGGGGATTTCCGACCAAATGGATCTTGCCTTGAGCGAACACGGGTATCTTTCAAACGAAATGATGGGAAGTGCTGATGTGAGAATATACGCGGAGGTCAACATCATGGACACCATACAAGTCCCAAGAGGAAGAGTCGGATTTGGAGTAGTTATAGAAGACCCCTGAAGGGGAAGGTTCCGGCAAACAGATCAACCCCTTATTATATCTTGAGCTTCACAATTTAAAGAGCTTATAAAGACAGCATAGTAGCTTACTTATAAGAGTTATGTTTACTGTCTGACTTCTGAGATATACCCTTAAACTAGTTGTTTAGCTCTTTCATAAGAGACGATTAAGTAATCTCTTTTAAAATGAAAGGATACTCATGCCACCGTAAAGGTATTAATATCTTCTGACTATACCTTGAAATGACAGCCATAGTGCATTAGAGACGCAAAGAGGAGTTTCAAGTATTCATTTCATGTCTATATGCAAAGCAAAAAATCCTCCCCGTCTATCAAACTCCGAGCCAAACACCACCAGAGGATCCAACTGCTGCAACTACTCCGTCAAGTCACCGGGAGTAGGCTCAGTGCTAATCCCCTGCAAAACACTTTTATCAGCACTCTTCCCCTCCGCCGTCTTAACAACCTCTAACAATTCAATAATCCTCGGTGACCAACCCCCATTGGCCTTTCCCTCCAGAATCTGCGCCGACGAAACCTGCGCTCCATAAAACTCAGCATTAACATCTCTCTTCTCCTTAATAACTGTCCCATCAACAGTCAAACCACCATAAATACCACGAGACTTGGTATACGTCCAAACAGGCTTCACCTCTCCCACGTTGACGTTTCCACCGAGCGGTCCAGCTGCAAGAGCAACGGCGCCTCCAAGGTTGACTTCTGAATTTTTATAAGCGTCGACTGCGTCTTGGGTGTTGAGGACACAGATACAGTCGTACACGTCTATGCCGTAGACGAGACCGACACTACCGCTGCGGACGGAAAAGGCAGAGGGTGAAGACCATGATCCGTCGGGGAGACGGGCGATTACAATGCCTGAGCCGCCTGCGCCGGCGAAATACATTCCTGCTCGGAAGCCGGTGAAGATGGCGAGGCCTTTGGCGTTGCTGATGACGTTGGAGGGGATTTTGTTCTTGTCTGTTGTTTGTTAGATGAGAAGCCGTTGATGGGTCGAGGTAAGCATACCGACGAAGCTCTTGAGGATACGAGCGCTCTTTTCGCACTCCTCACGAAGATCGGCAGTCTTGAAAAGGCCCATTTTGATGATCTGCGATTGTATTGTATTATTTGGTAAAGGTATTTGGTTGTTGTTACTTAGGTATTATGTAGTAGTCAAAGATGAAGTGATTGAAGTCGCGATGTCTTGAGAACTAATGGTGAGTATAGAGATTGTCTATTGAAGACGATGCTATCCGAGCCTTTATAGAAAACATCTTGATTTCTACATCGCGTCTACAAGTACGATAATTTGCGATCTTGCGCAAATCTGCGTATGCGACAATGCCCTCAGCATAGCCTCAGTTGGCGATACCTTCTTTACGGCCTCAAACTCACCTCAATTGACAAATAATCAAAATGGACCAATCACACCCTCCAGCGTATGTAAGCAGCGTATCGCAGCGTATTCCGCGTACATCGTAAACCTGACCAATAAGCACTAGAGCTCAATGAGGCTTTGCACCACTTCAACGATTGGACCGGGGAGAAAATAGCTTAGATCTCTTAGTTCAGTGCTAAAATCACGGGACGCGCGGCGAGAGTCATGATGGAGGGTAGACCCTGTTTTACTTAGAGAGTTTTGAGTCTGGTTGCCTAGAATTCTGCAACGTCCTGACTAGTTTAGCTGATTTATTGATTGTTGTGATGATTGTGGCTTGAAGCGTTCGGCGAAGGCCTCGGATGCTACGATTACTTCGGCGGGGTCGGAATGTTCCGTGAGGTCACCTCCATCGAGACCCAATTCCGTTATCTTCATCAAGAGTCATAGCTCAAGGGGTTTCAACATGACAATTGCTCCTCGACTGCATCGCCTCGAGGCGTCCCGAGACATCAATAGTGAACAGATTTGAAGATCAATAAGCCTTTGGCTAATCATTAACATTAAAAAAAATCTATATAAATATTCTATTGGGTATATCCCTCGTGTGTATCAATCCTCTACCATATATGTCTTGTCTAAACACCGCTATAATTCCGCTGATGCAAATGCTTAGTCGAGCTCGCCTCGCTAACTGCACGGTCATTATGCTCCTCGGCAGTAGATTCACCATCATCATCCTGCTGTTGTCCCTGATGCACAATCTGCGTGACGACAGTCTTCTTGATACCCTCAATCTTCTCACGCTCCTTGAGCTCATACTCATCCTCCTCGCCGAGTTCAATATGTGTTCGGTGATGGGCGCTGGCAAGGGTCTGACCGAATCGTGTGCCGTGAGGTCTCGATGTTCCGGTCGTTCGTGATCGTGAGGAGTAGTCGTGACCGTTGCGTTGGTCGTTGTTACCGGCGCGAACGACCTTGCCAATGAGATCGGCCATGTTCATCTCGATGTGAAGCTTGAGAAGGTAGACGAGGGGATGGAATTGAATGTAACTAAGAGAGTCAGTATAGAGAAACAGTCGGGCTGGTGATGGACTCACACAAAGCCGTTGGGCAAAGACATCATGCAGATAAGGAGTACATCCAGAGCAATGGAAATAGCGCACAAAAACATGTTCATCTGATACAGACGAGTATACTTCTGCAGACCATTGGCGACAAGACGCTGCTTGACAACATAGATGAAGTAGAAGTTGAGAATAGCATCCATGATAGCGAAAATGACCTTCTCGCATCGATCCCAGATGTTGTTCAAGTGGATATAGGTCTCGCTAATCTGTAGTCGAGCGGGGACCCAGATGCAGAACACACTGATGTTGACAGCGAACAGGATAAGGAAGCAGAGCCATTTGAGCTTTGTACCGTTGGATCGAACAACCATCAATAGCGAAACTCGGTTGATGATGATTTGGATAAGACATTGGACCTGCGTAGACCACCAGACAACTACGCCCGTTAGCACACACTCCATACCCTTCAGTGTAATGAGGTCTTACTGATGAAGAAGAAAAACTGCATGCTCGGCTCAATGTCACCCCGAAGATAAAACCAACACATAACACCCAAGATAAAACTCGAGATGATCTCCGCCCAAATCAGCGCAATGTAACTGGTGACCCTCTTCCTTCGATTCCACGCAGATCTCGTCTGTCGAATCGCCTTTGCGATGTTAAAGAGCGTGATGCCGAGCGACAAGCCCCAGGCGATGGAGGCGATGTTCATGTCGGTCTCATTGGGAAGATCGTCGACATAGTTGTCTGGGACGAGGAAGCCTCTTCCTGTCATCTTGACGTCAGGCCTGCAAAAGAATAAGAAAAAAGAAAGGTTATAATGCAAACAGCTGAAAAAGGAATGTGGAAAGAGGAAACAAACATGAACGGGCTCCTTGCTTGGATTTAAGAAACAGGCTTGCAGAATCTGCAGTAGTCTCGGTACTAGCTAACGAAAGAGCCCCTGTTTTTGAGGTACTGCCGATCACCATTGGAGGCTGAAGTGGCTTTCGTTGGGACCTAACGGCGTGAGGAGCTAGTTACGTGCCGAACACGGCGGGGGACAGAATAATCGATGAGAAAAGTCTGGTTTCATCGTAGTGTGTTATGAGTGGTTAGAAAGGTGTCTCGTATTTCTGTCGCCCCGAGACTAGGTTGGGGAGCTAGACTGGGAGACCAGATGAGATGGACGAACAGCTAAGAAAGTATGTTCATGGATGGCCCCTGAATCATGGGAATAGACCACAAACACTTAATAGCTTCGTTGGACAAATCGCGTGCCAAGAGTGTTTGCATAAGCAATAAGTCGTAGTGTATTTGCATCACGAGTGTCAGTGAGACATTGCTGTACCCCAGATGATGAGAGACTCTCGGTTCTCTGCAGTCTAAGCGTCAAAAAGTATATGACCACAGTTTCAGGCTCTATCCTTGCTCCTAAACTCAGATATTCGCAAATCGGCCGCCTTGTTTATCGCATTGGGCTCCAATCCCCTGAACCTCGTCGGTGTAAAATTGACCGAGTCATTGTGGTTCCCCGCTAAGCTTACTCCAACTCACAGCTGCTGCAGATCGCGGGAAATCGTGGATCCTTTGCCCCCTTTACTTGAGATTGGGCTTTTTTCTAGTGTCTCGGTATCACTTTTTCAGTCATTTGTGATCAAGATGCTCGCGATGGCCCGTCGTAGATCTCCCACCGTCTGTTCGCCCAACGGTTGATTCAGCCAAGCACCAAAGAACCCAAATTAAATTCTCAGAATAGAACATACACTTTTTTACTCACGGGCATTTTGTATATGAACGCTATAATTTTATGAGACGACGCTAACACGCTGGCGCCTTGATACCCAGCATTTGTTTAGTAATTGAATATGTTTGCCTTGTTTTTCCTAGCGCGAGTCAACGGCCCCCTGTGATTTTGTGAGATTGGTGTTCTAACTGCAACGAGTATTGTTAGGCATAGTATCGTTTTGGATCTCGGCGGAGGAAATGCCGAGGATGCTGGGTAGTGAGAACGGTGAACTTGGCACGATCCGAAGAATTGCGGCGTCTGGAGATTATCGCGAGTCAAAAGCTGTGAGGTTGATCAACAGTATGGCTTGAAGTGATTGATGCTGTTAATGGTATGAAGAAATTACGTGCTTCAGTGCGATTACATATGCCGCGCTGAGTATCTTTCTTTATGGGTGATCTTCACAGCCTTCTACCACGTCCGCAATCTAGTTCAACTTGGTATTTTGGAGCTGAAGACAGGCAGCGCAGACGTGATGCGCACGTGTATTGAGCACCGTCGAGTCAGATACTGTCGACACCAGAATTGATGCCGAGAAAACGACATTGTTCATCGTACACAGTGGCGCTCTTGGTGTTGAGTCGCCCTCAATCTAATCTTGCGGCGCGATGAGAATGGATCCCTCATGACTCGTCGATGCCGATATACTCTAACCCCGGTAGTCTAGTGCAGTGGCTGATAAAATTCCCTCCTCTCAGCCTCCAAAACATACCAGACCTCACCTGAAAACTGTCACAAAAACGTGGCACAAACAATTAAAACCGTCATTCTACTCTCCTTCCATAGGGCTGGTTTCATGACCTTCTCCCTTGAGACAAAAACGTGGCAGACATTCCCATCTCGTGGCGTTTCTCATCAACAGAGTTCACACTAAGCTTTAGATACATTAGTTTCCACCGGGGAGATGCAAAACTCCGCTTGCTCCGCTAGCCTCTTACTTTTTTTTTTTCGCCTCCCGAGGAAGTAAATCTCGCAGAAGACCCTTGTTTGCGCTTTGACTTCCGTGCTGCCCCGGACTTTTAACTTTTGTAGCATCTTGGGACATGATGCTCGGGGACGTGTGTTACCGGAGGGTGATCAGCGATATAGGAGGGCCTGGTTGTGTTACATCGCGAATCGTCGGGAGATGGGCATTTGATCGGCATGTGGCTTTGCACGCTTGCATTGGGCATCTTTGTAGTCTGGAATGGCTGTTTGCAGATATCTAGCACGCTCTTACGTAGTCGCGGAACTAATGCCCCGGTATGACTAGAACTGTGTACCTCCGAGGACCAGTGACATACAATCCATAGTCCAGAGATAGGTCTCCCGTCTTTTCATAGTAGATCTTGCGGCCCAGAATCGTCAGCATGGATCCCTCTATCCACTGATCGGCTTCTCAGATACCAAGATTTCGGTACAACTACTGCAACCGTCTACCTGGTCAGAGTAGGGCAGTAGGGTTCTAGCTTCGGCGTATAGCAGACGCTAGCGATTGGATCCGTTGGTAGCAAATCATAGGCCGAAGGATCTAGTCGCTGTGGGTTCTGTGAGATTGTTGCCATGGGTCAGTGATTTCGAATTCCCCATGTGTTTGATTGATGGGAGATTCAGGGTTCGAGATATCGTATTCTCCAGTTATGTAGCGTCGGGAGATGTCGCGCCGAGAAGTATGTACGGAGTATGAATATCTGAGATTATCTAGAGATAGCGCAACATAGATTGGCATGGGCCTGCCTGCTTAGGTGACCCAGTATGCTAATTCGTAATCTCAATTGAAGAATTCCCAATTGCATCTTGACGCTGCTGCAAACAGTTTCAGACTTGGAGCCGAACAGGATTGACGTCTTGCAGTTCTTTTCGTTCTCCGTAGATGCTGGGACATTCCCTCCTACGCAGGATCAGCTCTTGCCTTATCTTATCTTATCGCTTATCAGGAATCTCGACCCAGTCCAACATCTGCTCAGGCTCAATCAGAAATGTATAATAGCGAGTATTATTGTTTCTCCGCGTATGTAAGACGGGATATATGATCGGTCGGATATTCGGACCGCTCAGTTCAGTATGTACTACTTGCTCAGGTAAACATAAGTTTTTTTCGATGCTGGAAGATTGGCCATCCACATCGCCGATCCAAAAAAGCAAAAAATAGAAACAAGGTAAGGATTTAATCTGTGCGACACACATGACAGTCCTATAATGCCAGATAACTCTGCAATAGTCTTGTGTTTATTCTTTTGTACCTGTAGTATTGTGGGCAATTCAAAAATCGCCGTGGCTGGCTTCACTTGTAACACAGAGCATGCTCCTTCTAGGGTAGCCATAAAATCTGAGCGCTGGGTGGCGGGATGCTGAAAGAGGCCACCAAGTTTACTGTTTATAACAATCCATGACGCCTACTCATATACCTAGAGCCTCTGAAAATTGTCTCTCGATACGTATAATGCTCATCTCTCTCTTTACTCAAAAGTACGGCTTTCGGAAGCCCGTTTTGTCTCCCAGGCGTTCTTATAAACCCCATGGGCCGTTGCCCACAAAGCATCCACTCAAGCTTCGGAAAGATGACGGCGTACTTCTTAGCTTGATGAAGCATACGGTTTCGATGCTTCCTCTCCCATATCGTCACGAGTTCCATCTGGTTATCAACTTCTTCCCCTTCCCGATCGAGATCCGGCATAGCGTTTGCTTCCTCCCCAGACTTTGGTCGTAGGTCATAGGGATAGTAGCATGCTGACTGGAGGGTACCATTAACGCAAGGATACACGTCGTGGGAGAATGCCAGCTTGGTAAGTCTTTGGAGCGGGCTGAGGCGGTGACGGATCTTGTTATGATCTATTTCCCAGAAGTATTTCCCGTCGCAGGGTCTTCCAGCACTGAGACTTAGTTGCTCTAGAGAACCAAGTCGCGCGATCATTTGGAGGGACTTGCCGGGGATTCGAGTTTCCCCCCATGTTAGATGCAGCGACGCGAGATTACCAAAGTCGTAGCTGGTGAGTGTAGGGAGAATGATATCATCCAGGTACTTGGTCCCTCCAAAGGTCTCCTGGAGATACAGTTTGCGCAATCCAGTGTGCTTCGAGATGAACCTTGCAATGCCCCTACAAGCTGACCTATTTCTTGGTGGACGAGAAACAGTAAAGTCTTCAAGATCTCGTAGAGGCTCGCAGTTAGAGATCGAGCGGCTAGGTAGTACTATTTCGTCCAACTCAAGAGACTTGAGAGGCGCCCCGAGAAAAGACGAAATAGCGACGCTGTCGAGCTTGATCCATTGTAGCCTCAGGTATTTCAGACGAGGAAATACCATGGCTGTCTCCCCAATCGAGAGGGGGACGTCATCATCCTCGATGCCTTCCGAATCACTCAATATCAGGGGCTCGAGGGTAGATGAGCAGGGACGGAATAAGGTTGAGAAAAACACAGTTATCGCGTGCGTTCGCGCCTCGCCTTCCAGTTTACTCCTCTCATATCCGTACTTTGCCAAACTAACGTCGAGCTTGAGCGACCGGAGCGGCCAAGTCGAGGGCGTCAAAGGTGGCGCCAAAGACCACGCGTCATCAATCACTACCCCGTCCAGCTCGAAGTGTCGCGCCGAGCATCGCACTATTTTTTCGAATAAGTCCTTATGCAGAGAATACTCATCCTTCCAGATGAGGATATCAAGATTGGGCATTGCTGAAAGGGCCTTAGCTGCAGCTTTTTGCACGTCCCTGAGGGTCTGAACAACAATAGCATATGATTGCTCGCAGGAAAGTCCCTCGCGACCTTCACGAACACATGCCTTGGCAAACCTTCGATGATAACGACAGACATCTTTCCGATGCGCAGCAAACGTAACCTTACGAACGCAAGCACTAACACCCGGTCTGAGCCCCCGAGAAGACTTAAGTTTAGAAGCAAACCGCTTTGACCGGGAGTTGTACTTGAAGATGACCGCGGCAAATTGACGGTGGCGCGCAAGTTTCCGACAATCGCTGTTGACCAGCGCAAAAGATGCCAGCGATTGCCTGTCATCGCTTAGAAGTTCGGCGATATCAGTGAGGATCTCGGCGGGTAATTGGAGAAGCCTGCAGGTGGATGCTCTAGGCTGACCTTGCTCTACTGTGTCGAGATGAAGGGATCGACGTTGGGAGCTTTCTCTGCCGAAGTCGTCGACACCAGGCAGGCCGACCTTGCTCATCGTGAGACTGATGACGTTGTAGTCGTATTCTAAGTTTATGGGATTGATGCTGGAGATGAGGTAGTGCAGTGCTGGACAATGTGGAACAATTTTATCTGGGCGAGTCTGCTTTCTATATAGATAACATCTATGGGTACCTTTAGATCGCTCGTTGGGTTGGGTATCTATCAAGGTATATGGCTGGGTTTGTATGATGTGTTGACTCTGTATTAAATTTGTTGTGGTTTTTTTGGCGGAGAGTATGACGCCTTCTCTTGTCGTGTGTTGCGGAGGGGAAAGAAAACTCTATTCGCAACACGCGCGGGATGTCTAGGTATGGCATCACTCGTCTTTTGATGCGTCATCACCCAATGTTTACATCTTTGACACGTTGTAAATCAGCTTGAAATCAGCTCCAGGTCCCGGTATTGCGCCGGAGAGCACCCTTGACAGGTGACAAGCCACCTACCAGCTAAGGTAGGCAACATCATGGTTAGGATAAATCTGAATATACTAAATCTTCCTCGGCAATTATCCCGCACTTAAGGATATTCACAGCATACTTATAACGAAGAATGGAGACATCCTTTAACCTCAATACACAAAGATGAAATCCTCATTCTTGAGGTCCGTCATATCCTCAAAGTCATGGTCATGTGCCACCATTTCTTCATTGCTCTCGAGCTCAGCGGCAGCAGAAGTCTGAAGCATGGATCGATCGACAATAACCTCAGACTTGCCAAGAGCCAAGCGTCTGCGGGCGTGGGATTTGTTGAGGAAAAAAAGATACAAGGTGACAATACTTTTTGCATGTTAGTTAGTTGTTCAAGGTTGGCGTTTTGGAACCACTTACACCGTAAGAATCATGACAAGGATAAACATGCACAAGTTGGAAATGAGACCTTTGCGGTAAAGGGGAGCTTGGTCAGTACTATAGAGGAGAGGTCCAATCACCTGTCGAATCGGTCAACATATGTAGTGAAAAGCGAGGTTATTCTGGGTCACTCACGTTGCCAGTACATAGGCCAACGAACATGACACCTGTAGTGACCTTTCTCTTGGTATCGCCAGCGGTATTTTGGGCCTCCCAAGCAAAGATCAGGGGCGTGATTCCGGGGTAGACAGAGATCTAAAAGCCTTGTTAACAATGCTCTCGGTCATCAGTGGGATCCTGAAGGACTTGCAATGTAGTAGGCGAACAGCAAAATACCCTTCTTGTCGTCAGTGTGCGGGATCTTCAGAAGCAAGACACATCCGACGATGGGAGTAATGCAAAGAAGCATGATGATAGGGCCCTTACGGCCGAGTTTGGTGGCTAGCCAGCCGGACCCGATGATGGCGCACATCTGGACTGCTCCAAAGGGTATGTTGAAGAGAATAGTCTGGAACTTGTTGTAACCAAAGGACTTGACGATGAGTGATCCGAAAGTGCTAATACCGCCACTGGGGATGGAAATGGTGATGACGAGGAAGAACCAGCACCACGTCTTGAGATCAAGAATGGATTCCTTGACATGATCCCACTTCCACTGCCGGGAAACAATACCCATTTGATTTGATCGGAGTCTCTCGATAGTGACGACCTTTTCTCTATCGCTGAGGAACTTGGCTTCCATCGGGGAGTCGGGCATGAGGAAGTAAACGGGGATTGAGTAGGCGACGGTAAGAAGACCGCAGAAGAGGAAGATGATCTAGGACTTGGTGAGTGGGAAGATTTTGTTTCTGTGGAGAATCTTACCTGGTAGGAGAAGAGAGCGCTGCTCTGAATGTGACCAAGTCCGAATGTGAAGAGACTGCCGATTATGAACGTCAATCCGTTCATACCACTCCAGTAAGAGGTTCGAAGAGTCTGTTCATTTCTCTTCCACCACATCTGTGTAACAGCGATAAGAGAAGGAGCTACAACGATGTCAATAAAATTCCCATACTCCTCGTAATGAGAACTTGGTTGGAACAAAGCATACCAATAAGAGACTCAAAAGTCCCCAAAAACAATCGCATAACCAGAAGCGTCTTGAAAGTCGTGCAAGCACTCATGATGCAAAGCGACGAACCCCAGAGGAAGATAGCACCAGCGATGACCTTTCCAGTGGGCAACTTGACAAGAGTCAGGGCAGCAAGAGGCTGGGCGACAAGCTGGGCGAGGTATAGAGACGAACCAAGCCATGAGAACTCCTTGCCATGGAGATTGGCGTCGGTGGTGATGTCAAAGACAGAAGAATACGCAAGAGTGGACTTGTCGAGTTGTTGGAAGAAATATGCTATGAGGATAAGGGGCAGGATCCTCCAGTCGATCTTTCGGAGAACCACTTTTTCTTCCTCGGGTGTGAAGATGATAGGTCCAGTCACGGACATTTGCTTGAGGAACAACGCTGCTTTATCGGTTTCCTTGACGGGAGTGATGGTGTCTATACGGTCAGCGTGCTCAGCTGCAGGAGCAGCGGCAACGTCGCCGTCATTAACATTCTTCGACATGATATCAATAACTCAAACTATAAACAGACACATAAAGACTTGGAGGATGATAGACTTAAGAACTGTTGATCTTCAGTGTTGCAGGTGCGAAGCACCTTTATATCTTAAGAGGGGGAACTGGGGAATGCAGCTTAAACCTGCAAGTAAACCTCAACCCCCACTGATCTGTCCATAAAGTGCGGGGGAATCTGGGGCCCCGGATAGCATGCAACATAATGTGTCAAAGTGGTTGGTTGAAAACATAGTTTGGGGGACCCTGGCAGAAGAGCTTACAAGGGTGAACGCCATCGGGGAGAATCCCGAAGGTGATAGTCTGAGCTTAATCAATAGCCGGCAATATTCTTAAGCGGCCTCCATCAGTTGATCGAGTCATTGAGGGGGAGACCTTGGGGGTAGTTAAGATGTAAATTGGAAGCACATATAGACAACTGACATGTTTGGAATGAGAACAATTCCTGAGATGAAGATGTAACAGAAGGCCAGACTTTATGGATCTAAAGATATACATAGCCCTACTCCGTATTTATCTTATTTATCAGTATATCAGCATAAGACCTTTATCAGTTAGAGTCTCTTGAAACCCCCAAACCAGGTAGGCCATGACGAGCGGATAAAACGGCAACTGGGACGCCTTTTCCTTATAAGTGCGTTTCCGATATCACATGGTCGGCCCAAGCTCCACATTCCCCTCACTTCCCACGCAGATCACAGCAGAGAGTAACAACACCATCAAGGCCTAGAATGCTAAGGGCGTTCAATGGAGCGGGGTGGAAGCTAAGTTGTCTTAAAATGCTTGAAGGTTGTGATATACTGGTTTGATGCTATATACTTATGAATCGAGAGAAGTGAAGACAAATCAGCTGTTTTATTCATTAAGTCAGCATCGAGAGTCTCAGTTCTTCTTGAGGTTAAACAAAGGGCTTTGAGTGAAAAGCACTGTAGTAGTCCATAGCCATCTTGGTGTATTTTCCACTGCCGGCTCTCGGCAATCAAGTGAGCTGTGTGGACCTTGATTAGCTGAACCAAGGTGAAAGAGCCTAGACATGACTGTAGTATGCCTAAAAAGGACAAAAGCCTCAACGCTAACTTTGTCACCCCTTCTGACTCCCCCACTACCGGTGACTGAGCTAAAGCGGCTGTACTGCCGGTAGTGTTGATCGCCAAAGTTCAGTCTTTTTGGAAGTGACGTAGATGTCACGACAGGAAAGGTAGCGGAGGGAAGTGGTTGATCTCGATTAATGGAAGACTGAGAGTCTGATTTTCTAGTTGGCAAATCCTCTGATTTTAAGAGCGTTCAGTTTAGCACGGTCTTGGAGAGCAAGTCGGCAATAACATAAAAGCCGTGCTGAATTGCCGACGAGGGAAAGTCCTGGATCGATTTATGGATTTGGGGTTAATTAACGCAACAGTCCTTTGTCTCTCTACCCACTACAACTGCAGAGAATCGGTATAGGCCTTAATTCCTCTGTTACATTTTAACCGGATGCTTCTGCTATTGAGCCAGTGGTCTAGCAGTCTGACCTGATGAAAATAATCAACTACGCATTCATCACGTACTATAAAATACGTATTGGATATATCACCTATCGCTAAGAAATCAAGGAAATCCTTCGTCTGACAGCCAAGCCGGCTGATTGGCCATTTAGTGGATTGATGCTGGCTTGGCACCAGTGAGATGCACCAGAGTCAGGCTGATTGCCCACAGAACAGGCTAAGCGAGATGAACCGTACCACATTGGAGCATCTGATACTGGACAACTCCTTAATGATGGATAAAACTCGCATTATTCCCGCGTCCATCGTAGGCTGATCGTACACTGTACATATACAATGAGCCACAATGTTGGGCTTTAATCGGGTAGTGCAGCTGCACACACTCCTGTTCTGTCTGCTGACGCTGTGTCTCGCGAAAGATGACGAAAACTATGACAACTCGACTAACTACCGTCCTCGCAATGTCACAGGCCTCGGCAACTTCTACCAATGGGTCGGATCGTGAGTCTCGCTGCGGTGGAATTTCATGATGACTTGACTAAACTATTCTCTCAACAGGTACTATAATGCGACAGCGGAGGTCGAGTTGAAACCCATGTTTGGAGATGTCTGGAACGAGACGCTGTTCGGCCCCAACTACACGGATAATCTATGCCCTGAACTCAAGAACTCGACCCAAACCATCAAATACGACGCCATTCTGAGCATCCTCGAGAAAGGCAAATGGAACGTCGGGGGTAACTCTTTTATCTTCTGGCTGACCCTTATCCCTAAATCCTCAGCGGGGTACAACATCTCCTCTCTCGGTGCCGATTTTACGTACGCATCTCAAAATGGGGAACTTCAATTTCCTCTATATTCCGTTGAGTTAGTCAACTACCCTCTCGATACCCTTCCGTACAAATAAGCTAACCTTGATCCAGCCCAAGCCCAGATGGTTTTTGGCGACCCAAAGAGGGTAAAGGCCCTGATATCTTCAACTTCACCACTACCCAGATCAAATCAGGAGCTTACAACATCGGCGCTCTCCTCCGACGCAACGAGCCGGAATCCTACTCGGGATGTCTGAACCTCACCATGCCAGTGTGCAACGCCACCGAGCTAAGCGGCGATTACGGAATCGATATAGCAGAGTATCGATCTTGGGAAGAAGAGGGCTGGGATGACTTTCGATGGCCCAACATCAGCATGTTGTTCGACGACAAGACAGCCAACTTGACTATGGACGCTGTATTTTTTGCAAGACCGTATGTTTGGCCTAATGCGACAGATAAGTGGTCGGCCCCTACAACTGGTAGCCCTGGTGCGCATGGCTTCATACAGATTCGTGTCTCTGGGGTTATTGATGCGTATCATTCGGATTCGCTCAGTCTTGAGGACGAGACGCCTAGTTGGCTGCGCACCGTGGGTTTTGGGAATGATTCATCGAACATTGGATATGACAGTGCAGCTAGCAAGTTGTCGGCCGAGTTCACTATCTCTATGATGGCTGTTGCCGTAGGTATTGTGGTACTTTTATAGATGAGCTTCAGCGATATATATATTCAATAAGCACAGAGTAGAGCTCCGTATCTACAGCCTCAAGCTCTGACCTTTTCATTCTAGGTTATGCCACGTCATCTGGTAGCTGTTCACTCGAGTCGACAAAGACTTCATCTGTGTAATTGAAGTTCGTCAATGAATCTCCACCGAAATCTGATCCAACAGGATATGTCAGCTGTGATTCATGCCATGACCAGTAGGGTCTCAGTTCTTACCAATGTCAAACGGCTGAGAGTACCCATCTCCAGACCCGACAGATGAGAACAGAGGAGGCTGAAATATTGCAGTGACTGGTTGGCTCAATCGAGGGTGCCTCAGGTCTGCATTTCCATCTTTGAGAGTTGAGGATGGTGTTGGGGGTGCTTGCGAGTGTTTTGATATTAGCTTAGCAACTGGTTCGCAGAAAACACCGGGACACTCGTCATGTAGTCGTTTTTGGAGTGAGTTTGGAACTTTGACTTTGTTCTCTTCGAGACGCTCAAGCAAGGTCTCGATGATATTCTCCAAGCTGTCAAGCTTCTTCTTTTGTCTCTCTTCCAGTTGGACATTCCTCTCGTGTGCAGCCTCTAACTCGCTTTCTAAACACACACGCCCCTTGTCCCTCTCCTCTATATCTCGCATCAGAGCATCGCATATATCAGCACCTCTCGGCCTGGACTGCTGTTTGCATTCTCGCCGTGTCGTATTATGCTGAAATCCGACACCTATGTAGAAGTCCGGGTCGAGCGGGCTCTCTCCGGGGTTGATGAGAGTCCAGATAAAAGACCACCTCGCTTTCGCTGGGGAGCGATCGCCATGTCGGGCAGTTTTCAGTTCGGCTGTGATACGGCGCCCCATTGCTGGGAGTGCCAGAACAAGTGGTACCGATACATCGGAGTTCGCAAGGTTGTGATTTATGTCGCTTCCGTACAATGTCGGCCTTCCCTCCGTCATCAGGGACGTGAACCTTTGAGCAGCAACCTTGACATATGACGATACGGTGTCTCTCTTCGAGAGATCTTAGAAGCTGCGATATTGTGGCATTCGTTCCCTGGCATTTCTGCGGTTCTTGCACGGGGCAAGGCATCTGGGGGCGACCCTGAAGAGATGCTATTGCCTCTGAACTGGATGGGTTCTTGTCCTGCCGGGACTCCTTCCGCGGAGGCTCATCCCCATCACCTTCTTGAAACGACCCATCTCTTCCTGGGAGAGAGCGCTTGGGGTTTCTCTCGATATTCGAAATACTAGTAGTGGTCCCGCTCTTGGGAGAGGTCCCAGTTCCATCTGTAAGAGGTGTTGAGGAATATCTGCTGTGAACGGGACTTCCCTCGGCTGACGAAAGCTCATCGGAACTTGACTCGCAATCTTGACGAGAAAGAGTTCGGAAGAGCTCCATTACTAGAGCTCTTGATTCTTCTAAGTTCTCTCCTGGGACAAAGTGCCGAGGCATAGTCTCAAGACTGCAGGAACTAGACTCGGGACTATAAGTGGGAAGTGATGGAGATAGAGCGGTAGATGTATCCCTTGTCGATATAATCCATTCTAGCGTGTCTTTTTTCTCCTGTAGGTGCTTCAAGCTATCCTTAGAAAGCTCAGCCGTACGCCTTTCTTGTTTAGCATGAGTACTTGAGACATTTGTGAGGGGTGCAGAAGAGCACATCTCCATCCCGCCTGATTTATCCGCTTTGTTCGGCCTCTTGACTATCTGGCCTTGTAAACTGGCGGCTGGAGATGGGCTGGGTAAATTAAGTACCGACTCACCAACGCAGACCGGGAGACCTTCGATAGTTGGCTCACCTTGTTTCGTTTCTCGAATTGTGAGAAGATTAGATTGCATGGTCGAAGGGGGACCACAGTTGCCAATGGTCCAAGTCCAGTTCGGGGTTGACGTATTGTAGTCCCTTGGCACATACATGGCAGGATACATGTTTGTGCCTTGGCAAAATAGTGATGATTGGTACAATGTGGTAGGTGGTTGTAGTGGTGGTTTGAAAGATGCTTTGGCCATCATTGCACCGTCATTCATATGGGGAAAGCTGGGTGAATTTCCATATCCGCTATCTCGATCTGAAGGCGACCGTGAAATGGTTTCACAACTCTTGGGCGGTTGCAATACTGCTGGGGATGCAGAATAGCAACTGTCGCTGGGAGTATCTCTACGTAAGTCAGCGAGTGGTCACAGTCAACTTCTCAGTCTGATTGGAGAGGAAATGAGACAAAGCGAATGACTCTCGGGCCTGACATACCTGGGAGGTGCAAAAGTCAAGGATCGCCTCACAAGGTCATGAGGGTTACAAATGAGTGGTTCATCTTGTGGAGGATGCCGGATGTCTTCCATATCTCCAGATGTCAAAGTATAATCTTATCTTGTGATGATTTGTGAAGAATGAAATGAGGTTCAGGAGTTGACTCGACTTGAGGAAGGGCTGGTAAGCACTAAGCAACAGGACTGGACTAAGTCCAAGTGCTTTACAGTGCTTACAAGTAGAGAAAGATAAGATAAGCAACTTTATTCGTTATCGAACCAATTAAAGCTACGAAATCGCCAACTAATAGCGGGTGCCACCGTTATCACAGCATTTATGCACAGTGACTCTACCTGGCCTTGCTAGTACGCTTTACATCTCCAGTAGGTTGGTAACAATTTGTGAGAGCAAAACAATTTGTTTGGCCCCCAAATCAAGCGGCCAGAGCATGTGACCAGCATGATTATGCGCCACTAACCAACACACAAGCCATTTGATGGTACCAAATTGCTCACAATTGAATAATTTGGCAGATAGCATCTTTATGTTTTGTGGCTAACCTGTGAATAAACGCTTGTAAGAGATGGCTTTGTTAGTATTAGCGAGTGGGCGACCGCAATATGTTTACAGATTGCAAGCTATATGAGGGAGAATCCTTTGGTGTTATGGTAACAGATCGGGCAGAGATAAAAAGGCCAGGATACATCTGGGATGGCATACCCTAGCAACAGCCTCCCCCTATCGTTCCAGACATGGCTGTCAGTGCAAGCAACGCAAACGAAATAAGGCTCATACATCCACTGAGCAACACTAGAGTAGCAGCTGAGCCTGCCGACCATCGCCATGCAATTCTGAGTCCGAAAATCTGGGTTGGTTTCATCAAACAAGGGCGTAGCTTTCTCGATACCGCATCTCAAAGGCCAAATATCGAGCAACAGATCAAGGGATTGCAAGAGTATCATGAACAGAAGTTTACGGTCTCTGAGCGATTCATCCGGAAGTGGATTTTCTGCCAGGAACCTATTGTGCTAATAGGAGAACTTTATAGGGTGAAGGAATTTCGTCGACCCTTTATCTTCAGGAGCGTGCTGACGGGTATTACCAGGACCAGCCAAACGATCTGGAAGGCCAGCACTTTCCACTGGAAGTGCAGTTTGACAGCCTGCAGAGACCGCAGGCTCTTACCAAGGCTTTCTTGTGTCCCCGGTCTCTTCGTGGGAACACGAGGCTTGGCTTTCGACCCGGCTGCTTTAATGTTGGCTCAATGAACCACTCGAATAAGGGGAAGGTTCTATGTGTCGGTTATAAAGTCAAAAAGGGTAATCTGATTGGTCCCCTGTTGTTATCTTTGTGTCTATCCTTTGTCACGGCGGCTGTTGCGGCCGTGTTGACGCAGAGTGTATCTACTGGAGTGGGAATTGGCGGTATTGTTGAGGCCACGCTTGTTTTGTTATGGTCTTTCATTATGTGGTATCTCAAATAGATAGTAAAGATGTATGTACTCGTCTCTCGCGGCAAAGTATCGTCCCTAACTAAGCTGCAGTCTATCTGTACCTATTACTCACATATTTTTACTCACCAAAGGGGGGCCGGTCAGGCAGCTGATCGCAGCTTGAAGTCAAAAGAGACAGAGCCGATAAAAATACCCATCGTGTTCCTTCTCTTAAAGTGGTGCCACTTTTCCAAAGCTTCCCTTGTGTCTGTTGTCCCAATGTGTAGTTGTTCCAATACTTCAACCACAACAGCGTACAGGATATCAAGGTTTCCATCGTCAACCTTGACAGAGATTCCCAACGGCCCACGTGCCCCTACACTTCGAGTCTGCTCAGATTCACGTATACCAACTCCATAGCACCCATCAGCACCTACTTTACCGATCAGTTGCCCCTTGTACACCTGCATTAGGTCTGTGCAGAAACGCCCTTCTCCTGCCACGTATTCCGGATAGCTAGACATCGCATTGAAAATTCGGGCAAGATTTCTCGTGCGTGCGGAAGAACCCTCTTGCTCGGTAGAATCTGCACCAGCGGCAAAGACAGCGCAGATGAGCGCCAAGTAGAAGAGGGGAAACGCAGGAGAGGGAAGATTACAGCCATCGGTGGCCCATTGAACAAGACTAGGGTCCGGGCAAAGCTCCTTAACGACCCTTTTGACCTGAACTTGCATCGGATGATCTGGACAGTGGTAATTTGCTATACTGGCACCTAGAGCAAGAGCTCCAGCCATCATACCAGCGTGTTTACCAGAGCAGTTATTGTAAACTCCTCCCGTGACGTCCAAGCCCTTCTGCGCCCAGTCTTGATTGACAGCATGGTTTAGTGAAGCATGTCCACCGCATCGGTAATCGCTTTCTTGCGCTTTGGCTTTGATCAACATGCCTCTAGCACGTTCGACATGTCTTGGTTCGGCATTATGCGACGCGCACATGAGGGCAAGATCGATTTCATCAAAGCCTGCTTCGTCGAAACCCCCCGTCTCGATGACGGCGAGAGCTTGTGCAGGCTTGACTGCCGATCGGGCCAGAGTAACCCTTGCGGGGCTACCAACAGAGTAGAGGATGTTGCCGTTAGAGTCTGTGACTGCGACATGGACGCGGTGGATGTTCTCAACGATGCCGTCTCTGTCGGTGATGACGCAGTTGTTCTCAACGTACTTGGTCTGTGTCATTTTGCTTGTAATGCAGTAGATGAATAATTTTATAAGTAAAGAAGTTTAAGAAATCTTGTATCGGAAATGAATAAGAACGAGGCCTGAAAACCATGACAGCAAAGAAGTATTTGACGATTTATATAACTTGTAAGTGATTTTGCAGCCGTTGTTGCGACCCCTGTCTTTTTCCATACCCACTATCTAAATCCAAATAACGACTTGGGTCTTAACTGTTGTGCGTATCTTTTCAAGCTCTCTACGTTAGTCTGCAAGTAGCCATCATTGTGCTGTCGCCATTCTGATTGGTCAGTCTGTCCCCTGATCATTCTCCGTACCCACAACGACGGCTGACTCATCGTTATTACTCTGTCTTCGATATTCCGTACCCACTCAATTCGTCCACTTCCCCAGTGACATGCACCCTTTACCCGCGGCTACACAAAGCAAACATGACATCGACTCATGAACCACTGACGCGACACGCCTGCGAACCTTGCAGACGCAGAAAGATGAAATGCGATGGTGAAAGACCTGCGTGTTCGTATTGCCTACGCCTAACGCTTCCATGTTCTTACTTGCCAAGGGCAAAAACCAAGTTATCGTGAGTTGAACGCATGCAATGTTGATCAGTGTAGGTTGACTTGCAAGCAGTACTAAGTCTAAGAAAGCAAGGGCGCATAAGCGAACAGCAGAAGAGCTTGCTCAAAATATGAGACCCAACGAGCATCCTACTACGCGTGAATACGCCCCCAATCACCGATCTACATCACCTGTTTCCATACCACCACCGCAAGACATACCTCAGAATGAGCTCGAGACCCGAAAGTTCTCACTGGCAAGGTTGGTATTCTTTGCCCTTCTCAACACTAGCCACTTGCCAATTACACCAGTGACATACACATACAAATAGCTAACGCAGAGTACGTCCCTCCAGACCCCAGCCCACCCACGAGGCCCTTAAACACTTCGTCAAAGTCTACGAAACCAAGATTCACCTTCAACCCCTGCCGCTGTTCAGGCTAGAGAAGCTGGAGGAACAACTACTTAACGGTCCTCATTTCCTACTTTGGAGCTTTATGGCTCTCGGTCTCATGTTATCCACCCATCCTTTCTACGATGGCCAAAGAACACTTGCAAGAGACTTCTACGCTCGAAAAGCGGAGGAAGCCGTGAACATCTTGGCTTCTGAGGGGGATGTATCACCAGAAGTCACACAGTCCCTTTGCCTCATCGCTTTGAAACATCTAAATCGTAAGAAAACGTGTCTCCAAGTGAAGTTCAAGAACTCATTGGGATTGTAGATCAACAACTCGCGCGAGCCTGGATGACTACTGGTACCGCTGCGCGACTCCAGGCCTTGCGAGTCTTCTCGTCTGACAACACTCCGGATGACTCGGTATCTCGAGCTCACTGGAGTGTCTTCATGCTAGAACGGCTTTTTGTTCCTACAACGCCAGAAGCTTTGGGGCTCGGAGTTCCCGAATTTCCGATTAGCGCTTCAAAGCCCCTTACACCTCAAGTAACACTCTTAACTGCCATACCAGAATGCGCACAAGCACAACCCAGAACTATACTCAGCAGTGACCCCGGCATCATTGGCGTTCACATGCGTCTTGTGTCGATCTGGGGAAAGCTTCGATTTTACCTCCATGGTCTACAGCGAGGTATCACTGAAAAGCCATGGTCACCAGACTCAACGCATACAAAACTAAATATCGAGATGATAGAGCACGAGGCTCTAATTGATTCGAGCTATTTTCTCTCCAAGGCTTCTTTGCCAAGCCGAACTAGAGCGGAGATATCTTCACATCGCGAGTACTGGGACCCATTCATGGCTAGCCAAATAATCTGGCATGCCATCCACGCCGTATTAAACCACCCGTTCGTCCACTTATTCTTACTCAGATCCTCCAGGGATGTCCCCCCATCGTGTCTGTTCCTTCAGCAGAGGATCGATATGGCGCTATTTCACACGGGATCCTTATTTCGAATTCTTCAGTCGTTTATGGATCTGATGGATATAGTCGATCCGATGGTTGCTGACTTTGTAGCTGCTGCTGCGACAGTGTCGTGGTTCTTTCAGTTCTCGGCGGATCCCAAGATCTCACGACGGGCTCGTGAAGAGCTGGATAAGTGCGATGCGTTTCTAAGCCATGTCGCTGTAACTTGGCCTCATATCAACCAAAAGGTACGCTACCTGTCATTTGGATCTCAGATGTGTGCTCACATATGGTTTTAGCTTGAGACGCTGAGGAAGCTAGAGGCGCTGGCCAACGAAAACCGTCGACAGCACTCAGATGAAGGTACAAACATTAAATTCCAATCAGCATGGCTTTGGGATCTGTTGAATCCCAAGATTCAGTCTACTCAGAGTTGCTTGTCACCCTCAGGGCCAGGGAATGGTTGTGCCTCTGAGAGAAACCCGGATTCTGAGATGTATCTCAAGAACCATTTTGTTATGCCTTTGCACGACGACCAGGACTCTACTCAGACAAGAGAGCCAATGGAATGCGGTCAAGATGGCATTGATTCATTGTTTACTATACCCGGAGATCTGGATTTGTTCAATATAGAGTTGCTGTCACACGACTTTTTTGAAAATGGACTATGGGATCAAAGTTGCTGAGAGGAAATAATTCATTTACGATCTGGGCCTACGGCTTGAGCTCACTGACACCGGGTCAATGCAGTCTTGATATCGATATACTTCAGCCGTGTTGGGGCTAGGAACATTCTGTAAATGATAAGTGCAAGCATGCTTTTAATGACGTTTTTGAAGAGGTTCGCTGCTGGTGCATCCTCGGAATCATGGATTCTACAAGACACAATGCTTACCGACCTGACCGACCTTCGCACTTGCCTGATATTGAGAGATTTGCTAAGCTTATTTCTTTTCAACCTGCTCGATGGCTAATGGCTATGGCTATGAACTCCAACCTCATTGGGCGCGAGGATATCAGCAGGTCAGCAAAGGCTAGCCAATTACCAGCGCTTAGCTAACAACTGCTGCCTAATGGACTTATAATGGGCTTACGGCCACTTGCTCCGTCGTCTTTTGTTCATCTTGACTCTTCAGTATGCCTCTCTGGTGATACAAGAGTCTTCCCTTTTATTCTTCGACGTGTCTCAAGTTGCTAAAACGAGCAATCCTTCTCGCCATGAACGCGGATATGGCGACCAACGCGCAGCTTGTGCACGAGGCAAGAACCATGCCGCCGATGCAAAAGCCGAAGACCCTCAATGAGTTGCAGCAAATTGTTTATCAGTACCTGGCGAAGCATACAAAGGGTGGTCACATATTAAGTTGGCGGGCTATGGTTTCTGTCTGCGACCGCATCCCCTTAGTCATGAACCTGTATGTCGACGCTCCTCCTTTTTGTTCTGCCTCACCCAGCAACTATACTGACCACTACAGCATCACGAACCATTTACTTGCTATGGATGAAGGTGACCCTATGAAAGTTGCCGAGTGGAGCTGCAACTTTGAAATCGACACCTTCCATAAATCAGTTTCAAAGGTACAGTTGCTTGTCTTTTACTCTCATGATTCTCCTGCTAATTCGAGACGTAGGAAGTCTGGCGTGAAGAGATGCAACGGAAAATAAGCGAGTTTTGCAGCCAAAGAAAAGGCAACGAGCCGAGAAACGATGTACTCAGGGACAAATACGGCCTACCATTTATATATTCCTCCCCACGGATGAAAACACCAGAGGATGTCAAGTGGCTTTTCAGAGCGCGTCGTAAGCCGGTCTACCGCTGCCAGGAAGTTGAGTGCGCGCTTTCACTCATCACGTACACTGAACAGGCTCTGCAACAACATATGAACAAGGAGCATACAAAGCCGAGACAAGGTCCTCTTGAATCTGCTCAACAGAATCTCGCTTTGACTGTCGGAGCAGAGCTTCATGGCGGGGAACTGACTGCCGGAGCTGCTGCAAATCTCGTGATGCCTTCTTCAGATCGATCGGGCCCCTCGGTTCCATACACTGTCGCACAAGACCGCGCCCAAGGCGGTAAAGTTCACCGCCCTGGTATCACTACAGATCTTGGAAAACGGAGGCAGCCAGAGCAGATAACAACTCGTGGCGTTCTCGACGGGCGAACCAGTCGTCCCTCAACGACAAACAAACGCCCTCTGCGAGAAATACGTGCCAAGTTATCCTCTAAAGAATCCGAAGGATAGATATTTGCTGCAGTGATTTCATGGAACAATTGGTGGTGTCCTTCGGTCTCGATGACAGTATGGAGATTGGAACTTAAGCATTAGACATAGAAGTCTTGATGGAGTAAGTACAGTTTGAATATTAGTCTAGGGATGATATGCTGTATAAACTTGGATCGAAGCAAGAATGCACTGTATCAGCCCAAACACAGCTGTCAGTCCCAACACTTTCTAAACCCAAGTCATTCTTTGGTAAACAGAAAGTCTGGATGGCTCGAGGCGAAGACCTTGCACTTTTCAACACGCATCGGCCCAATATTCAGAATCTTCTTCGACATTCCTGTATCCCCGAGTCTAGCCATAAACTTTGGATCGGTCTTTATCGAGTTGGGGCCACGGAGGAAGAAGCAAAGACATTCGTCGTTGTTTCATGCACCAATCGCAGAATCCGAAAGCTTACTCGTGATATCTTAAGCAGCTGTCCGATCTTCCAGCCAGGTCAAGCACTCGATCGATTCAAAGTCATCAGCAAAGCAACGCTTCCAGAGACGGCTTGCGAGCCTCAGCAGACGATGCAAGATGAACCAGGACTGGAATGTGAACCGGGACTACGAAACCTAGACAAGGGCAAGAACATTGCCAATGACGAATATAAGACTATTCGCATATCTCCATCCATCACAGGCGATAATTATCTATGTCGTCAAGTACAAGCACGCCATGTTTCTGGCAAAGGAGAGGTGCGATTTCAAACAGCCACTGCAGGACCCCTGCTCAACGTTGATGGCCGTGCCTATCAGCTCACTGTAGCGCACGTTGTCAACTTTGAGGAGAAGGATATCCATAATGTCACTAAAAGCACAACGGATGACTGGGATGACTGGGACGAAAGCGATGATGATACCGACATTGGTTGTTCCGCAGACGAAGACGTTGCGTCTTGGGATATCTCAACGAGCCGGAACAGCACTTCAGACGCCTCCGACAATGACATTCCCTCATCTTTATCAAGCGACTCAGCCTTTGAGGTTGCTACCCAACGAGACCGAAGTGGTGCAGCTATCACAGAAGCAACGTCCACCGATGAAGAACCCATAGACGAGCCAGTTCAAATGACTTCTTCGCCAGATCTCCATCTTTCAGAACGGCCAGTGGTTGAAGAATTCCTCATTGATCATGCCTCCCCGTATCTAGGCTTTGCACCCGAATCAGAGAATTGCCAAATCTCCAGGGAAATGGACTATCTTCTCATTCCTACAAACGTCGATCTCCAGGCAAGGACCTGTACTTCCAATAGTTTAGAGCTGATACAGATGTCTGAAGCCTTTGAACTGCAAGGTAAAACAGAGCCTCGACCGGTTATAATTGCCACAGCATCGGTTGGGTACGTTGGAGGCGTGGTTTTCCCGGCACCGTCATTGCTACGACCTCGGGGCTCAAAAGATTTCCAAACATTATTTTGCATCGAGTCTGATAGTGCTATGCCAAAGGGATCTTCTGGCTCGGCCGTTTTCGATAAGCGGACTGGGTTGCTGGCTGGATATCTTGGCCTTGGATGCCCTGAAAAGAATATCTGGTACATGTTTCCCATTTCGGAGGTGTTGGGTGACATGCAGGCCAGATTTAGTCAGAACGGGAAATGCCAGATACGGCTCGATGTGGATGCGGTTGCCAGGCTGAGCGATCAAAGATATTCCCCCAACACAAATCGCGACAGCCTGCGCTGAATATTTGAGACTGACCCGGGCAAGAACCCCCCACGAAAGAACCAGGAAAATCAACCCCAGATAGTATCGAAAGGCCACAAATCTGGTAAATGGGGTATGATTAATAAATCAATGACGAGTGCCTTCAAATCCTTACAGAGCGAAGGGCCACTAGCTACTGATGATAGTCCTGAGACCTTGCTCCGTCTTGACGAATGGCGAAGTCTATTTGGCCACAATCCCAACTCGCTAGAAGAAGATAGACAGCTCCTTTCTAGTTTCAACACACTCGAGTATGGTTTCTTGGAAGCTGTGATATTCATGCTATCTTGTCTAAAGGACTTCCTTGGGGAACACAAGATAACGAAAACTTCGAGAAACCGAGGCACTTCTATCGAGGTAACTGGGGATTTCTGCACCAGAGAAGACACCCCGCAGCCTACAATACAGGTTGAGTGCCTATTCAGTAAAGAGGAAGCGCTTGAAGGCCGCGAGTTCATGGATCGGGTCAAAAGGAAGTTATGAAGCAGACTGAAAAGGTGTTATCCCAGTGTAGTTCCCGACTGACATGATTTCAAAAGTCCCCTAATGGTCAAGATACTACACCTTACACACCACAGTGCATGTAAGTATTTCCAAGGTCCATTCCTCGAAGCATAAAGGCTAATTGACATACAGCTACATCTGGAATATTGACCCTAGCAGAGTCAGGGAACGAGTTAATTTTCTCGAGTGAGAGGATTCCAGAAACTCTTCTTCAACCTCATCGCCAAAGAACCAAGCCCTATAATAGACTTAACTAAAAGCGTAAGTAAGTAACCATTATCTCTTGATAGAAGCTCATTATCTAACATTGTAATGCTTTAACAGACTTGGTTTAGAAGCGACTTTCAAATAGTATGCAATTTGCCATTTCTCGCTATTGCAAGTCATGATGATATCAACGAGAGACCTGTCGATGAAGAGAACTCTCCCCGATTCACCGCTAGCCTCTCTTTCCTATATCATCAGGTACAACTCTGCGGAGCTCAAAACGGCAAATTAACTTCCCAGCCACATAACACCTGCTTATACCAGGTAACATGGTCTACAATTGTGATTGGCACAAGTGAACGATACTGGACAGCAGCATGCCTGAGCAACGGTTTTGACAAACCACCAACCGTTAGTGGGTCCTCGTATGATGCCATACTCTCAAATGGCAGTTTGGGAGATCATAAAAGTGATACCAAGAGAAGTTTGTCGCCTCGAGCATATTCTCTCAGTGTCTTGGCTGTTCAATTGGAAAAGATTGCCGATTACCACCAGCACATCCATTACACGCTTGACGCTAATTTCAAACTTTTTGTAAGGGAATCTTTCTTTGAGTTTGCAGTAGTTTCATAGCTAACTACCTTTATCAGGAAGAGAAAATGAACTGTTCATCGGATGAACTATTGCTCATGCTTAACCAATACTGGATAATCCAGTTCTCGAACATTCTTACACATTTCCAGCGCACAAACTCTAGGATAGCAGAGAGATTTAGAACTTTCCTGCTAAATGAGTTACACGCTTCTACAGAGAGTGTGCCAGCCCATCCTCTATGGGGAAGCTTCCACCCGGAACTTGATGCTCCTGAGTCGGTACAACGGATTCGAAAGAGTCTGGAAATACTTCGCGATATACAGAGCCATCTGGATATTCTTGATGCAAGAACAAAGGTAGGAGAGGTTACACGAAATACTTGATTCACTTTTGCACTCGAGGCTAAATTGATGATACAGAAACTCATAACAAACCAAGACCAGTCACGTATTTACACAGAAGATACTCTCAGATACATATTGACCGCATCTGTAAGTATGAAATAACAGCCAAGCTGATCTCATTAGCTTAAACCTTTAGGTTTTCGCACTCTCTAATCTAAGTGGTCAAATCATTGCTGAATGGCCGCTAGATCATACATCATTCTATGAACTTTGTATTTCCTGGTTTCTGGCCGCTTTAACATGTTTTCTTATCTTAAGGTCAAGGCATATGCCTGTATTACCCTCAATTTTCCTTATATTCTTTATATCTCCACCTTTACTACAGCAACTCAGTAGCATTATTACCCGCAGACTTGTTAAGGTTTTAGCTTAGTATGTTTATAACCTAGAGCCTGAAGAATCTCGCAGATATTAATAATAGTAAATAAATTTCTTTAGGAGTGAAACTAAGGGATTGGCCTGAAATATTTAATGATAGTGATGCTGTCAGTTGCGGCTTAGGATGTTGGAGCCGTGGAGATAGGAAGTGGTGCATTTTATTAAGCTTACAGAGACTATCTTTCAAGGGGATAATGCCAGCAAGATGCCTTGCATTCATTCGAGTATAGAGGAAGATTGGGTTTAAGCCTAACGTGGAGCAGTACGGGTGAACGTCCACTTCCGTTAGCGCCCCCTCTGCCTCATACACAGATTTCGGGGCATCAATATTTCTGCTTACTCCGGTACAGGGAGACGATTACTCGTAGACTCAGTTAGGAGTTTAGATTCCTTCTTCCTTGAACATAAAGAATTTTCTATATTAAATACCATAACCTTATTTCTTAAGATAGCACGTTCGTATCGAGACCCAACCAGGCTATTGGTCCTTTTTTACTGTAAGATTTGCTGCCACTGGCTACTGGGCTCACTTGGAAAACCTTCAAGCTGTTGCGCCACCGAGCTAGTCAGCCCTTGCACTATTTCCTTGCTTATATAACCACTGATCTCGACCACGAGGTTAAGGCACACCAGTATACTAGTATAATCCGCCTGCAGTATATGGATCCTTCTGGTAGAAGCCTGCGAGCTTAGGCTTGGCGTAAAGTCGCTCGCACTCATAGTGCTTGTTATAATGACCTGTGTAGCCCGAGCTCTCTGAAGATCAAGGGCAGCAGAGAGACTCGGCATAACAGAAATCTTAAGGGAAGCATAGTCGAATGCAGGTTGTTTGGGGTCGAACAGCTTTGTCTCTCGTACAACACCAGCATTATTGCGAAGCAGGATATCTGCAATGGGCACTGACTTCCAGTCGCTAGTATCGGGCTTGTCTTGCATCAGGGCTTGTGTGAAGAAACTCTGCAGACTGGATACACTGCCCCCGAGTACCATGGTCGAGTCTGGGAAGTCAGCAGGTGTTGGGAATGTTATTTCAGTTCCTGCAAATGGATCGGCAGGAAGAGGTCCGTACGACCGCTGCGCTTTGTCGGATGAGAGACCGGTGATACCGGGAGTCCAGAAATGTCTGTCTGTCAAACCCTCGAAATGTGTGGAGGCGTTATCAGGATACTGGTCGTCGCGAGTTTTCCAATACGTCGAGTTGTCTGTATAGCCTGGCGGGTACGAAGTTGGGCTCACCCACACTCCTCGAGTCTCATTCCCTAGATGGGGGCCTGCACATGCATGCAGTGCCAGCATGTTGACATCAGTATACGTCGAAGGGTCAGTCTTGTCGAGATAGAAGGCAGTGGATGGATCGAACTCTGGGCTCCATGACAGAAATGCATGGTTGGAAAATGGCTGTCGGGCGGGATCCTTTTCTTCAAGCACTTTATTTTTGGGGTTTTTGTTAAAGAAGGGATTGTTGCAATGCCCCCATCCAACAAGCTCGGTTGTTTTGGATATGTATCCATATGTTTGATGAAACTCCCAAGCGATGCAGTCATAGTCAACGCCAAGAGACGCTGCGAGTTCTACAGCACCTGCTTGATCGTAACAGTTGACAAGAGTGAGAGCTCCGGACTGCTTGAAGTTCCTGTAAGCATCAAGCCATGCTGATAGCTGAAAGCAGCCGCCATAGTTTTGATACGTGTTCAATACCGGAATTGGGTCTGGGTTGTTTTTGTTGGGCTGTATGAAGCTGGGAGCGCCGCCACCGGTGTTGTATTTGAGCCAATGGTCCTGTGTGTTTGCTGGCTCTCCTGTGAGGGGCTTGGCAGAGCCGTGACATATTTTGACGACTAGTTCCATCCACTGTTGTACATTTGTAATGTTTCGCTGCATTGCCGCACCCATGAACATCTGTAGTAGTAGAAGTGGAACTCCGGAACTGAAATACGACGGAAGCTCATTTGACAACAAATAGAGTTCCATGGGGACCTTGGCAGGTTGTTCTCGATAGAGAACTGGTTCCATAATATCCCCTGGAGCATAGGACACGTAGAACTGAGTTGGGCCTAGAAGACTACCAGGGTTCCAGACACCTGGGCCATCACTGTGCACCATCATCATATTGCATACAACAATGTCGGGATCCGGGTCAGTCCCAAAGTCACAGCTTGAATAATATGTACTGCGGCTCTGGTCTGTCGAAAGCACGATGGGCCAGTGCTGGAGTTCTTCAGGTACCCTGACTCTGACAGTGAGCTGGACGGTGCGATCACCCAGTATGGCAACGACGGGGCGTGGAGCTGCCTGTCCAGACTGGGCGTCATAAAGAATATCAGTATCATAATCTTTAGTTGGTTGGTTGAAGCAGTCAAGATCATGATGGTCCTTGGTGTTGGCGACAGTTAACGGAAGCCGCTGGCCTGCAGCAAGAGTCACTGTTTCTATGGCGAGCATGGTTGAGTAGTGAGACAGCTTTTGTGAAAAGATAAATCATGATGCGTAGCAGATGGGAGGATTCTGAGAGGATTGGAACTTAGTCTTTATAGCTGACAGCTCGTAAGCACTTTAGTCTATGAGAATTATTCTGGGCCAGAGGCGGCTTTTCGTAGTGAGCTGAGATCTCACGAGCACCCCTGTAAACTCTGCGTTAATGCGCAATGTCTCTGCTATTTACAGCAGTTCAGCTACTTGATATTAAGCCATTGTCTCGATTAATGCGGTGAGCCGCATTGCTAATACTGCTTATGGATTTCCAGCTACCAGAGACCAAGCCATTTATCAATAGCGCAGGATATCCGGCCAATTATGACTTGACAACTCATTTGATTTACTTACGGTCATGAGTCTAGACTCTAGAATAAGACATTTATCAATAGCGCATGCCATCTGACCAATTATAGCTTGCCATCTTATCTACTGTACTCGCGGGATGGAGTCTAGAATAATAAGCCAGGCCAGTAAATATAGGGTTACATTTACGAGCTAAAGCCCTAAACTTTTAAAAAAGGAGAATAGTTGCCAAAATGAATACGCTAAAGAGGTTCTCAAGTCTCGATACTAACACAAGCCTTGGACTTGTGCATTGACGATGAGGACTAGTTGAAAGTATCTTGTTCTTGCTTTTACTTCGTACTCCGCTTTTATTAACTGTCAATCGGGGCACTAAATTGCACTGTCTCGAGACCTCCCTCGATGACTCTTGTTCAAGCAACTGCGACATGTGCTCGTATTTATCTACTATCGGGAGAGCTACTTCTACTCTGATCAGCTTTGCTCAAATAGTGATGGGGTTCAGTGTGTGAGTTCTGTAAACTAGTATCTTAATCCTGGATGAACAGCTAGATATCATGATGACCAACTCAGAGGTATATTAATAAGTTATATGTTCTGTAAAAACTTCTTACTGTTCCGCTTATCAGTTAGGCCCGGGCAGCTACTATCTGCATTATGCCCTTTATCTCATATAGGCATTTATGTATTTAGTACTCTTAGTTTAAGTATTAGTTAAATTCCCTTGTAATATCTGTCACCAACAGAGCAAATGCTGGCCTGGAACCTGACAACAGCGACAAATAGCACATGCCATTTGAGCGTGTCAAAGGTCTACCAAACGAGGAAGAAGTGCTCGACAGAGGTCTCTGGGAGAAAGCATCGGCGACCGGCGGGCTGCGGAGCATTTAGCAGGATCTTGCCGGGTATTACGGGCTGTACTTCCCCAACCAGTTAGCTCAGCTTCGTAGGGCTTCTAGGTCAAACAGACAACTACACCGTAGAAGGAAGCCCAATGAATGTAGGCTGGAAGCCTAAATAGTATCAAGGCAGATTCTTTTAGAATTTACAATATGGCTAAGCCAGTAAATAAAATCCTTTATTTCTAGATCTGCTCTATCATTAATATAAACGCTCCGACTCCCCTTTGGTCCCACAGTTGAGAGCAGCATTACGTACTGAAAAAGTAACAGTATTGTTCTTCTAGCCGGGACTTTCTACAGAGATGCATGCTCTTGGCGATGGCGATATGCTTGGCAACTAAATTAAGCTCATAAACACAAATAGTGAGCAGACTGCAGTTATTGTCGAGCTCGCCCTTGGCTTCTATTGGTCTGGGTGTTAGAAACTAAGACGTAATTTTTTCTTCGCTCCGGAGATCCACTGTCTCCACTACGAGAAACAAGCTTCAACAGGATCCCCTTTCCTCTTACCTTAACTCTTATGTCTAAATCTCTTTTTATTTCTTCACGATAAAACCTTCGTCCCATTATCTAACAAAACAGCCAAAGATGTCATCCGCACGAACAGAAGTGGACCGATCGAGTGGAGACAAAGATGCAGCTTTCTGGTCCGCACAAGAGGATGGCCCTGAGACAAAGCCTTGTGGTATAGCCCAACGAGAAGCTGCTCGACAAAAGGATATTGAATTCCGCCAAAGGTTTGGTGATGCTGGTCCCCTTGGTCTCTCTGGCTTTGCCTTTGCGACGTTCTTGACAGCCTTGGTCAACCTCAATGTACACGGCGTGACTATTCCAAATATTGTCATTGGACCAGCTCTGGCTTATGGAGGTCTTGCTCAATTACTTTCTGGCATGTGGTAAGTGGTTGTTTTCTTAAGACTGCATCATTTCAGGTGGATTCTCATGCTTTGATTAGGGATATCGCCAATGGCAATACAGTCAGCGCCACTATTGCCTGCTCGTATGGCTGTTTCTGGATCTCTTACGCCATTGGTATGATTCCCAGCTTTAACGTCAGGGACGCTTACCCCAGCCTTGCCGACTACAACCACGCCAATGGGCTCTTTCTTATGGTAGGTCACTGCTGCACTTACCTACTCCCAGAGCTCACATTCTGTAGGGATTCTTCATCTTCTCAGTGGCCATAACGCTATGCTCAATGAAGTCGAATGTCTTTTCTCTGACGCTTTGCCTTCTTGTCAACTGCACCTGGCTCTTGCTCGGGGTGGCTAACCTCTGGACTGAAGAGTCAGGAGCTCCCAATAACGTACTACTCAAGTGCGGCGGCGTGACTGGCTTGTTGGTTTCATTCACGGCATGGTACCTTATGTATGAGGGTTTGGCAAATAGACAGAATAGGTAAGTCTACCCATGAGTATATGAGAGTTGTACTGACACGTCGGCATAGCTTTGTTCTGCCACCGAATCCTGATCTTCCGTGGAATCCAAGCCGTAGATCCCATGGCTCACATGTAAACTAGCCGTGGATTTCAAGATCAACAAATAAAATAGTAATCATTTCTGTATATGCGGCAATACCTTGGCCTTGTCTAGCATTCTACTCCCTTGTGCAGGAAGCTGTAGTGAGAGACGGGCTGAATTTCCAGGGTTATAATCATCAAACTCAGTGATCCTGCCGGTATAATACTTAACCGACGAGTCGAAAAAGAACCCACGCTGGAAGATACAAATGACAGGACCGTACGTCAATTGGCCCTTACGCTCCGAATCTCAGCAGCAAGGTTATGTTGGTCCAAATCAACTGCCAATCCCATATAAGCTACATTCACGATCGAGAGTGATCTCACTTGATAAAGGAACGTTTATCAAGGCTTTATCAGGAATCATGAATATAAGTGGCTAACAGGTCTTCGAACACGGAGACTTTGTAAAGTGGCAGGGCCCTGGAAATACCGGACTGTCGGATAGCGACCTTGCAAATTACATAGATCTTATCAAACATCAGTACCTAGACCTATGCGAACATAAGTTAGAAGCGAAACTTAGTATTAAAAAGATAAAATGTCTCTGCAGCAATACGGTCTCATAATGAAAATAACACAATATAATGCTTATTTTTCAGCATATCACATATAAGGCGTCATACACTACCTACGCCAAAAAACACAATAACTTTAAAAGTGAGTCTTAAAGTCATACGGCGCTGCTGCCTTTAACCTTATGATCTAACTGAACAAGTGGCCTCAATCCACGAGCATAATAGATTGGATTAGGTCGCAAGGCAACACAGAGCGGCATAGGGAACATAAATTAAGGGTAAACACAGCTAATGAACACTTGGGGCGAAACTTAGTATATAAAAACCTTAAGAGAGAAAACGTTTAATTTCGGATCTGAGTAATATAAAGACCTCGGTAGAATTAATATATCTTAACATGACTTGAGAGTAGGTCACTTTACTACCCGAGCTCAATATCAGAACAGCAAGGTATGTATGTCAGTAACAGCGACTGTCGATTACCCTACAAAGTGAGATCCCAATAAGAAGGAATAGTGCTGATAAGCTGATCTTCGATCGTGTACTCTAATTGGCTCGACTGGCAACCGAGTGGGCCAGAGTCGGATCTCAAGCCAATGGATAAGTCTCGATTAGCAGGAGCCCGCCTAGTCTTATCCCAAAGCGGAAAGCAGCGCGTTGAGGCTCGGATTCGCATTGATCTGGCGGGAATAGTATCAGAATTCGTAGAAATAAGCATATGCTCACAAAATCGACTTTGCTGATTTTCGTCATTGACTATGAGAACTGTAGTATATAGGACTCGCAGGAGCCAAGAAATTATCTGTGTAAGAAACAATAAACCTTCTACATTGGATTTTATCTTGACCCAAATTCAGTCATTTTTTCGACAATGACACTTTCAAACAAAGCCGCGTACCTTCTCAGCCCCAATAGTCCTCTCATTGAGGTCAAATCTGCACCTGTTCCAGAAATTGGACCAAATGAACTACTCGTCAAAACAGAAGCCGTTGCTATCAACCCCGTCGATGCTGTCAAACAGTCCATGGGTAACATGATGTTTGAGTGGCTCACATATCCTCTCATTCTCGGTTATGATGTCGCTGGCAAAGTTATCAAAGCTGGGGCTGACGTAACTCAATTCAAAGAGGGTGATACGATCGTGGGACTGGCAGTCGGTATGGATAAGCGCGGACGAAGACCCGATGAGGGCGCCTTCCAACAACTTGTCGTGATCAGAGAGTATTTGGCTATAAAGGTGCCTGCTGGCATGAAGAGCGCTGATGCGAGCGTCTTGCCTCTTACTGCTGTCACTGCTGCGTGCGCGCTCTTCCAAAAGGATCAGCTCGCGCTTCGAATGCCTCAGACAAAGGCGCATCGCAAACATACTGGTGAGACAGTCCTGATCTGGGGAGCTGGCACGAGCGTTGGGAAGAATGCTGTGCAACTTGCTGTCGCAGCTGGCTACGATGTCATCGCTACGGCGTCACCCAAGAGTCGGGAGACCGTACACAGTCTCGGCGCATCTACAGTCTTCGACTATCGCAGCTCATCAGTCATAGACGATATCGTTGCAAGTCTCAAGGACAAGAATTGTGCAGGTGCCGTAGCCATCGGTCAAGGCTCTCTTGCAAAGTGTATCGACATCATCAAAACGATTCCCGGGGCTGCGAAGAAGGTAGCCCAAGTCACTCTTGATATGCCAGCCTCGCCACCAACGACAAAGTTATCCATGGTTCCATTCGTCGCAAAGTATCTCTGGATGTCTTCAACAAGCAAACTCAAAGTCATGAGTAGTGGAGTCCGAAGCAAGTTTGTTTTTGGAACGGATATCATGGAGTGGGATGTTGACGGGAAGATTGCCTTGTATCTGAGTGAAGCACTAGAGCTTGGGCAGTATACTCTACCTTCAGAAGCTCGCGTTAACGGCACTGGTCTGGAGACAATTTCTGAGGGACTGGATCAGGTACGAAACGAAAAGTCTGGGAAGAAGATTGTAGTTGTATTAGAGTGAGGCAGCTCTATGTATCTGCTGGCTCACATGCATGTAATTATCAACTTGACATATCCTCGCAGCGGGTGTTTTTCGCCGGCTGGTATAGAGAAGGAACTGATTGAGTAAATTAATTCGATCACAGCCTTTCAGGTGAAGGGTCAGAGCATCTAGAAAATAGGCCATAATATAACCTTAACTTAGAGCAATCCTAAACCAGATAGTAGGTTGTATGCCTACGACTTAGTCTCATGAAGGGACTTGTGAGTAGAAAAGACATGAGAATATCCACTCAACTCCTTCTTACCCATGGACTTTCCATGGAGTCCACAAGAAGACAATTCGAGCTCCAGGAACGGAGTGTCGCCTTGGAAAACCATTGGCTGGAATCACCGTTTCAGGGTCTCTGCATACGTTATGGGGACGCGTCACTCGGCAGATGGGGCCTATGCTACTCTCCGAATGGCCATGGTATGAGGACCCTGTGGATCTACCGAGGCTAAATTGCGAATTTCAATACAATAAAGAAATGATCTGCGCTGCAACGCACTGACATTACTGTCGTTTCGGCTATCTACTCCGTAATTGACCACGCAATGCCCCTTATTATGCTCGACATTCGTTTGCCATGATAGCCCGAGAGGCCGACGACCGGAGAATTCGGCTATTCAGTAACTTCCGTGGTAAAAGTACTTTAATCTGAGGCGATAACATAAGAGCTGTGAAACCGGCTGCAGTTACACCAACGAACTTGATCACCACGATTTATTGCTTAACCTACAACATGCAGGAAAAGTCTGAGCGGACAGTGATAATTGCGGGGGGAGGTATTTCCGGCCTTTCACTCGCCAATATGCTAGAAAAGGCCGGCATACGCTACGTTTTGTTGGAATCCTACGACGAGATCGCTCCTCAGGTTGGGGCAAGTATTGGTCTTCAATCCAGCGGACTTCGAATCCTCGATCAACTTGGTTGCGCTGATGAGCTTATGTCATTAGTCGACATTCCACTGAATAATACCTACATACGATACCCCGATGGCTCAGTTATCAGGCATCATAGCAATGTCCGAGATCATTTGATCGAGAGGTAGGTCAGAGAATGAGCCCCAGAAAGAAATGTTTCGATTTGACACTCAACAGACATGGATATCCCACCATCTTCATTGACAGGCAGATGCTGATGCAGGTTCTATACAACAAGCTCGAATCAAAAGCCTCAGTACATCCTGGTCAGAAAGTGGTTTCAGTTCTGGAGCTAGATAACGGCATTCAAGTCACCACAGACAAAGGCAAGGTTTTCAAGGGAGACATTCTCGTTGGAGCCGATGGGATCTACAGCAACGTCCGAAAGGAAATGTGGCGCGTCGCGTCGCCAGGATACTTTCCTTCTGACGAATGGTCAAGCGTGCCATGCTACTACAAATGTATCTTTGGCATCTCACGACCTATTGAAGAGCTTACGCAAGGTAGTCACTACGTGTACAACGACAACTTCTCTTATCTGGTTTTGGTCGGGCCTGGAGGGAAGTTTTACTGGTTCCTTTTTGTTAAATTGCCTGTTACTTTGTACGGCGACGATATTCCGAGGTATACGAAAGTTGATGAGGAGCAATTGGCGGCCGAGCATGCGTCCGATCAGATCACTCCCGATGTCACCTTTGGCCAGTTGTATAAAGCCAGAACTAGCTCTGCCTTAACGCCGCTCCATGAGTATGTATTTGAGAAGTGGCACTACAAACGCATTATCACCATCGGCGATGCTGCTCACAAGGTATACAGTCTCATCTAGTATATGTCTCTCCATGCTAATCTGAGCCACTTAGTTTGAGCCATTGACCGGTCACGGCGGTAATTCCGCCATTGAGACTGCAGCGTCTCTCGTGAACCACCTAACCTCAGACGAGTGGTCAGACTGGAGCGATGCACAAATCGAAGCGGCTTTCACCGCCGTACAAGAAGAGCGTTTCCAGAGAGTACAGTGGCTTGTCAGCGATGCTCACAAGACGCAGCAGATGCAGGCGATGGAAACACCCTTCCTAGCAACTATCAGTCCTGTCTTAGCTCGTCTATTAAGCACCAAGGCTGTACTTCAACTAGGCGCACGCAAAGTCATTGGTGCAACACGAATCAATAGCATTCCTGTACCTCAACGAGACCACACAATCCCCTTCAACGACGAGCTACCGTCTCAGCCTCTTTCTTGGAGCTGGCTCCCCACAGGCCTAGGAGTGATAAGTCAGGCTGCGATATTCCGGCTCGCGTTGCAAATTCTTGGACCATTGGAGATTCCAACTACTTTTGGCGGCGAGCCTCTGGTGAAGCACTACACAGGGCTTGTGACTTTGGATAAAATCTTGGCACACTTGGTTGCTGTTTTTGGAGTCCCTCTTGCTTCCGGGAACGTTGCGGCGAACTTGCAGTGGATTTCTTTCACGCCGCTGTTATTGTCGACTACCCTTGACTGGACTTTGGAGAGCTACCGAGTTGGTTCAAAGGGCCTCCTTACTTCTTTGTAAGTCATGGAGCAACAGCAAGTAATCACGGGCCAGAACTGACCAAAGTGTGATTTAGTTCGTCGGTCTTTAGCACCATCTACCAAATCAAGGTGGTTGGGCGTATTGCACCTCTATATTACTTGATTTCAGCATGCGAGGGTGTTTTCGGAGGCCACACCGCTCCAATGACGGACCGCTCGATTGACAAGGAAGTGGTCGAGTCTTTCGTGCCCGGCATCACCCTTGGATACATCATTCCCACTGCGTTGATGCTCTGGCCCTTCAAGAATAAGGCAACTTGGCAGAGGTTCACTGCGCTTTGGCAACCGTTCCCCGTCTATGTTGGCCTTATCACTGCCGGTCTCTCAACGGTTCTACGCGAACGGAGTCCCAGAGACACGCCTCAGCCCAAACCTCTGAAAGAGAGTCAAGAGCGCAGGAAGCGAAAGGCCGAAACTCACTCCCTATTGAGATCAGTATACATGGCAGGAACCGCAGCTACAGCGCTTGTACACCTCTATACACTTTACCGCACAGCATCAAGTCCAAATCTCAGCACCTCTGGTGTTTTTGGCAGTATCAGATACTTAGTATCTGGTGCGTCTCCATCTGATCCATCAGCCAAGATTCATGTATTTCTACAGCGCGACATGTTTTTGAACGCAGTTTCTGTTCTTGCCAATAGCCTGTACCGGACTCTTGACCTGCGACGCTTAGGTTATATCACTAGCAAGGAAGCTTTGACGACTTCTTTAGCAGTTTTAGTTGCACAACCGTTGCTTGGACCTGCTGCAACTCACATTGCGTTTCTTGGGTGGAGGGAGGAGATGTTTATGAGGACCGATAGACGGATCCGTACAAACAACTAGAGGATGGAGCCTGCTGTACCTATAACAATTGGGATCATAAGCCTCTCAGTATTTACAATTCAGCCCAAGGTTGGCAAGAAGCAGGCGTCTTGAGTTTGCAGCCTCTCATAGCTACAATGTATTTCTATTCATATATCATGTACGTGTTCATATCCACTATAGAATTTCCTATCTCATCATCAGACAACACTCTTAGGTCTTGCCCCTATGCGTCGATCAAGTAGTGAAGGGGTTGAACTCAACACCGAGACGGTCAGCTTCAGCCTTGAGCTTCTTGTTCTTTCTAGTCAAGTGCCACTTGATAATTGAAGCAAGTGTGATACCAAGACTGGCAAAGACAATCTGCAAGATCATAGCCATGGTGTATCGAGGTTGATCTCTGTCGGGGAAGAAGTAGGGTGAGATGACGTTGCCCAGATGACCAAAGATGTTGACGATGGCACCACCAGCAGCACGCTTCTCAGGGGTCTGACCAAGGGTTGAGACAGCCCAGGTGTACTGCAGAGTGTTTGCGGAGAAACAACCAGCGGCATACAAGAAGGTCATGGCGTATCGAACAGCGGCGTTGCCAGTAGCGACGGTAACGATGAAACCGATGACGGAGAAGGAGAGGGGGATGATGATGTGAAGACCTCGATCCTTTCTGCGATCGGAGTCCCATGACACGTAGAAAGTGCACAGGGTACCGAAGACATAGGGAGGAGCGGTCATGAGAAGGGAGGTAACGTTCTCACCAAAGCCTGTTGATGTTAGAAGGGTTTAAGTAATAAGTAGAGGATGCAACATACCAAGACCTCGGACAATAGTGGGGAAGAAGTTGTTGAAGCCATATGAAGAGGTGATAAAGATGTTCATGAACAAGAACATGTAAAGCTTGAGATCAGTAACCGCAAGCTTGAGTCCATGCATGACAGTCGACTTCTCGGAGAACTCGACTCTATCATCGAGAATTCGCGCAGCAGCAAGCTTTCGCATATCCTCAGTCATGTATCTTGTAGCACCACCGGTGGGAGAGTCTGGGTAGTTAGGCAAGACAAAGAAGGCAGTGATGGCGAAGAAACCACTGGCAGCACCTTCAATGATGAAGAGCCATTTCCAGCCAGCGAGACCCATGGGGCCATCGAGGCCGGCAAAGACACCGGCGGCGATGAGGCCCGAGAAGGCTTGGGCGAGGACGAGACCGGAGTATAGGAGGGCGACGCGGAGGGCGAATTCCCGACGGGTGTACCAGCAGGACATGAGGAAGACGGCCTTGAAGATGTCAGTTGGTGATTGGGTGTGTTCGATTGGAAGGGGACGTACACCTGGGAAGAGGGGGGCCTCGACGATACCAAGGACGAACTGGACGCCCCAAAGACCACCAGCGCTGGTGCAGAGCACAGTCAAGGCTGAGATAGCAGACCAAATAAATGCAGCGACAGGCAAGAAAATAGAAGGTCGGACACGCGTAATCAACATATTAGACGGCAGCTGAGCAAGCATGTATCCAACAGTCAAAACCGCAACGGCAGTCTACCAAGTCAGCACCACTCATCACTCCTCACCACTCCCAAGACATACCTGATAATCTCCCTCCCCAAGGTTAAGATCCTCATTGAACGTGTTCAAACGCGCTTGCGCAATGTTTGTTCTGTTCAGATAATTGAACATGTACAAGATCCAAAGCTGAGGCAGCATCCACATGTCCAACTTTCTCACAATCTTCTTCTCTAGCTCTGCAGCATTCGGCATACCCAAACGCGCAACATGGTTGATGTCTGCGAATGCATCTGTGACTTTTTCTTGGGCGATGGAGGGCGCGTCGTTGAGGTTTGACACGGTCTCTTTGTGGTCATCACCACCAACGGTTGGTTTCTCGTCAGACATGATGAACTACCTCAACGAATACAACACACTAAAGGTAAAAGGAGGAGAAGGAGGAGGACAGAGAGAAAAGTCTGTCTACCGAGCGCCGAAAGTTTGTTGAGACCGCCCTGTTTTTATACCTGGCGTGAAACTTCCTGATCCAAAACTCAAACTCCACTGAACAAGACAAAACTCCACTGGGGAAGAAAAAAGCAGGGTGCTGCGTCAAGACTGCGGGGAAGCGATGACGGGGGATATCATTTTCTTGTAATAGAAGGTGCTAAGAGGCTTGGCTTGTGTAAACTCTCACGGCCAAGAGAAAAAGCCAAGAGTAAAGCTAAGTTGGTAACGGTTATACTGTGGGGGTGAGTGATGTTACTGTCAGCGGAGGACAGGGACGTATGGGGTTAAATTTTGGAGTAATTCTCGCGTAAGGAGGCTGAGAAGCGACGGGAATATTCATGATAGAAATACTCTGTAGGTTATCTCAGTCTCGACTCCTCACGGTAGCTTGGAGAGATAATGACTGTGTCCAAGATGTTTCACCCAAAATATTGAGTTGAGGATGGCACGACTTGTTTCTCAGCTCCTCTTGGCGAGTGATTTTCCCTCCCTTCCCCAGGTCTTGGTCGGCGACCACTTCAACTGCCGACTCTCGCACAGCCAAGAATCTTACATCTGGGGGTTTGTCCGTAAGCGAAATCCCCTCACTCCACTATCAGTCGTTCCATTTCCGCGCCAACCTTGGGGTCAGAAATACCTCTTTTATCTTGGCGGCCCACGGGGAAAACCCGGGATGCTTAGGAGAAGCTTTTAAATGACATGGGATTGGCGTCTTGGCTGTAGCCTGGAGAGGAGACTCATGAATCAGATTCCTTGCTGTAGTAACAGCGCGTGGGGTGGAACTCCACATGACTCGGGGAATCTGAGGGGAATTCGAGGTTATTCTTGCTTGCGTTATGCTTAAATCTCGGTGAGGGTGAAATAGGCGAAGGAATGCCAAGGTGAAGTCTCGGTGAAATAACAAGACCCGAGGATTGACCATTAGGGTGTGTCATATCATAACAATCCGTTTAGTTAAGTACGCGGATTCTATCCAATGTTATGCAGTCCCATATTTCTCCAAGTCGCTTAACGCCAGACATCTCCTCCCCGCAACTCAGTCCGTCATTTAGCGTGCGGAACTTCAAACCTCCACCATGGTTGCACAACAAACAAGACATTTCTCGTTGGTCGTGCTCAGATGGCGAGATTTACGGTTATCGTGGACGGCATATCGAATTCCTCTTGGCTTCGTTCTTGGCTACATAAAAGAGAAGGAAAAAATCGGAGCCGCAAATAGCCAAGATATTTTATGTTGTTCTAGAATAGGGTAACCTTGTTGTGATGCATGGATAAAGTGGCGGGGAGACGGGGAGATCCACTTGTACACGGAGACAAGTCCGAGTCTTGGGGTCGCATGAGCCATAAATGAGGGGATGATTATGGTTAAGTATTTAAGCAACGAGTTCCCCGAGAGAGTCTTGAGTGTGGCAATCACTTCACTGTTGGTTCTTCAATCACTCAATTCGGAAGAGTCATGCTTACAATCACATCACACGATGATCCGTCGTCAAGTACGCTCGTTTGTTGTAGTCACAAGCACAGATGATCAGTCAAACCCTTCATCAAACATTAATTCTCCAAGATACTAAAACATGTCGATCCCCCAGCTTTTCAGACGATCCCTTCCCCAGACTCTTTGTCAACCCTAATAAGTATTCTTGGTAGCCAAGCCCCAGAAGTAAGCCACCCACGCGCCAAGAATAAGCACAATGACGGCACAAAAGTTGATAACACCCAACTTCTTATGCTTCTCTGCATGACCCTCACTCTCAAACTCCCGCTTCTTCTCGTTGATAATGTGCCCGTTCGCAACTCTCTTCTTACGACTCCACTGAAGCTGTCCGATAACGTCTGTCGCGAAACCCAAAGCAATCATGATACCCGCGACGACGACGGAACCAGCTGCTAGTGTTACGTAGAGAATAGTGACGTTGTCGTATTTGTTCTCGTCACGATCTTGCAGAACGCCTGCTATGAGACTGACGATTATGGTCATGCTGTTGTTGATGGCGATTTTGATGGCGTAGCCTGAGCCAAAGACTTCTTGGTACCACATGCTTGTGCGGATGCTGTCGATGATGACTGTTGGGCCGAAGGAGCTGGCGACTGCAAAGATGCCGAAGCTGGCGGCTGTGCCGGAAACTGTAGGGCCCCAGGCTACAAGACACATGGAGAGGAGCATGCCTAGTCCACAGACGAGCATGATTGTAAGACGCTGTCCGAGCATGTCTACAAAGATGCCGACTAGCGGAACAAAGAAGAAGCCAAGATACTGAGACATGGAAGAGTACCAGCCTGCCTTGACAGCTGAGATCTTGAACCGCTGCTCCGCCAGCTCAGTGCTATTCGTAGAGAACACATTTGCCGTTGACGTCTGAAAGAGCGAGAACAAGCAGACCAGCCAAAAAGACCAAGGCAGCGTAAGCATCTTTCCAATCTCAAACCTCTTATTATTCTCCGTCAACTTCTCCCCCGTCGCCGGATCCCTCGTGCCCGCATATCTCTTCTCACACCACCTCGTAAACCACCAAAAGAACAGCGTCGCCACGTTTGTGAACAAGTTCATAAACACAGCCATCCAGTACGCCCAGCTGAAATTACCGAGATTATCAGCGATGACATTGGCGGTGGCTTTTCCAACGAAGGAGCCGATCTTGCCGATGCCTAGCTCGAATGCGAGCGTTGATGCGAAGCCGGAGGAGGGCGGGAACCAGGAGGAGAAGATCTTGTATTGGGCGACTTGGGTCGCTACGTCGCCGAGGGCTTGGATGACGATGCCGCCGATCATGAATTTGTAGGAGCGGACTTGGGTTGCGGCTGCGACGAGGATGGCGCCGATGGAGAAGACGGCGTTGCCCCAGAGCATGGTGCCTGAAGATAACTGTCAGTAGGAGTTGGTAACTGGTGAGTGGAAGGTGTACGTACTGGCTCCGCCATAGCGATCTGTGAGAATACCACTGACGAGGATGAGAGCGGTCTTGATAAAGTTCTCACTTGTATCAAGAACAGCATACTGAGTATTCGTGATGTGAAGTTCCTGTCTAGGTTAGCCAAGTTATTTCCTGAGAGAGGGTAGACATACCTTTTTGAGGGTACTCTTTAGAGCACCAGTGACGCCACTACTCCAATGCCCCCCAAAGCCAATCATACTAACGATGACGACAGACAAGATCTTCATGCTCAGGGGCACAGGCTTCTTGCCATGGTCATCGCTCCCACTGTCAGAGTGGTCAGACACGGGAGAGATGGTCTCTGTCTTGAGCTCTTTAGATTCCATGATGCTCTGATGACGAAAGAAGATGAGATGAGATGGAAAAGATTATCAGATAAAACAGCAACGGCTGTCAGGTCTTTATCAGATCAATCTCAGTGGGGCATCCTCTATGTTTATATTTTCAGACAAGGTTTTATTTTCTCACGTTCGCAAGCTAAGGGGGCCCACTTGGCGTGTCACTCACGCGAGCTGAGTCTGGACCCTTCGCATTGCCCGAGAACCATTGAACGTTAAAAACTCTTCTAGAACGATTCTAAAAGGGAGATGTTTATAACTGCGGGCGTATCCCCGGAGATGTTTTTATCCTTTTTGTACCAAAATCTCACGCTCATGACTATTCAAAAAGCAATTCTCTTTATGAAGCATACGAGTTTTCAATCTGATAACGCGTTCCCCGGTAGCTCAGAAGCCCCCTAAAATTCTACCGTGTCTTCGGTACATGGGTGCATATCCCTTCCCTAAAGAGCTAGACCGCCCGAAACCGCCTGACATCGGAGCGAGAAGGTTTATCACTGTGAGACACCAAGACCCGCATAACATCTCCTCTCATCCTCCCACTTTCTCACTGTGAAAAAAAACACCAAAGATCATCGCAGCTGATCAGATTGATAACACTAAAAATGGCCTGTTTATGCGGGTGCATCAATCAACTGATTGATAACTTTGATCCGAAAACGGCCGCCGGCCTCGCCTCATCCCTGAACAAGCACCTCGAGGCCATCCGAAGCATCCTCGCTAGGAATAAATCCCTCGCCAAGGAGGTGCGCTACCAGATCATCCCCAGCAACCAGCGCACAGCAAAGATCTTGTCTCTACACTCTATCGATCTTGTCAAGATTGAGAGGCTGCATAGCGTGTTTAAAGATGACGTCAAGGGTTTTTGGGTGGCGTCTGGTGATGCGTTGCACCAGGAGTTACGAAGGCGGATCTCGTGTATTACGATATTTTTGAGGTCTAAGGTGGATGATAATGCGTGGGCGTCGCATGATGTCGCGAATCTTATACAGGGACGTACGTTGTCGGAATTGAGATATGCGGGTAGTAAGTATATCAAGATCGCTAGAAGATTGGGAGGGATTGGGTCGATCCTCTGGCTGCCGCTAGAAATACCGGCCTCTACGTAAGTGTCTTTTTGGAAGTGAACCAATCGGCTGTGCTGACGAGATCAGGTATGAGCGTTACCTTAACATGGATGACGCCGAGGCCTTTGATCACATCCAGAACCTAGGCGCCGACGCGCCGGACCTGAACCTTTTCGTGCAGCGCCTCATCACGGCTCAACTTGACGGTCGGTAGGCTAACATCCACGCGAGGTCCCCGCTAACATCCACGTGCTAGATCCCTCGCTTGCATTGTCACATCGAAATTTACTGCTAGAGTATGGAGACTGCATATCACCAGCCGAGCAGGGTCTTCTTCTGCTGCATGCTCTTGGCGGAAATGACATTCCGCTGGATTTACTCAAATGCGCCAAGATTCCCATGAGACGATGGACCAATGAAGGCGAGATACAGAGCATAACCGCCTCCGACTTCGGGTTCAACGCTGAAATAATCGGGCTGTTGTCTAGCGACGAGCGTCTGGCGGAATTAGGTCAACGGTCAGAGATTACACAGCAGGCGTTGGAGGATGGCACGATCATCTGGTCTTTATCGCCTGAGGCGCAGAAAGACCTTTCTCATCGATTGACACCGCAGACAACGGAAGATTGGGCGACGACTGCGCTCAGGTTGCTCTGCTTTGCGTGTCCTCCTTGCTACGAAGGCAAAGTCAATTGGTACGCCCAGTACGATTCCTCCCAGCCCTAGCTTGATTGATACTTGGAGCTTATGACGTCTCAACATTGTTGACTAACATTTCTAGGGCACTGCCTCTGAAAAAAGCGATATGGAATCTTCTTGACAAAGCGACGAACCAGAAACGACTGCCCTCTTCACTTCGCGCATGCGTCATCGAAGCTCTCCTCTTCTTCTGCGAACGCGACCTCTTCGCAATTCGCTATGCAGCCGTTGAACGAGCAAAGTCACTTCTTCGCAAAAATATGTCATTTTACTACCAAGCATCAGTTACTCTCTTTGACAGCATAATATCGCGCATTGACGGAAACTTTCAGCGGTCGGAGGCGCTGATTGTTGACTTTTTGGCAGCTGATCATGAGGGGAATACACGATCTGATAATGCATTACGAGGAAGATTGCACATATCGAATATTGAGAACAAAATACATCGGTATGATCCTGGCGTTGCATCGACGATATATAACTGGGAAGGAATTCATCCCCTTTCGACATTCGAGATTGAAGTTACGAGAAGACTTCAAGGCGTGGCGGCAAAGTTCTTCCATTCCATCGGAGACTTCAAGACCACTAGGGCCTCGTTGGAACAGCATCTTTGGCTCAACTCGACGATGCCGATAAGACCGAATACTCGATTACTCATTGTCACACGGCTAGCTGAGATTCATTGCGAGTTGCACGAGTATGAGAAAGCACTGGAGATTATTCAAGTCGAACTCGATGGCATGACTGCACGCAAAGGCCGGCCGTTCCGAAGATTATCCATGGCCAGAGCAGAAGGCTACATCGGCCTCAACCGCTTATCCGACGCGACCACCGTTCTGCAAGAACTCATTAGCGTTGAACCGCCTGAACTCGATGATCTAAACGATCAAGTCCTTCGTGTCCGGCGTCTAATCCTCTCAGCGCGTATTCACCACGAAGGCAACAACTTCCCCGAAGCGCTACAGCACTGGCAACTTACGGGTCAAATGATAGATAGTCTATCGATATTCAAGTCCCGACATGGCTGGACCCTCGCCATTGTACATTTATCCATGGCGCATGCGCATATTGCCCTGGGAAATGAGGAACTTGCGCGACAGGCGTGGAATGCAGGTGTTGAGATTGCGATGAGGGAGAGGTTTGAGTATGTGTTTCCTGTGCTGGCGACGACGTGGCTGCATAAGATTGTAGGGGAGATTCATGAGGTTAAGGGATGGCCGTTGAGGGTGATGTTGCCGGGGGGTAAGTCGGATTTGACGTGGCTGTAGGAAGAGTGGTGGTGTTATGATTCGTGTATATAATTGGACTTATGCAAGGTGTAATAATGATTTTGCAAAAGAGAGGATCTCGAACTTGCGAACCGCAAAAACGAAGGGTGAGTGGCGCAGGTCAGATTTTAGGTATTTAGGTTCGGAGTTTAGAGAGTTGTAGGTTTTAGGAGAGATACCACTGCACCACTCACCCTTCGCCGGGGATATTGACTGTGTTTTTGGTATATATGGGTATCATGCTGAGAACACTCCGAGGTGGCAACTTTGTCTCTGCATTGAATCAAAGTGTTCGGGGTGGCTGCCTGGAGAAAAGTTAAGTCTGGCCTGGCTGTAGCATCATGCTCATGTTTCCCTTGCAATGGGACCGCGATGTCTTGAACTTTTGTGGCATGATGTAAAAAAGAATGCGGTCTCGAACCTGTGATCTGCAAAAACGAAGGATGAGCAGTGCAGGGAAGAGTTTAGGTATTTAGGTTCGGATTTAGAGAGTACCCATTGGCTCGACTTAGGTAGCAACATCACTCAACCCAAGAGGTGCGAGCCAACGGGTATGGGTTTTAGGAGCGGGACCACTGCACCACTCACCCTTCGCCGGGAACATTGAGAGAGATTTCGGTATATAGGGGTATCGAAGACAGAGTGACTGGACTGATTGTGGCTTTGCGTTGTTTGCGAGGCCTGTGGCGATGAGTGAGTAATCGCACCAGAGGAACCAATCGTGAAGTTCTGCCTAAAGTTTAAACGCGTCAGCAGCAATTCTGGTCTTTCCAACTGAACTTTATTGGAAATAATGATATTTCGTAGGTCTCGAGATATTCGGCATGCACGTGGCGTTATGAATGAATAGAAGGATTGAACGTGGTCTGATTATTCGGGCAGTGAATGGCCACTAAGATCCCCGCAAAGCCGTCGGAAAAGCCAGATATAAATAAAATCGCAGAGATTCCGTGAATTAAATCAATAACTTTCAGACTTTTCCAGGTCCCTCACTCATAGTACGTCGTCCTTCAACTTCTATCATTTGATCCGCCATCAGACCTCGTGCTAAACCCTTTAAGCGTAATGGGTAAGATTGTAGTTTCGCGTCCCGCCTTGATGACTGTTCCTCAAGGTCACAGACGATGCCGGCGGGGTAAAGCTTCTCTCAAAGCCACGTCAACGCGGTCGAAGGTTGCCTGGTCTGAAAAGTATACAAGACTTGACGCTGAGTAACTTATGACGCTCCTTTTTGACACTGACTCATAAGTAACGTAACAGCGACATTGGAAACATCTGGCAACTGTCTTGGCGCGGTGAATTCTATCGTGGTGGCCCCGTGTTTATGAGCGCCTTGTCTGGCATTGATATTGCACCCTGGGATCTGAAAGGATCGTGGAGGCTCTAGACTGTTATTTAATCTCTTTGATCAGGATTCATGTTCGTTCAGTTGACAGATGAGTGTTTGTTTCGCTAACCAGGAAAAGCAACGAAGCTCAATGTACCAATATACCAGCTACTAGGTGGCAAAGCCAGAGACAAGGTCCGTGTCTACAGTTAGATTAGTGGCGACAGACCAAACGATGCAAAGGCCCAAGCGTAAGTAAGTGATTCTACTCATGGTGCCAACTACTTGCGTCTATTAGTCAAGCCCGCAAGGACCAAGTCCCTCGTAGTCAAGATGAATGGTACGGCAGAAACAGCGTGGTAGGATTCGTCATTGGGCTTCAAGGAAGTCGTTTTCCGGGTCCAGGCAGTTAAATAAATTGGGTTGGATGTTGCAGTTGACTTCCTTGGTCGTGTCCACCAACCCATGACCAAACGTCTTGCCAAAGCTCTAGAGCCATATGAGCCGCTTTTCATCGAAGTACACTTGCTCTCTTAAAGCTAGCATTACAGTATGCTCCGTCAATCTAGATAGTAAATGGAACACAACAGACCCTTATATTATTATTTTACTGCCAACATTATATATTGTTATAGCCACTAACGTCATCTGAAAATCCGCCAACTATCAAATCCCGGTAATGCTAGTGGGCGCATTTAAATATGTATTCGCCTCGTCTTTAGCGAATCGTTCCAATTTAAATTCTTGGTCAGTGGAGATAAAAATCCGACACCTATGATCTGTTATCTCCAGTCTCCTCCTGAAGTGAGACATAACCCAATTCGTGCCTCTCTTCTCCCATCAGGTTTACCGTACCCCTCAGGACAGGAATATCGTCGCCGCCCCTCTCCCAGGATCCCTGCCTAGCATTCTGAAATGCGCGCCGCTGTAGTTGAGATACCGAGTCAAGCCTCCACTGCTCCAATCGGACGTTCGAGGTCGGCTTCTTGTTCTTGGCCTTAGATGACGTCGCCCTACGCACCAGTGAGAACAGCTTCCACGTAGAGTCAACGATGACCTCCATCGCGAGGCTGAGGATGATGATACCGCCACCGATGCCCGCGATGATGGCAAGCCCGGCGATGGAAAAGGTCTGCCACTTGGCGATGTTTCGCAGCTTCTGCTGGCTGCACATACTCTCGAGGTCTGAAGAGATGTTGGTCTTTTGTGAAGTCAACAGATTCAGGTTCAGCCGCATGTAAGGATCTAGCTGAGAGTCATCTTTGAAGGCAAATGAGACGACCCTGAGCTGGTACATAGCCAATGTCGTTTCGAACCAGCCTCTAGCCTCTGCCAGCCACTGATCACTGGGCAGGCCAACAGAAACGCTGGAAAACACATTCCGCTGGGCGCGCAGCGCAGCAACACCGAGACCATTGACAGCATTGTACATCTCTGTCAAAGAGCTAGGCGACATGAAGCGCGCTGCGGCGGCCATCTGGGCGTTATTGAAGTTCAGCTTCTGGAACTGGCTCGTCACTTGCTTCACGGACCCCATCGTGGTCTGGATGCTACCGGATGGGTTCTGGAGCTGGTAGCGGTCTATGCAGGCCATGAGGCCGGCAGGCATGTCGGGTGTGAAGAAAGAGGTGTCGTTGAGGGGCCTGGTCGCAGAGAACAAGGGATCTGTTACTTTGGACTCGTATTTTATGATACCGTACTGGATGACGAAGAGGCTCACGTCGCCGTCTGACGAGTTGAAGTCCGCTATAGGCGTCCAAGGGCCATCCACTCCTTGAAAGGCGTAGTATGGCCTGCAGATGGTCAGTCCAACAGGTCTTCACCTGCATCACCCATTGCCTACGCTAGAGTATACTTACTGAATATTGTATCCGACATAGTCTGGGGCCTGTCTCTCTATGGCATAGGCCGTATAGTTCTCAGACAGGCCCTCGACTGGACCCAAGTCGTACTCGTATCGAAACAGGTCATTTCCAATGGACGCCAGAGTCGTCAAGTCTCGAACGTCCACAACCGCGCACGTCGCCTGCTTGCGCATCTGCACGCGATCCGACACTGGCGCATTCATCCCAAAATCCTCATGTGAGTCCATCCAACCTGTCTCCATCGTGATCGGCGACACCTTGCACCGACTTCCAAACGGACAGTCGGATATCTGATAGACTGCGTAGTCAAGGTTCTGTCGGGGTAGGACGGAGCAAGACAGGGCATCCGTGGAATTATAGCAGTTGTTCACGTAGTTGAGAGCTTCCGAGGCAATTCGCAGGCTGTTTTTCTGGAAAGCTATGTTTCCTTGGGATGTGCTCCGATTCCACTGCTCGAAACCGCAATTTTGACTCTTGGCTAGAACCTCATTCCCCTTGTACACCGGGTGTGTTGTCAGGAATGGCGATGCGGGCCCAGCAGCGGTGTAGATTAGCCAGACAAACGTTGGTAGGGCGCCAAACAAGCACAGTCGACGCTTTCGTCGGGTCGTGTACGGGCTCGCTCGTCGTTTCCACCATTTCTTCCAGCTCTCCAGCCCCGCATAGACAATATTTCCCTTTATAAGAGACCACACGAGCCCGAGCGGGGAGGACATGTTCTTGTACAGCGCCTGCTGGGAGATATGAATGCCATCATGCGGCTCGCCTGGGTTCGCACGGCAATAATACACGACGAAAGCGATTAGACTCCAGAGTTGGCCGCCTGCGATAGCGATGAATGTGGAGGTACTGGCAACTAGGATGGAGCCGACAAATGCGGGCAGCGTCAACTGCTCGGAGTAGTCAAGTGAATAGTTATGCCACAGACCCCAGTGGATTTTGTAGTCGCTCATGGCTGGATTGCTGTCGCGATGATAGTAATCTTTCGTTCTGAGTTTCAAGAAATGGTAGGCATTGAGTTGATACTCCTCAGCAAGATATCTCGACTGACAAGCCGAGGACCGTCCCCGGCATCAGTGGGGGCCATTACGCACATGCGTAAGCAAAGAGGAAGAAAATCAGGTATTCTACACTCGGTGTTCGCGGTCTCTCGGGATATCAGTGCCGATATATCAATAGTTGTATGCAATGTGAGGCCCTGCAGTCTTAGTTCTACGCCACACCGCTGCTGACAGGGCTGAAAGTCCAATCGACGGGATGATTATTCATCACACTTTGCCCCATAAGGATCATTTGTTTTAGGTGAATCCCGGTTAAGTCTAATTTAGAATTGAGGAGGGCAAGCGTGACAGGGGGTTTGAAAGTCAAAGGCCACACAACGACGTCAAGCTGCCAAGGCTTACGCGTCCTTGGAATTATTCCATAGATATCATCTACAAGTAGTCTCGCCATGGAGTGTAGCATCCTCCCCATATTCTTCCATTTTCAATCCGATATATTTTATTAAAAAATATTGACTGATAATGATTCCTCTCGTCTTTATCTGGGCAGTTCTGGCTTCCGCCCAACTCCCTGTACCTAACCTAGGACCTGAACTCAGCGAAAATATCAACTTTAAGAAGACCCTCTTTATAGAGTGTAACGACTTTATACAAACTTGCGCTCCAACTATCTCTTCCTGCGCATCTGTGATTTGTAAACAATGTACAGGCCTAGGGCAGAAGGCTCTCAATGCCTGCTGTGCGAGTGAGAGCGAACCAGCGTCTTGTCTTGGCAATGCGCTTCGGATGCCTAACTCTGCCGAAGCATCGGCAACTACTTCAGAAGCTGGCCCTACGTCATCGTTGTCGTCCGAGGCTGCCGTCAGTACAGCTACGGCCGAGGCACCCCGTGTGACCAAGGCTCCCTCCGGCAATGCAGCCTGCGCGAGTGTCTCCGAGTCTTTGAGCATCTGCAACAGCTTGAGCCCAGGCGTAGTGTCCTCTTCATTCCTCTTCCAGGCGCCCTGCCTGTGCTATAACGCCAACTACAAGTTCGACCCGAGCATTTACGATGAACCCTTTTCAAACTGCTTGGCATACTATTCCACTGCGTCACCGTCCTTCTACGCCTCGCTTGCGGCGTCTTCGATTGGCTCCAAGCCGTGTGCTAGTATCGGCGATGTAGTCAAGTCTTGTTCTGAGGCAGGATCATGCACGCCTGTTGAGACGGGAACTCGCAGCGATAGGTCGATAACGTCTGGCAGCAGTGATCATGGATCAACTTCAACACTGGTTCCACTGACAATAACCACGTCTACTAAGAATGCAGGGCAGATAGTTTCGTCCGTGAGTCATACGTTGATATCATATAAAGAGATTTGTAGGCTAATACATGTTACAGGGAGATGCAAGTATAGTCGGAGTTGTACTGGTATGGGTATTGTACTTGTTCTAAAGAATAAGGTTGTGTTTACATGAAATTCTCTTAGAGTAGTTTAGAGACGTTAATAAATAATACTACTTGTTTAATCATACGCTGAATATATACATCGTACGCGGGGATCAAGTCTATATACTATATATTGATGCTCTGTTTCCTTTCCTTTAGATTAAAGCCCTGCCATTAGGCTTTATAAATACAGCTAAAATAGTCTCCTTTTCTGTTCTAAAAGACAAAATCGAGTGCTTGTCCTCTGAATGCTGCAGATAACGTTTGGACAGCACCCTCACCAATACCAAATGCCATGATACAGCCGTAGTCCTATCTATTATGACGAACACTTAGAAGAAGAATAAAGAAAACGCCGGGTCGAGTGACCTTTAACTAAATTACGGGCATGTAAAGGAACCCTTTCGCCAGTCGGTCATTAGCCAAACCAGTCGCATCTAGATCGAACTATCAGAATTCAGCTTTAACTACCGGCAGGGCTCATCGAAAATGACTGACAGCAAATCCAATCAATATCCAGCGTCCCAGATTCAATCCAATGATGACATAGTAACTGTGGTATTTTTAGCTACGGAATTTGAGGATCTTATCTATAAGGTATATGCCACATACTTTAGACTAACAGCAGAAGCCCCTAAACTCGGCTTCAACTTAGCTATAGCGTTTTACTAAGGATAAATAATTTATTTAGCTATAGTAGCTAAATTAATAGCCCCTAGGTAGCTCTCCTCGGGATATTATACATCTTGATCTTGGCATTTCTAATCTTTAGCTTATCTCTTTTTATATAAAAAAATCTTTTATTAACTTAGTAGTCCATCAACCACGTCCTGTCGCTATAAACCTATGCTTTTTAATCCAGTCTCTCGCTATATGCCTTGTTTCAACCCAAGCGCGTTTTGCTTTTACAGGACTATGCAAGCCATTGACAGCCGCTTCCGCCAGCATAACTACTACTATTACTACTTTAAGTGAAGTATAAGTTCGACCTTGATCCTGGGTGCCTGCGAGATGCCGTCGTCTTCGAGGGCTGTGACGGCTAATTTCCCAGCGTCTGAGAAACTGTCGTATGGGCGCTCGGACATGTCGTGGCTGTTTGAAGGAATGAAGAAATCGAGTGTTTGCAGAATGATAGAGCCTAGCCATTTCGCCTTGTCATTTAGGTAATGGATCTATGAAGGATATACTGCATGGAGATACTCATAGATCGTCTTTATTTTGCGAGGCGATCATAGTGCATATTTTCTTATCTTGGGAAGGATAGACGAATGGGAGACAAGCATACAAGGGTCAACTCATGCACGTGATATATTCCAGCCCAATTGAATTTTCTGCGCCAAAGATAAGTCTTGTGTTACGCTGTGCCTCAACACCTCAACATGTCTTCCTCCTCCTCCAGTGACGATGGCGTGGATCCAGTTGACCTCGCCAGCAACATCGGCACATGGGTCGCCGCTGGCGTAGCCATTATTGCGCTAGTCGGTGTAGTCGGTCCATATCTTGCCCTGCAAGCGTCGATGAGTGATAAAAACCGCGCCATGAATGCGGTGCAAGATCAACAGCAGAAGTACATCTCTAGAGGCTGGCGGTTGACGAGAGGACTACGCGTGTTTAGAAGGATTCGCGTGCCCAACCTTGCACCGGGTTACATCACCAATGAGCCGGACACGGCCCCGCTTATACCGCCGCTGAGTGCAGCTTTGGGACGCTGGGGGTTCAAAACGAGGGATTATTTGCCGTGGAATACGGGCTGGGCTAAGATTTCTGAACTGATTGAGTCTTATGAAGTAAGGGATGGGATTAGCAACCGACAAGTTGACTTGGACGTACCCAAGACTGGCGGAACACTCGAAGTTGTCAACAGTCGGACTGCGTTAGTAGTCAACAAACACTGGATCCTGATTCTGGGTCTTCTCGGTCGATATGGAGACCGTGTTGACAAAGGCATCCTGCAGCGAAAGGGAATCAGGAGGAACTTTGATGGGGAACGAGCATCAATCCGACATTTCGCTTTACCGAGGAAAGCCAAACAAAGAGAATCAGATTTGGCATTCGAATGGGTTCGCAAGAAACAGAGTCACGAAATGAGCAGAATGAGAGGCTCGTCTAGTCGAGACTCGGCAAGTTCGAGATCCTGGTCAGACAGCGACCCAGACTCTGATGGAACCGTGATGGCTGTGCGTCGAAGTGCTTATGGCACCATAACCCTCGAAACGACACCCCAACCTACGATACACGGAATCACAGGCAAACTGCAGCAACTCGGCCGACACAAAGGATCGTGGAGTTATCTAACTTCTATATCGTTTGTCCCGCATATCGCGAAAGAGATCTTTGAAGCAGGTGTCAATGAGAGGAGGGAAGGTTCCTCGTTGCAAACGTTGTTCTGGCTCGCTCATGGTTTCTTACCGTGTGGCAGGACAGTAGAAGGGCGTCAGATGGTGATATCTCTAGAGTCACCAGACCTTTCTCTTGAATCGATCGGTAGGAACGTTGATGATATACTAGCCTGGCCTGCATACTCTCTCCAAGAGTCGGATGATGTTCCCATCTCAATTGGTATTGCAATGCAGTGCCTCGGTATCCCAGAGCCACAAATATTGCAATTCCTCCCACTTGATCCCGCGAGCCAAGCAAAACGAGTGTTGGAAAAGACCAGTCATCACTCTTGTGACGGAACTCAGAGTCTAGCAGATGAATCAAATGAAGGGAACCGCCGATGGGAACGTGAGCTACCAGCACAACAAGCCGGCCTTAGCCTCGATGGCCCATGGGTTCGCTATTCAAACCCATCACAAGAAAACTTCTGCCTATTCCGACGACACGATTTTGGAAAGACCCTAAGACTCATACTCACTATCGAATGGGATAACTGGGGGTTCCTGATATGGAAGGACAAGTTCTGGATATCAATCCTACGGCGGACCACTAGTATTCTGAAGATCAACAAGATATGTGATTCTGAGTTTGGGCGAACCTTCGGACTAACATCTCACTCTCGAGTCTTTGACTGGAAGCAGAATGGCAAGTTTTATCCACAAAGATTGGCAGATCAGCTGTCCTTCGACAAGTTTCTGACCGAGTATCTCGACACGTATGATCTGCGGGCTCTTCGTCTCTCGCTCGGAGTTCTTTACATCTTGGATGCACAACTCCGAGAGAGTACCCTGAAAGCATATGCGAATCTGGGCAATAACGGAGAAAAGAACGATCCGCGTTCCCAAGCAAGGCTAAAGTACCTTGAATCTGCTCTGGAGGAGGTTGAGGCAGAGTACCGAATCCAGAAGATCATGCACAAGGATGACGAAACACCATTTTTAAACAAGAAGATGGCGGAGATATCAGACTCTGAGTCTGTTGAGGGAGTCTATACGCATATGCTGATAAGAGCCGTGGATACTGAAACACTCGACCGTTTCAACATCGTCTATGAACCAGTGAGTACCTGTCAATTCCGAAGAAACCTACTGATGATAAAAGGCCGACGATTTATTATACCGCATTACCGGATACATCGCCCCATGGGAGCAAAAGATTTTCTTTCAACACACTTCTCTACGCCGAGAACTCAACCAAATGAAAAGCCGTATGGTTGGCGGCGTATTGGAGTATACGTATAAGACGAGGCAACTGAAATGGTACTCTGATAAGACCTCTATGTTGGAGTATAGCACTTGGCAGTTAAGTCCCGAGGACGTAGTCATGAATGGTGAGAAACAGTCGATGTGGATTGAGGAGAAGGATATGGTTATGGTGGTATTGTGGGTTGCTAATAGAGCGGCGATGTGGATTGGTGCTTAAGACTCAAAGCCGTTGTTGGAGTTTGTTGAGGATTTGGATACATATGCTTATGTATTATAGGAATCTTGTGTTATTGATCCTTAAGTCCTTTATACTTTAATAAATAAGTTAATTAAGTATTTTCTAAAGTTTCTATTTTATAGGCAGTAGAATTAAGGTAAGTAGTAACTTAAGCTTTCCGCTTTAGTCAATGTAAATAGCAAATACCCTCTGGTAGCTTTGCTGTATCTGCTAGATTCACTGCACATCTAATTAGTCATGATCTACCCTGTCGTCATCTCCATGTCATTATCTAATGCCTTGCTTTTGAGATGATAACAGGAAGGCGGGGAACGTAAGCGTAAGCGGAACACGAGCTGGTCCAAACCCCGCGTCAAGCTCGACTTCGCATGTTGAAGCCTATTAGATCTTCAAATAAATCAATCCTGTGATCCTCCTATACATCACCAGGTTTTTTGCAAAAGCTCATCCAGCTGACCGATCCTATCTATCTCAACCATGGCCGCTACAACGAAAACGGCAGATTTGCCAGCGCTGGCGACCACGAGGGACATCACTACAACATCAACCTACAAAGACGTGTTGAAACGACACCAAGAACACCTACAACCTTCCAAAGACACCCCTGTTAAGTTTGGGGATGTGGCCTGTTCTCCAGACGGAAAGAATGTCGCAGGGATTGTGACTGTTTACGAAGATCTTAAAGGCCGCGGGTCAACCAGACTGGCTATAATTAACGTCAATGACGGAAGCATAACTACTTTTGGAAACCAGAGTGGCACAGATTCTAAACCATGCTGGTCGCCTGATGGTACAACTATCGCATTTCTATCTCAAGTCGATGGCTTGAGCCAGTTGCGGGTCCTGGACCTAGCTTCCGAGAACATCAAGTCCACAGACAAGATTCCGGGAAATGTGGAACAGTTGGCTTGGTCGATTGATGGCGCAAAGATTCTCTTAGTCGTGGCCGGTCTGGAAGCTGACCTGGCTGGCGTGGATAAAGGGCGGGCGTCGCAGGGTTCTGAAAGGGTCTCCTCTGAGTGCAGTTGGATGCCTACGATAGAAGCAACGCCCACCGCTGAGGCTTATCGCACCGCTTGGGTGCACTGCATAGCAACAGGCGTGTCAGAGCAAGTCACCCCAGCGATAATCAACATCTGGCAAGCTGTCTGGCTATCTGACACTGCCATCCTGGCGTTGTGTTCAGACCTTCCGGGAGAAGAGCACTGGTATCACGCTTCACTCTGCGAGATTTCTCTGCAAACGGGAGCTGTGAAGCATGTGTTTGGTTCAGAGCTCCCGATGGAGTGGCTCACGACTTCGCCTAGCGGTGCGTTTGTGGCGTTTGCGGTGGGGGTCGCTAGTGACAGAGCTATCTTGACGGGCGATCTTCACATCCTCCATGTTTCGACGGGTAAAGTGTCCAAGATTGATACTGGCGGCATCAATGTGGGTGCGATTTCTTGGGTGGGAAATGATGACCTTGTTGCTTCTGGTTTGCATGACGGGCGAGATGTAGTCTTCGCTTATGAGCGGTCGACGAACCAGATTCAAGAGCTTTGGAGTAGTGAGAAGCTAAGTGTCGCTGGAGAGGGCATCTCTCAGGTTTCTGGGTATAAAGATGGGGACGTTCGCGTTGCTTTCGTACAGCAAGGCTGGTTCACACCTCCGACATTAGTAGTAGCTTCTTCACTTGGCGTCCGAACTATCAAAGCATTCGCTTCCACTGAGATGCAGGAAAGGGTCAGAAAGCTAGGTCAAGCACAGACTGTAAAATGGAAGGCTCCAGACGGCTTAGAGACCTACGGGTACTACCTACACCCACCAACCCAAGGACCATTCCCTACCATTATGCACATTCACGGAGGTCCAGTGTTTGGTTGGAGACCCAGGTATCTAGGCCTGGATATGCAGCTGCAGGTATTGCTAGATGCAGGATTCGCAGTATTTGAGCCTAATCCAAGAGGCTCATGGGGTCGTGGGCAGTCCTTTGCCAAGACGGTCTATGGCGACATGGGCGGTGTTGATACTCTAGACTACCTAAGCGGCATCGATCATCTGGTGGACAAAGGCCTAGCAGATCCAAGTCGACTAGGAGTTTATGGGGCTAGCTACGGTGGCTTCATGACAGCCTGGCTGATCTCCCAGACGGACCGTTTCAAGGCCGCTATACCCACGAGTCCAGTGACAGACTGGGTCAGCGAGCACTTCACAAGCAACCTTGCACGGTTCTGTCAAGATTTCCTGGCTGATGATGTGCACGACTTTGGTGGAAAGTATCTATCTCGTTCTCCGATTCACCACGTCCGCAAGACTAAGACACCGACGCTGCTAGTATGTGGAGCATTGGATAAGAATACTCCCCCTGGCCAGGCTGTTGAGTTTCACCACGGTTTGATCGAGCAGGGTGTTCCATCGGTTCTTCTGACGTACCCAGAAGAGGGGCATGGTGTTAGGAACATCCCAGCTCGTGTTGATCTCATTGCGAGAGAGGTGGAGTGGTTCCGGAGATATATGTAGTGTGAAGCAAGATCTCTGTTTCGCCAGGCTCTCTTACATATCCTGAACCTTGGGAAATCTTAGATCCATTCTTTGTAAACTATCACAATGTCGATAAGATTGGCCGAGAGCTTAGGGCTTAGAAGAACACAATTATCGCATGTATTAGTTAACTTTGTGAAACATTTAAACAGTCCTAGTAGTACCAGCAATACATCGCACAACCACTTGTTAGCCTAAAGGATGATCAGACCAGGTATGCACTCTTATCATGGAGGGCTCTCTATCAGCTGTAAGCACCCAAGTTCAGGATATCCCATCTCCATCGCTGGACTCAGGCCTCAACAATCTCATCCCCCTCTTCAGCAAGCATCAATCTCGGAACGCTGTGCTTAAACACATTCCCAGGATCATACTTCCTCTTCAGCGCTGCCAACGTCTCATAATGCTTCCCATAGATCTTCTTGACATCAGCATCCTCATGAGATCCAAGCGAGATATACGACCCCTCCAGGATATTATCAGCATCTTCTGCCTGAATTTCTGCCTTGACCTTGGCCGCCCACTGAACTCGCTCTTCTGCGATGCCCTTGTCTGCAAGAATAGCGTAAATCTCAAACATGTGATGACGAGCTCTCGTGCCAAAAACAGACTTTTTCTCAGGTTCTTGTGCTGAGAGGAGCGTATGGTATGAGAAAATTAGACTTCCGCCTGGGGCATTGACGCAATGTTTTGCTAGGATGTCGATCGCCTTCTTTGTTAGAGTCTTACAGTTGAGGGTGTAGACTCGACCGTAGGAAGGCCAAGTGACCAACTTCTCATTGTTCTCGAGCATTTCAGCAAGTTTGATTTCCTGTGTATTCTCCATCACGCAAGTCGCTGCTCCAGCAATGTTTTTGATCCACGTGCGGCCGTCATCTTTGTCGTCGCCGTGCCAAGTTGCGATTACCATGAGACTGACTGGCTGGCCTGGCATTTGGGCGATCATCGGTTGAAGCTGTAAGTGCACTGGGAGTTGGCCTGATTCGAGCAGCTTTTCGTAGTGTTGGGTGTAGGATGTCAGGGCTGAGGATAGGTCGCTTGAGTCGTAGATGATCATGGACGAGAGGATCTAGTCGAGTGAGTGAAGGTTTTTGTTCGAGTGAGACCAACATACCTTATCGATCGGGTAAACTTTAATGGTAAGCTCAACGATTACACCGAGTGAGCCGCCGCCGCCTCGGATACCGACAAGCAGTTCCTCATTAGCATCCTGGACTTCTCCACGAGCATTAACAATCTCTGCTCCGATGATCTGGTCAACACCAAGGCCATAATGCGTCGTCAACGGTCCGTAGCCACCCAGAGTAGCCCATCCGGTATATCCTACACTAGCAACAGTACCACTAAAGTCCTTGATCAGTATCGCAACTTGCCAAGGTAGTTCGAACTACTCACGTAGGCGTACTCAAGCCTTCTTTCACCAAGGCCCTGGCCAATTCACCACTGAGAATACCCCCGCCGACTCTTGCGCTTTTTTTGTCTTCAGAAATAACAACATGCTTGATGTCTCGCATATCAATCACAAGCGCCCCATCGACCAATGTTCGACTGGCGCAGTCGTGGCCTCCTCCTCGAACGCTGAACTCGACGCTGTTTTCGAGGCAGAACTGCACTATCAAGGCCACTTCATCGCTATTTTGAGGTCTGACTACACCAAGAGGCTGAACGTGTTTCTCAACAAAACATTGTTCAACTTGCTTGTAGCCTTCCGCATCAGGCGAGTAGGTCTTGGCTTGGGTATTGGCCAAGTAAGCCTTGAGCATTGAAAACACAGGTGTGACAGTCATCATGAATACTGTGCAACTGATGTAGAATGAACACGCAAACATGCTGGACGTCGGTTTAGTTATATTTATATCTTCGGGGTTTCCCCAGACATAGCCCCGCTGAGCACGGTGTCGGGTCAAGTTCAACCCTAAGCATTAAAAGCCATGGCGTATGCATGTTTCTTACGACAGATGAATAAGCCAATCACCGCGGAAGCAGACGCTACGCTGACATCCCAAGACAGCTGCTTATTCGTCCGAGAACGAACTAATGCAAGCCTGTCTTACTTGCTTTCACGATGCAACTGTTAGTAATACTGAATGAGCTTCCCCTCTTTCCTCTGTCATCTACGATGAACAATGGAGTTTTGTGTATAATATGGTAGAAACAACGTACGCTACGTGGAGTGGCTCGGTTGCCAACAACGGACTAATGGAGCGCTGCAGGCGGGGAATTAGCGTCCGTAAGCCCTTGCGCTTCAGCAGCTTGGCTAAGGCGTATAGCGCATCCAGCGTATTACACATTGCGTCATTGCCGATCAACAAGTGCAGATCCAGTTCCAGCCTTCCAGCTGTCGAAGCAATCACCAAACACTACCTAGCCTCCTACCGGGGTTCTCTGTTGAGGCACTGAAGAAAAGAAAGCCAAGGGTCCATCACAGTTTAGTTAGGACTGCTCTTTGACCTCTTCGAAGGATCTATGGTGGCTCTGTAGGATCTAATCCGTTATCTAAGCGCCCAATCTCGGCATCGGCCTTCCACAGGTGGGGGCTTACGCTGCTGATCTGTAAGGCGTAGCAACCTGTTAATAAGACACTGTGCCACTGCGGCAAGCCCGTCAGCAGCACTCAAGCTTTCGTTCAATTTGCGATAATGACACTGAAGGTTGGAATCATCGGGGCCGGCATAGGTGGCCTGAGTGCTGCCATTGCCCTTCGACGAACAGGGGCCCAAGTTGAGGTCACTCTATATCCATTCTGAAGGAATGGGCTTAGCTGACATTGCGCAGGTCTTTGAGAGATCCAACTTCAAAGATGAAATCGGCGCCGCCATCACGATAACCCCAAATGGAATGCGAGTCCTTCAACACTTCGGCTTTGATCCCAAGACAGCGCGCGGTGTGCAGAATAAGCAAATGCGCATGGTACATCCGCAGACTCTTCAGGATCTGGTCGTCGAGAACTTTAGTCAGGTTGAAGATGACTACGGTGCGCCATTCATGTTCTTCCATCGTGTGGATCTTCATACTGCGCTGAAAGAAATGGCTGTGTCGGGTGATGAGCGATATCCAGGTCTGCCAGTGGTAATTCATAATGGACGTTCTGTGACGAGCGTTGATTGTGAGAAGGCTACGATTGTGCTGGATAATGGGGAGATCTTTGAGAAAGATCTTGTAGTTGTCGCCGACGGCGTTCGAGTAAGTTCAGTATGTATCACGTTATAACCTCGGTTGGCTGATCTTTTGTTAGACTAAACTCATCGACGAAATCACCCAAAAGGACGTCCCTCTCGAAGACATCGGCTCCTCATTCTACCGCTGTCTAATCCCCTTCTCTGAAGTGAACAAAAGCCCCGATCTGGAGGCAATCTTCAAAAACCAGGATCCGGGTTTCTGGGTCCCCTTTGACCTATCTACCGGAACGTTCCTCGTCACGTATCCCTGCCGCGATGGAACGATGCTCAACGTCGCTTTCCGTCACAAGACTAAAGCGGAGAATGAGCATGCAGTTGATTGGAACACTGACACAAGTGTTCAGGACATTACTGCTATGGTTGGCGGGTTTAATCCGCTGGTGGCTAAGTTGTTTAGCTTGTCTACGAGCGTTTCTGTTCATAAACTGTTTCGCAGGGAACCTCTTGAGACGTATACTCGGGGGAGAGCGGTGATAATTGGTGATGCTGCACATCCAATCCAACCAACCCACGGTATGTTTATTAATCCTTTGAGGTTTATACGACTAACAGGATGTATAGCACAAGGCGCAGTTCTTGCGATCGAGGAAGCGGCAGCATTAGAAGCTCTCTTCAAGGACATGCAGAGCCCTGAAAATGTCGTAGAGCGTCTGAGCTTGTACAATGACATTTTGAAACGTCGCATCCATGTTACTCAACTCCTTTCTGATGCCCAGCCTGGGATATCTAGTGTGCTGCGAAAGCGAGCTGAAGATATCTGGGGAGACGGCATCTTTCCACCTGAGGCGATGAACTTTACGAAGCCGATCCGGGACTTCTTTTATGCTTGGGATGTTATAGAGGAGGCGGATGAGGTATTGGCACGTGTGGCATAGTAGTTGGTTTTTCCTGTAATTGAAATACTTCATTAATGATCAATATTGATTCGCTTTTGGCTGATTTCTACGGCCTTGGAATAGTGAACGAAATGCCACTGCAAGACTCGCATGCCTTAGAGACGAATGACACGGAAGTTGGGTTGAAGATATCTGCAACCCTACCTTTATTCCTCATCTGATCTTTAAGTAAATCATACACTTTTCAATAATGCGATAATCAACACATGAGCTCTTCCCACAACCATGCCCTTGTCTCGCATTTACGATAGTCCGTCTCTGCATGATGACGTGCATTGCTGCCCAACCGATGATCAACATCAGCTCCACGGAAGAATAGCACAAACTCTAATGTCTCTCTACCATATCCTTTAACTATTCCAGTCGACCTGTAACATATTCCCTTCAATTCACTAGGCATCCACGTCCAAGATGACTCCTTCACTCCTCCCCCGTAACAGGATCTCAATCGAGAACTCTTGTGCGCACCGGGTCCTCCATATATGGAAACGCGTCACCTTTCCTCAGCTACAGTCATCAGCAAGTTCGTGTCGATTATGCTCCTTTTATGAAGGCATTGTCCTCGATTGCTTGAGAGGGCACTTCCCCGACATATTAGAGGTACTGGTTATAAACGAAGTTGAGGAGAAGAGGGAACTTGAGAGAATGACCGTGGGCAAGAATCATGATTCTCTTATTATTCGACTATCAGACCGCGAGGTCATTTTTGATGTCTTTGCGGACAAAAGGACCGATGATTTTGAAGTTGCGAAGAGTTGCTTTGGTAGTAAATACCGTGTTGGGGAATACACAAACTCTAGGGAAAGTTTTGATTGCGCTCAGGAATGGATATCCGAGTGTTTGAAAACGCATACCTGCCCTAAACCTGGTACAGAAAAGGTTCTGCTACCGAAAAGGTTGCTTGTGGTTGAGGGTGCTCTCGACGATCCAGTCAGATTGATAGAGACTCAGGGCGATGAGTATCCTTACGTCTGTTTGAGCCATCGCTGGGGAGATCCTACACACAAACAGCTCAAGACAACTACACGAACAATCGACAACCACATGAGTAAGATCGACTGGGAGAGTCTACCTGCTACATTCAAGGATGCGGTAACAGTTTGCCGGTCAATGAAAGTACAGTATCTCTGGATCGACAGCTTATGTATTCTACAGAGCTTTGCGGAGATAACACCCAGTGAACTTGAAGCTACCAGGCATGACTTTGCCCAAGAGAACTCCAACATGGCGAGGACGTATCAGAATTCCCATTTCACCATCTCCGCCGACCTCTCAGACCACATGGACAGTGGTTTCTTCTCTAGAGATCCCATCCACGAGTACAAAAGAGACATCATCACTGATGACGGGAGTGTAGCTTCTGTATACATCAGAAGGCCCCTCAATCACTACCAAGAAGATATCCCAAGTCTGGAGACACGAGGCTGGACTCTCCAGGAATTCCTGCTTCCACCGCGAGTGATTCACTTTGGTGCGTTCGACATCACGTGGAGATGCAAAACATGCATTAGCTGCGGATGCGGACATCTAGATCGACGCAAGAGACATCAGGCGGCCTGGCATCGATTTCATTTCCTCGAATCAGCTGCCAGGCCACCCCAGGACAATGAAACAAGGGCGCTCGAGTGGTGGGAGCAAGTAGTCCATGAGTACACAAGCCGGCAATTGACTAACCCCACTGATAAGCTTCCGGCGCTATCAGGCCTAGCACAGCAGCGGAAGCAAGTCAGAGGGGGTGCTTACCTCGCGGGACTGTGGCAGGACACTCTTGCCCATGATCTTTGCTGGTACCATGTCTCGGACTACAACGACCCCAGATCAGGTGGTGTAGGCCACAGACCTCAGGGCTATCGTGCGCCTTCATGGTCCTGGGCTAGTGTTGATACTGACTCAGGTTGTAGCTGGTGGTGGATCGGGCCAATCTTGCTTCACTCACTCATGGTCGGCGAGGAGCCGCAGCAGGCATGTAATATCGTCCAAGTTAGCTGTGAACCCGCGACGAGTGATTCCACAGGCGAAGTTCGGAGTGGATACCTGGATATACAGACGTCGTTGAAATCAGCTGAGATATGCCCGGATCCTAGTGGACGAGTCTTGTGGACCATTCACAATCTTGACCCCTCACTTAGGCTGGAGTTCTTCAAGCCTGATTGCGCACTTGGAGAAGATGGTTTGAACTTGGGGGATCAAATATTTTGTGCTCCGATTGCTGGTCTCGGGCTTTGGGCTAGGATGGACTGTGCTTGTCTAGCTTTGAAACAGATTGAAGGCGATGTCTATCGACGGGTTGGATTCTGCACTATCAGTGGAAGTCCAGACCTTCGATGTCGCCCTGATGGTCTCTTGGAACCAAAACTGGAGAAGTTTGCGTGACCGGGCAGTGAACAAACGCAGATCAGGATTATATGATCTGCCTCGAGATGAATGGTACTTTGGCCAAATATCACATTCATTAAGCTAGTAACGGAAAGTTTTGAGCCACGAATTATGTCTAAGAATGCTGCTGTATCACTGCCAGCGTCAGTCGAACGTCCGTAAACTTCAGGTTCCGAGGTATGATGCCAGAGAAGCCTGAGCTATGAACATCATTCTCTTTAATAAGAACAGGCAGTGTCGCAGCCCCGGCAAATCGGAATCATTGGCCTTTGACTCATCAGTGGTATCCGGTATGGTCGGGTGAAAGAATACGCTCTTCCGCGCACCGTGAGTTAGATGCCAGTAAAGGAATTAGAAACGGAGATAAATAGTATTGACTGTAGGTTCTGAGAGCGAGAAGGACCATCTTACATTTGACCACGCTACTCTCAGTCCCTCTTGCGCCCTTCAATCTTATCTGTGCCCATAAATTGATGCAACACCTTAGGCAGCCTCACAATCCCCTCATTTGCATCCCACCCAATCTCCAACAACGCCGCCACAACCCTAGGCACCGCCAACAGCGTCGCACTTACTGTCCACGGGAACCTCAACGTCCCATCCGCCGTATCTTTAATCCTCGTCGCCAATCTTCGACTCTGGTAATCTGTGCAGAAGCTCACAGAGGCAATTTCTCTCCAGGCAGCGTCGTGGACCTCATCTGGTGTGTCGCCCACAGCGCAAGAGGGGAAGAAGGCTTCGATGGAGACCCTTCTTGCTTCTCTGGCGCTGAGTTTGTGGACTGGCATGTCAAGCACACGGCATGTGAGGCCGAGGGCGCCGAGGATATCAGTTTGGATGTCGATGATCTCATCAAAGAAGTATCCCATTTCTTCCTCCTCTGGCTTCATCCAGGCGAATAACTCCACGTTGGTGAACTCATGCACGTTATACCGTCCCTCCGCGTTGCGCCTAGCCTCAGGCCTATAACATCTCGAAGCAGCGACCCTTCTAAGCGGCAACTCGTCCTCCGAGATTACTGTGTTTGCCCTCATTGCAGCCAGCGCAATATCGCTTGTCCTCGTCAGGCTCATCTCATGCACAGCACTAATCTCGTCCTGCGCAATGTTGTAAATCTGCTGCTTACCGCTACTATCAAGGGGCTGATACCCGCAAGCCGCGGAGATCTGAGAGTAGACTATGGATGGGGCCGTGACAGGAGTCCAGCCTTCGCGGGCTGCAAAGGTGAGCGCGTAGGAGACGAGGGCTTGTTCTAGGAGGGCGCCGGCGCCGACGAGGTAGTACCATCCCCGGCCGGATGCAGCGTCAGCACAAGCAAAGTCGATGATGCCAAGCTGCTTCCCGATCTCGGCGTGATGAATAGGGTTTCCCTTGCTATCCTTGATCTGAATAGTCTTTTCATCGGCGTTGACATGGCAGACAGGCTCAAACTCGGTCTTCGGCGTGTCCTTACTGGCAAGATTCGGCAACGCCAGTGCCAACTCCTCTATATTGCTCATGATATCCTCCTCAACATCTTCAACTTCAAGAAGCTTTGTCTCAGTCTCCCTCGCTTCCTTGAGCGCTCCTTCAATGTTCTTCCCCTCTGCTTTTAGCAATACAAGCTTCTTTTGTAAAGCATTTGAGCGTTCACGTAAAGACTTCGCAGCGTACTGTAAAGCTTGGTCATAATACATAAGCTTTACGATACGGGATGGGTTGGAGGCGAGGTTGGGTGAGTTTCGCGAGAGGCAGTTCTGAGCGTAGAGATCTGGGTTATTGCGGATATGGAACAGATCGAGGGTAGGCTTTGCGGAGATTGAAGGGCGGGAGGGGGTGGAGTAGCATCTAATGGCTCGGATGCGAGTCATACGCTTGCATCTCACGCATCTTTTTATTATGCGGTTCATTGTTGGTTGTTGCGGTATAAAGTTGGTTGTTAGTGAGGCTCAGACTATCATGTAGTTTCGAGGTTATATGGCAATAGTGCCAGCATGCAACAGGGCGCGAATGACCTATGAGTGGGGCAAAAAGCGGTTTCAAAGGCGCTTGGGATACTTCAGAATACGTGCCAGAATGGTAAACCCTTTAAACGTCAGATTCCATGCAAGGCACTGGACTGTTGTCAAATTTCATATTTGTTTCTGTTAGAACCTATCTAGGTAGCATGCTATTAAACATTGATTTCAATAGAATGCAAATAGCAATTCAGAATAATGTCAGTATCATTGAGGTATGGGGCGAAACCAAAGATTACCTTAGTGAGTGGGAATAATGACCCCTTGGAGAAAGGTCCAAACTCTATTTCTGCACGATAACAAGTGGCCCAGTGAAGACTGAAGCATTGATAAGGAGTCGATCAGCAGGGTCTGGGCCTGTCGTCACTTTTGGTCTAGCGGAATATCATTGATAAGCGACCCCAGATAGAAATAATTACAGGCAGCCCCGCCCTTTTCCCTAGCGACCTAGACACTACAACACCCCGTATCTCAAGCGCCTCAATCACCAAAACGCGATACCCAAGAAATGACTCATGGATCCTGGTCGCAAGAGGATAGGCTCCATCGCAGAGTCTGCTACGTCGTCTACTCAGCGGAGTAAACGCGCCAAATACGCGCCTGTAGCTTGGTACGCGACCTTCCCTGTCCTGGGTACTGAGATGAAAAGTGCTGACCTTGGTAGTAATGAGTGTAAGAAGAAGAAGCTCAAGTGTGTGAGGGACGAGGGCGATGAGATCTGTAAGAGATGTGATGTTAATAAAGTCGAATGCATCTTTGCGCCTACGGCTCAACCACCAAAAGAAGATGCTGAGCCGGCGCGAAGACGCTCTACTCAAGAACCTCAGTGCGTATCTCACGCATCTCACAACGCATCACTAATACTTCGCAGAACAGACGTCGGATCTCTAAGCCAACAAGTAATCGCCCTTCAGAACCAAGTCAACGCTCTTACGTCAGCTCTCCAAGATGTATCCCAGCGTCTCCCGCACATGACCCTGTCCTCCACAAAGTCCACTCCCCAAGGCCACCCATCCACATACCGCAAAGACATCCGCAACGTACACACTGAACCGCGGGAGCCTCAATTCGTCGGTCCAACGCGCTCAGCGTACAGTTTCCAGATCGCAGAAAATTCCCTAACCGGCATGGGAATAGAGCCAAACGCTACTGGGGCAAGCACACCCGCTGAATCGCCTAGTGAGACTGAACCTGTTGTTGAGAGTGAGCATCTCTCACCGGGTGTTGAAGATGTAGAGGTTCTGGCGAGTTTGGGAATTGCAGAGGTTCAGAGGCTGTTGGATGTTTATAATGAGGAGATTCAGAGCGTTTATCCGTTCATAGACGTTAATGAGTTGTCAACCAAGGCTGTTTCGGTTTTTCAGACGCCGGGGGAGAATACGCTTAAGGATGTGCAGGCTATCAAGTTGGCGGTTGCTACGTCTGTTGCTATTGAGGCGCAGGGGCTGAATAATATCAGCAAGAAGTTGATCGATGAGGTTGAGCCTGTTATTTGTAGGATATCGGGCGAGGCGTTTATCGACATTCAAGAACTTCAACTCATGATTATGCTGGTAAGTCAGTTCTTGACTCGCTTTACAATTGCTGACGGCGTTTAGAGCATCTACTGGTTTCACTGCGGAGAAGACCTCCTCGCCTGGAGAGCCATCGGTAACGCCGGTCGTGAATGTCTCGAAATCGGTCTCCACCGCCGAACCTCACTCTTTGAAAACTTTAAGAACCCATCCGAACGAGATTTAGCACTTCGTTGCTTCTGGTGTGTATACATTCTCGACCGAAGGTGGAGTTACGGCACTAGCCTATCATTCGGCATTTCCGATCGGGACATCGATCCCCAATGTCCAGAGCCAGTAAGTTCCACTCACATCTTCAGACAAGTGTATACTGACGATTTAAAGAGTGAGCAGCATCCATATCTTCGATGCATGGTCTCCTACGCCAAGCTGTGCTCTAAAGTCTGGGAGGAGCTACCCCTTGATTCTTCACCCTTCACAGTTCCAAAGGATAAAGTCGACTTCTTTGACTTTCTAACGCAGAAATGGTTTCACTCTATACCTGAGGATTTACAGCTCGTGTATCCTCGACTCTCACAAGCTCCGCGTCATCAACCTCGAGTTTTACAACGCTTGAGAACGCTCCTTTATCTAAGAGGCAACTACATCCGAAACTTGGTCCTGCGACATCATGTCATGAGTGCTGAGAATTTACGCTCTGACATGCAGGGCGCTCAACTGGTTGTCAGTCTCGCACAGGATACAATCCAGGTTCTAGTGAATCTTAACGAGACAAGTGACATCTACGCTCGGCAGAAAGCAACGTTTAATTATTTCCTCCAAGGCGCTCTGGCAACAATCCTTCTAGCAGTATGTCACGGCCCAGATGTCTTTGCCGATCGATGCAGACAAAGTTTCCAAGACGCCGTCCGTCTTTTGAAGAATCTATCTCAGCACGGACAACTAGGTCGACGACTATGGCGCTCGCTAAAAGGGACGATCCATCGCGCTTTATCGCTAGAATCACCAATCACACCGACGGGAAACACAGCACTTGCGGAGATTCTGCAGCAGGAGACGCCAGAGGTTCGACAGCAGCAGACGCTGGTTCCGACGAATTGGCCGAGGAATGGACTGGGGAGTAATTTTATGGATGAGAATATGACGGATATGTTTGGGCTGGAGACGGATTTGCTGAATTTGTTTAGTGCGTTTGAGCAGGATAATATGTTGAGGCCGGTGAGTCAGGTCAATGGGCTTGATCAACCTGCGGCATTGCCGGATCAGAATGGGGGTGTTGGGCAGGGCGATGATATGGGTCGTTTCAATGGGGGGTTCTAGTGTCACGGTTTGATGGAACTTATCGGGGACAGACTGTAACAATATGATCAAACATGAGAATCAAAGAGCGTGTTCATTGCATAAGTATCGTACAAATTGAAGCATCCTAAATCCCGTCCAATCCCATGATAATATTGTGTCAAATCAATTTAGACCTCCAATCATAACGAGCAAAAAGAAAATGCCAATCTCTCCGATTTTTGACTATCACTATTGAATTTACTTGTCATGAGTTCCGTCACGAAGACCTTCGACAACATCAAGGTCAACGACGGGAACCTCAAACTTGTACTTGCCACGGAAGACATAGTACGCAATACCAGCAAAGAGCCACCCAGACAAAACAACGATGGAGTAGTTCATGTTCTGAGGTGTGACTGGCATAGCAGATGGGAAAGTGCTAAAGATTACAACAACAGTGATCCATACCAAGCTGATGACGTTGGCAGCTGGGCCAGCGATACGTCCGAGCTTGAAAGGTCCAAAGCCATTGGAAGTCTGGATACTCTTCCTGGCAAAGAGCATAGCGATGATGGGAAAAGCATAGCTGACATACATGCCAATGATCGACATGGACAGAATGGCATTGAAGGCAGTGGTGTTGCCGAGATAGATCAGACCAAGCAGCATCTGAAGAACAATAACAACCACGACAGAGTAAACAGGGATCTGAAGACGTTTGTCGACCTTGCTGAGTTGTTTGTCAAACGGCGTTGACTTGTCTCTCGCAAAAGCCCATAGGGTTCGCGAGGTAGATGTAGTACCAGCGACAGTCGCCGCAACAGCAGTGCATGTGATGATGACAGAGAGGACAGTGCAGCCAGCTTGACTCTTTGTCGCGTCAAGGAAGATCTGCATGAAGGGGAAGCCAGTGGGTGTTGCGAGAAGTTTCTCGAGGGGGCCGGTTGAGAAGAGGAAGATGATGCAGTAGACGAGACCCATGAGACCGTTGATGGTCACGCTGCCTACCATTGCGAGGGGGACGTTGCGGCTGGCGTGGGGCATTTCTTCTGCTAAATGGCAGGCAGCGTCGTATCTGTGATGGTTAGATGGTGATGTAGTGAGTGCGATGGGGGAACATACCCGAGGAAGGGATACACGGCAGACAAGAGGCCGACGAGCCATGATACACCATCGTCGGCCCAGCCACTAGAGTTGGTGACCTCTGTAAAGACAAACGAAGCCGTGTTCTTGGGAGCCATGACACCGAGGACGACAACGATGGTGACGAAGCCAATGACATGAATGGCGCCTAAGAGCCGTCAGTTCCGAACGATCATCCGCCAGCGGGGGTACTTACCCGACACAGTGTTGATGTGCGGAAGAAGTCTGTCCCCCCAGATATTGAGAACAAGGGCGTAGACGAGAACAGCCCAGTAGAACAGCATGCCGCGCCAACGCTCAGGGACATACGTCTCGTTGTTGACGATTATGAGAGCCTGCATTTGTAGCCCGGCGGCAAAGGCAGCAGACGATGTGAGAACAACTTGTCCGCCGATGCTGACCCAGCCGGTGACCCAAGCCGCGGTCGATCGAATGGAAGCGGGCGAAAGGGCAGCTACCCAGTGATATTGACCTGTACCATTCCAAGCGTTAGTCTCGAGTTAATAGAGTTTCGTGTAGGGGGTTACTGACCTCCAGCTGTAGGATAGATCGAAGCGATTTCGCCAAGAGAACTTGCGATGCAGATGGAGCATACTGCTGATAGTAGACTGATGATGTTAGTGGTGCTTGATTCTGGGGACGGGAGACTGACTAGTTGTAGAAGAGACATGGTGCTCCGCCGCTGATGAGAGCTGTGGCGACGACAGAGGATAGAGCTTCCCACGTCGCCATGAGACAAACGCATAGAGCACAGAGCGAAAACAGAGAATACTGTCGTCGGAGTTCCTGCGTATGACCTAACTGCGCAAGACGCAGGGCATCATCGCTCGAAACTCGGGTATTGCCTTCAAGACTCATGGCGTCCTTGTCAACAGCCACGTTAACTTTCTCAAGTTCGCCCATTTTCAAAAAAGAATAATGATAATAATATTTATATAGTAGAAGTTTTTGGCTGTTTTCAAGTTAGTGGAGCTATGGAAAGCACGGAAGTGTCGTTCATATAAATCATTCTTGATAAGGGAAAAAAGAGATATCAGCGTGGACCCTACCCCCCTGGCTGGCATATCACATCCTCTGGATCAAAAACACACGCTAAACAGGGGCCGTATCAAGAACGCGGGGAAGAGCTAACTCGTTACGTAGTAGTCGTTCCCTACGGGCTGCGTTATCACTTGGGTGAGATAAGAGAGATTGCGCTTCCGCGTTCCGAGGGGTGTTCCGAGTGTAACCCTCGGAACGAGACCTTCCGGGGTGTACTATTTACAGACCCCAAAACATACACACTTTTGCTGACGACCAAAACCAACAATTTCTTTGTCTCGAGCTTTTTTGTCCAATCATGGCTGCACCACATCCTCTGTCTGCTCTTACGGCGCGTGAGACTAACCTTGCTCGTGATATCGTCAAGGCGTCTCACCCCGGTGCGCTGCTGTTCTTTAGACAGTCGTATTTGTTTGAGCCGCCTAAGGAAGAAGTCCTTAGGTTTCTTGAGCTTGAGCACTCTGGGGCTCTTAGTGCTGCGTCGCCGAGACCTGATCGCTGCGCGCAGGTTTTCTACGATGTCATTGGTGGAGACCAGAAGTCGGTTTACTATGAGTCTGTGGTTGATGTTACGAAGAGGAGTATCGTTGCGCAGGAGATTATCAGCGAGGAGCACCAAGCTAGTCTGACTACGTGAGTTTACCAGTGCCTTGCAGTTGAAGTATAATGCTGACTTTTTAGTGCCGAGTTTGATATCGTCGTTGAGTCTTGCAAGAGATCAAAGATGTTTCAGGATAAACTCAAGGAGATTAAACTCCCCGAGGGTTTCGAGACAGTCATTGAGCCCTGGCCCTACGGCGCACCAGATCTAGAAGATGGCAACACTCGCTACTTCCAGGCACTCGTCTTTGCGCGTGATGCTCGCAAGGGTCAAGACTCCAACTTTTACGCTTATCCCATGCCTTTGATCCCCGTCATGGACGCAGCTACCAAAGAGATCATCCGCATTGATGAGCCAGCTACGGGCGGCAAGGATGATAGCCTCACTGGCAAGACTTATGCTACTGGGGCTATTGATCATTGCCAGAGCGCAGAGTACGTCCCTGAGCTTTTGGAGAATGGGACGAGGAAGGATTTGAAGCCCTTGATGGTTGTGCAGCCTCAAGGACCTAGTTTCTCTATTACAGAGGGGAATTTGATTCAGTGGCAGAAGTGGAGAATGAGGGTTACGTTTAATCCTCGTGAGGGAGCTGTCATTCATGATGTTCGCTATGATGGACGTCCTGTTCTTTACAGATTGAGCATCAGCGATATGGTGAGTTGACTGAGACATACTTCTGGGAGATATGCTAATATTTGCAGACTGTTCCTTATGCTGATCCTCGTCCACCATACCACCGCAAGCAAGCCTTTGACTTTGGCGACGGCGGTCTTGGCCACTGCGTCAACAATCTCACTCTCGGCTGCGACTGTCTCGGCGTGATCAAGGTAAGCTCAACCCCAAACTCACTCACTTCACGACTAACAACTCCAGTACTTTGACGGTGTCCTCACAGACGCAGATGGTTCCGCCCAGGAAACCAAGAACGTCATCTGTCTGCACGAGCAAGACAACGGCATCGGCTGGAAACACACCGACTGGCGAACCGGCCGCGCAGTCGTGACCCGCCGCCGCGAACTAGTAATCCAATTCATCATCACCCTCGCCAACTACGAGTACGTCTTCAACTACAAGTTCGACCAAGCAGCCGGCATCGTCGTAGAGGCCCGCGCCACAGGTATTGTTTCTGTTGTGAACATGGATCCCGGCAAGACAGCGCCCTGGGGAAACATCGTCAGCCCCGGCGCCCTCGCTCAGAACCATCAGCATGTTTTCTGCGTGCGCATCGACCCTTCTATCGACGGTAATGAGAATACTGTTGTGCAGGAGGAGAGTCTGCCTTTGAGAATGGACAAGAGGACGAATCCTAATGGGAACATGTATGAAGTGCGTCAGACGCAGATCACCACTTCTCAGGGCATTGATGCCGCGCCGTTTAGCAACAGGGTTTTCAAAGTGCAGAACCTGAAGAAACTAAACCGTGTGTCGGGTAAACCAGTCGGATACAAGATCACACCACCACCAACACAACTCCTCCTCGCGGACCCCAACAGCACACAAGCCAAGCGCGCGTTATTCGCGAAGAAGCACTTCTGGGTTACCAAGTACAAGGACCACGAGTTCTTTGCGGGCGGACGGTACACGCTGCTCAGCAAGAGTGAGATTGGGGGTGTGAGCGACGCAGCTGATCGGTGCGATGATGTGTTGAATCAGGATGTTGTGTGCTGGAGTGTGTTTGGACTTACGCATAATCCTAGGGTGGAGGATTGGCCGGTCATGCCGGTTGAGATGCTGCAGTTGCATATTTCGCCTTCGGATTTCTTCACGGGGAATCCGGCGCTTGATGTCCCGTCTGATAAGGACGTTGCGTCAAGGTTGACTAGTGGGTGCTGTAAAGAGGAAGGACCTAAACTGTGAGCCTCGGGAGTGGCATGGTATAGCATCAGATTGTAAATCAGTGTTTGCATTATTTTAGCATGATTAAATTGGACTTTCTTGAGACAACTACCGGCTGCTGCTTGTACTGTGAAACGACTCCGGTAGTGAAGTTGTTGGAACAAAACATCTAGAATATTAGTAACAAGTTACCCTGGAGTCCTTCAACAACTGCGGGTCTGACGCGAGATGGTCGCCACTCGTAAATCCTCCACTTGCTCCAATCAAGTTAGACCTTACTACGCGTCCGTTATACCGAAGCTCTTCAACGCATGACAAATAAATATCAGATCAGAATAGTTACATTCCCCCTCCCATGCAGTTATCGTCACGGATCTCGGCCTTTCTCTCTTGGCACTCAACTACCGACCTGCCAAGCCCACGTCTGTATCACGGAAACGGGCCGCTAGAGATTACGGAGATATAGCCTTGATTGCCCCGTGTGCCCATCTGCGTGATTTATTTCGTCCACTAACTCCGCTTGTCGGAATATGCCGCTGCGGTTCCGAGCCCATAGCTACGGCCCTATCGGAAGACTCATTCCTCTCCGTCACATCGCGGCTCCTGGCACTTGATACTACTTTATCGTATCCCTTTGGATCCGAGGGAGAACCATTTAGGTACCTCTGTGGGGTCCTGCCAATGAGGAAGCCGGTATCAAAGATACTTAGCCTAACCAGTAGTTATTATTAAGATCTAAGTACCCTTGATAATGCAGTCTGCTGATCGTGACCTTTATCCTCACTGCTGTGCCTCTTTGAGGCTGGTATTTGTGGTGTAAAGATCAGCAGCCAATTGATACTGGAGCACGCCCCATAAAAATACTTAACTGGTCCTCCCTCGGATCCAAAGGGATATCCCCTTCAGTGACTGAAACGGCTCAAGCAGGGCGGTGGATTAGAAATACGTAAGATATGGAGATGGTCTGACTGCGGTGAAAGAATTACAAATAATAAGAGGAGTTTGTGAGACCCTGGATTATGCATAACCCCTCATGTAACATGGTCAAAGCTACACCGGAACCTAACATCCTAGATTCCGAGTGGAATGGTCGGCGGGATGTACATAAGTAATATGCATGGCGGTTTCACTGCGCCCTCTTCTCTTGCCTGCCCGTTATCGATTCTAGGTGTCTAATAAGATCTTGATTAGTGGATATTATTATTACTTTACAACCGAATAAACAAACTCAATATGGCGGAACTCACCATCACCGGCGCAACTGGTCGCAAGATCACACGTACGTTATACTCACAAATTCCCATTACGTTCATCTTTCTCACTGACCTACAGTCCCCACCGGCCTCTTCATCGACAACGCCTTCACCCCCGCGGAAGCTAACAAAACCATCACCATCGAGAATCCCACCACAGCCTCCCCCATCGGCCCCGTCTCCGCCGCCCAGACCTCCGACGTCGACCGCGCTGTGCTGTCTTCGCGCAAGGCCTCAGCCACGTGGAAGACTACACCTCCCCAGGAACGACGCCGTCTGCTGAATAAGCTTGCTGATCTTATTGAGCGCGATGTTCAGGACTTTGCGTCCATTGAGGCTGTTGATGCGGGGATGTTGTACAATATGTCTTTGGGGATGAGTGTTCCTCAAGCTGCTGAGACGTGTAGATATTTTGCGGGTTGGGCGGATAAACTTGATGGGCAGAGCATTGACTATGAGAGTGGTCTTGCGTATACTAAGAGAGAGCCAATTGGTGTTTGTGCAGCTGTTGTACCGTGGAACACCCCTCTGTAAGTCACATCCCTTCTCAAACTTATATCAGTACTAACAAGTGCAGCATGATCACCTCATGGAAGCTAGCTCCCGCCCTCGCAGCCGGCAACACCCTCATCATCAAAACCCCCGAACTAGCCCCCCTCTACGGCCAAAAACTCGGCCAACTCATCGTCGAAGCCGGCTTCCCCCCCGGCGTGGTCAACATCCTCTGCGGTCTCGGCACTATCGCTGGCCAAGCACTCGCCGACCACCACGAAGTCCGCAAGCTCTCCTTCACCGGCAGCGTCGGTGTCGGGCGCACCATCCTCGCCAGCGCCGCAAAGTCCAACCTCAAGCGCGTGACGCTCGAGCTCGGCGGAAAAGGCCCCAGTATCATCTTCTCTGATGCGGACTGGGAGAATGCGCTTATGTGGTCGACTGCGGGGATCACGACGCATAATGGGCAGATCTGCGCGGCGGGGAGTAGGATTTATGTGCAGGAGGATGTTTATGATAGGTTCGTGGAGGAGTTTTCGAAGAGGACGAGGGATGCTGTTATGGGTGATCCGTTGTTGCAGGAGACGATGAAGGGACCGGTTATTAGCTCGACGCAAAAGGAGAGGATCATGGGGTTCATTGCGAAGGCTAACTCAGAGGGAACGCAAGTCCTCCACGGT